GCTTCTCCGCACTGTTCCGTGTGTCCCACTTCCGTCGCGGCGAAGAGACTGAGAGGGCACGGCAAAAACGAGGCAGAGTCGAAAACAGATCCGTAGGCAGAGGGAGTGGTCGCTAAATTTAGCCCTTGCTGGAGTGCCAGCTCACGATTCTGTCGATCGGCCTCATTCTTCGGGGAGTCGGATCAGGTTTTCGCTTGTGTGCCGAAGCTGACCGACTTATTTGTGGCGTCACCCGCACGCATACAGGTCATGAAACCAGTTGATGGGGGTTTAGAGACAGGAGGAGAGCCCGAGATGGGTTTCTTGAGGCGGTCGCCTGAGGTGCCGTAGGTGATAGACAGCTCTGGCGAAGGAGAAGCTGGACTCCTGGAGCTCTCACCGGCTCCCACTCCCGCGTCTTGGAGCTTGGGACAGCAGCAGGTAAGGTAGCGCAGGCATTGAGCAGCAGTGTGATGAGTCTCTTCTCGTCTCATCTTCTCGTGTGTGTTGGTGCGTGCAGCCTTGCTTTAAAAGAGGGAAATGCTGAAGTAACGTGGCAGATGGAGACTTTGCCCCATACGGAAAAGTCGAGACCAGGGGACAGAATCTGAGAGGTTGACAAGTTGACAGGACGGACGGTGGAAGGAGAAAAACGGACTAGAGGAGCTGGGTCAAAAAGACCAAAATGATGGCATCTCAGGGTAGAGGCAAGGTTTGTTGCTGTCATAATCGAAAGAATTCCAAGTTCAAGTCCCTCGGATAGAAAGAGGAAGTCGTAATACGTGGACATTTGGAAAAGCTCACGAGAGTGAAGGAGCGCTGGAAGTGACTGGACAGTGGGCGACCTCCAGGACCGCACAGATGTAGAGCCACACCCTGTGAGGGGTAGGCGTATCCAAAAAGGTCAAGATCACGTCATGACAGCAAATCAGAAGCGTCGAGAGCATGGCCAGCCACATCTGAGGCCCCACTAAGACCCGCTGAATCAGCCAGTCAGAGATGTTAAAGGGTTAATGGTCCCGCCCCTCAAATCAACGCAAAGAATTTCCCTCGTCCATCACCTCCTCCCTCCAATAACCAATCATCCCCTCTCTCTCTGGTCCACACAAACGTGCCGGACGTGAGGGCAGAAAAAAAAAGACGGGCGAGTCTGAATCGTTCAATCAGAATCGATCCTCAGCAGCTTTTCGAAACAAGACACCAGGGACGCCCGGGCGGCTCTCATTCGATTGGGCGTTTTCGACTTCATGTCAAGCAGTCGCCAATCAACAGCTAAAGCTATCCGCTCCGCATTTTGCACGCACTTTATCGATCTTGCATCGCGGGTGTGAGATATCTGCGAAGACGCGCGCGGAAGAAATAAAAGAAAGACCGTTGTCGTGACAGTGTGGAGGAGGGGAAACACGACATAGCGCGCGCGCCCCGAGAAATAGCGGCACCATCATCATCAGCAGCAGCAGCAGCAACGAGCAGGCAAGCAAAGCAAGCAGGCCGTCAGCAGCGCATCGCCGAAGCTACCTACCTTACATTGCCTGCCTAGGTACGCAATACGCACACCACACCGCCAAAAGACGGCGGAGGAACATCTCCAAAAAGAAGTCTAGCTGAGCGACATTATCCGCAGCAGACACAGCATTTGATCAAAAAGAGCAGCGACAGGAAATCCGGTCTTCCCGTCCTGCCTGCTTCCTGCCTTCCGTTTCACGGAAACAATACCTGCCCTCCTGCCTGCCTCCTTCCTTCCTGTCTCGACTCGGAGCTGCTCTCTGATTGTTGGGCAAGAGCTCCCACCCGGGACCCCGACCCCCGACTCCCACATCCAAGAGGGGGTGTGCCTTTTTCTGATTGGCGCAGGTGCGGCTAACCTCACCTCCTCTCTCTCTCTCTCACACTCACTCCTTCCCTCCTTCCAACTGCGACGTCAACGTCAGCACAGCAAGCAAGCACCCCTCCCCTCTCTGTCTTTCCGGTTCCTTCCCTCCCACCTCCGTCCATCCATCCATCCACGTCCTCGTCCTCACAAACCCACCCTTTACTTCACCCCCTCCCCAAAAGTCCTAAGGCAGCAGCAGCAGCAGCAGCAGCAGCCAGAAAAACCCGAGCCTTATTGACACCTTACTGCGTAGGCCTCAGGTTCCCAGATCCCAGCAAGCACAGTGGTTCCCCATTTACCGCCGACGCCACAGGCCCCACGCACTTTTTATTTTTTTTTATTTTTTTCGCACCTGCCCTCCGAAACAGGCGTACAAAGTGGACGAGAGCCCCAGTTCGCCAAAAGAAAAGGCTCCAGCGAATCCAGCGAGCCAAAAAGCCAGAAAAAACCCGCCCTCCCACAAAAACCCAGCAAATCAGCTCGGCTTTTTCTTGCGACCACTCACATCCGTCGCGCACTTTCAGTTTCTCCAACGTCAACGTCCTTCTCGACCTGACATTGGACAACCACCTCCCTCACCCTACGCACTGAGCCCAAGTCCAAACCCAAAGCAACCACTTTGCTTGCTGTCGAGAGAGAATCACTGGATTCGCTCGCTCGCGACTAGGAACTCCTACCAACAGTCCTATCAACGCCGCCATCGTCAACTTCCTCCAGTTTATTGGCTCAAATACCAGCCCCATCAGGTGACGCTCTCGACCTGCGGAAAACAGCATTTCCATTTTGTTTTTCTGCCAGTTGAACCGCAGCGCATCGCATCGCATCCGCTTCGCTTCGCTTCGCGACAAACCAACCGCGTCGCACACCTCATCATCCGCCCGCTCGAAGCCGCAACGGTTACAAGCACAAGCACAGCACGCACACGCGCACGCGCCAGACCTTTTTTTTCGGGGACGATCTCAAGCTCACATCGTGACACTCGAGTCAAAAGCCTATCAGAAAGCTTCGCCTCGACTTAGACTGGGAACCAATCCCCAAAAAAGTCCAAAGTTCCCCCAAAGCCAAACCAGAAGGAAAAACAACCAGCCAACCAGGTACGTTTCGCGTGCCATTCGACACACGTCGTCTGGCGCCCCTCCTCTCCAGCCTTGTCCGCTCGCGCGCTTCCTTGTCGCCGGACCTGGATAACGCCGCCGTCATATCTTCACTTCACCTTCCCGTCCTATCATTTGCCTGTCGTCGCACGCTATTCAGGGTCTGTCTTTGCGTCCGGTTTGCCGCTTGGCATCCGTTGCGTCGGCACCAATCTCGACACCGAACTTTGACGACATCCTTTCCGTTGTGAAGGGACGGTGTTCGAGACTCGTCTACTTTTCTTTTCCCTCTTCCTTCCTTCACACGCCGCGCTCTCTATCCTCTGAAACCGGGACGAGCAGCATGCTTACTGACATGAGCAGGGCGCATAATCCATCCCTTACGGCACTACTTCATTCGCAACACATCGGCGATTCCACACGCTCACTCCTGTTGCATCTCCAACTCCACGGTACGTGTATTGTACTTTCTTGTGTGTCGCATTGTCACCGCCCTTCACAGCATCTGTACCGTCTCCCGTTCCCCCCGAGGTGTAACCATCCATCCTCGGTGCCCCCCTCCTCCTCCACTCCTTGTCCACGTCAATCTGTCTCTGTTTCCTGTCAAGTACGGACATCGGCGATACCCCGCCGTCTTCACCATTTCGTCCTCTGACGTTACCTCCCAATGCTGAGGTGCCGCTGTTATTCCATTGTATGATGGCTTGACACACACCCGCATATTCCCAAGCCTTCCATGCCTTCTGGAAGCACCCCTCTCTGGTTGGCACGTACGTAGTAAGGCCGATTGAGATGGCGGCAGCTGCACCGAGAGAGAGAGAGAGACCCCTACCAACCACCCCAAATGCAGCCTCAGCAGATGCACGTACGTTCTTGGGGAAAGCGCTTAGTGAGCCCTGGTCTGGGGTTTGGCGGATGGCAGCGACACAAGACGGTCGAGACAGCGCCAGCGCCTGTACAAACACCACCCCCTTCCCCTCAGCGGCGCAAAAAGCACAGGCACTTGGACTGCCACAGCAGCTTGGACTGCCTTCTGGCTCTGCGCCGCCACCACTACCGCAGCAAGGGGAGGTGTCGCCGGGCTGGTTGGCATGGTGGGCCTTGTCTCTGCATATTCCGTCATGCATGCGAGGTCTGCCAGCGCATCAAGTGGTGGCCCGAGGCGCGAGCAGAGGAACAGGACATGGCAGGACAGGACAGGACAGGACAAGAGCAACAAACCCCACCACTCTACTCACTCTCTTGTCTTGTCGCATCATCCCGAGCGTTGGCTCATATATCCTTGGACTACGCAGGAGGCTAATGTTTTTGTGGTTGGACAGATCTCACTCGTCAAAGTGGAATAAAACCAAACGGCTTTCTTTTCTGGGGAAACAAGGCACCGTCCATTCTGTTTCGTCCAAAACTACCCGCTTCCCGCACTGCAGCTACCAGCACCAGGACCAGCTCCGTCTTCGAACCCGGACCGGACCATCACCACAAAAGAATCCTTGAACGGGTAGCGACAAAACATAGTCCGCCGCCTCGCCTCTCTCTCGTCTCGCCTCGCCTCGCACGGCAGAAACCAGCACCCTCTCGTCACTCACGTGGTTGTCGTCCTCACACCAGGCTCAGCCACCCACACAACGTCCGCCCCGCGACTACATCAGCCTGCATATGCCGTGGTAGGCCACTTGCGTCGCGCACCACTGCCAGCTCATCCACGCATCGCCAATAGATTGAGCCCCTCCGCTCCCAGCACACTGGCAAAGCACCCCAGGCCACCTCCCGCTCCCAACGCGTGTGCCCAACTCTACCCAAGCAGACGGGCCATTCCAGCATTTTAAAGCTCAATCCTCATCAAAAAGGCAGCTTTCGTCGCAACTCATTCGTCACTCGCGACCCATACCCGTGAAACCCTTTTTTTCCAACCGCGGTCACGCTATTTTCACCACGCTCGACCTGTCGCCAAGCTACATCCACTTGCGACGCATCTCATTGGTTCCGAGCACATCGCGAAGAAGACGACAAGCTTCATCGCAGCTCGACCTATATCGAACAGGCTTATCCCCAGTATGATGGAATACGCGCAATACCCACAACAGGCACAGAACGCGCATTCGGGATACACGAACAACTCCACCTCTAGCAACATCACCTCCCCTCACGGCGTACAGACGTCACCCATATTGTCTACGCAACAACAGTCACCCACACAGGCGCAGGGACACAACATGTATCAGCCACAGTACAACGTCCCTCAACAGGGCATGCACTATGGCATGCCCCAAATCCAGGCCGCCGCCATGGCGGCGACCGCGGCGGCGTCGGGAACCAACTACCCTTACAACATGTCGGACCCCAGCTTGCCCCAGACCTCCCCGCGAATGGGCGGAACGAAGAAGGAGGCCAACCGCGATCCCAGATCACCAACCCAGATGAACAACGTTTCGCAGCTGCCCGGTGGTCAGCGCCGCCTCAGCCAAGTCACCAGCCCTGGCGTGCCGGCACAGGGAATGATGAACCACGTCGCGCGGCCCGGCGCGGCCCCGCCTCAGATGCCCCAGGCCCAGGTCATGCAGCACCCGCAGTCCCCGGAGATGCCCGCAGGCGGAGTCGAGGAATCTCCCCTCTATGTCAACGCCAAGCAATTCCATCGCATTCTGAAGCGCCGTGTCGCACGCCAAAAGCTCGAGGAGCAACTCCGCCTTACGTCTAAGGGCCGCAAGCCGTATCTCCACGAGTCAAGACACAACCACGCCATGCGCCGACCTCGTGGTCCCGGCGGACGCTTCCTCACAGCAGAGGAGGTTGCCGCCATCGAGCGCGACAAGACCTCCGGCACCGATGCCCCGAAGGACGAGTCTGTCAGCTCCAAGGCCGGCTCCAAAAGAAAGTCCGAGGCCGACGACGGTGACTCTAACAAGAAGCCAAAGACGGCCTCCGAGAGCCCGGAGGAGGAAGACGAGGAGGAGGACGACTCCTGAACGCCCCGCGGACATGATCTTGTTTGTTGAGCATTCCGATCACGAAGTCACGACAGCCAACGGAGACGTCTTCACAGCCATCTCTACTCTTTCGAACTTGGTTTATAATGGCGGCGGGAGTCACGATGAATGTGCTTCCGGAGTGCGTTGTTTATAGGGGTTGGATCATTCCATGGACGTCTTTAAATGCAGCATTCGGGCCGGTACACAGGACTCTCGTTGCCCTCTGGCTGCCAGGCCTGGTCGACGACGCCGATGCGGCGCCGGCCATTTTTCACCTCTTTTCACTTTTGTTTTCTCGGTTAATACAAATACTCGACTGGCAACAGCATGGCACCACCCGTTCAGACGGGTGGCCGCAAGGGAAATGGGAGGGAAGAATGCATGGACGACTCGAAACGACGGATACCCCTCTTGTGTTTACTCGATTACCCCCTTCTCCTCGTTGTTTTTTGATTGGTTTTTTTTCTTCTTCACTTCATGTCACAATCTTTGTTGGGACGGGGCCTTTTGTTTCTTCAATTTCGTCGGGGATGATGCGTTTGCTGCGGCAGCAAAGGTGGGTGGGGGTCAAATGGTCTGGCTACCAAACGGAAATTTCTGGCGGGAGAGGAGTTTGACACGAAGAAAAAAGACAAAAATGAAAAACGAAGATGGCGCGCCAGCAGTGGCGCGCCCGATGTGTACGGGACAAAGAAGAATGATTGAAGATTATATTTTTTACGCCTTCTCACTTTACTTTTTCCTTCTTATGATTCTCGGGCCTTGATGGAGATTAGACTGAGAGAGGAAACTTCCCTGGCAATCCGTCGCCGGATTTGGAGAGAAACAACGACCTTTTTATGACCTTTTGATATTTGAACACGAGCTATCAATCTACACTCTTACCTGCTATATATATATACGTCTTGACCGTGCTGCGTGAACTGCTTTGTATCGGACGAATGAGGTGTTGTAGTCGTCGTCAAAAGGGACGGCCCGTTGGGTGCCTCGTGGACGTCGGACCAATGGATGCTGACGGGCTGACTCGAAGGTCGACTCAGCGAACGGCATTGGCTTGAGGCTGGACGACGAGAACGTCTCTCTCTCTCCAATCTGCCGCAAGGGACCGGGGATGAAGGGGTGGTTTTTGGAATCGACAAATGACGGGCTGGAGAATGGACTCTCGGTCGGGTGCGGCTATCGAGACCCGCCTCCGCTCGATCCAATGGTCTGCAGCGGCCAGTCTGTCATTCCAATGAGGGCCGCCCCCGCGAGAACAAACCTGGGTCGTGATTGGGGTCGACTGGCTCCCCCGCTCCTCGACCCTTAGCGCAGCAGAGAAGCTCCAGCTTTTTTTTGTTTAGACCGGTGGACCTCGGCATGTCTCTGCTGCGCGCGAGCGCGCTCTGTTGGAAATCCGATCCGGGGTCGGCTGGAGGCCTGGGGTGACACATACACGCCCCCGTCTCGCATAAGCACCCACCCCCGAGAACGTCACTGGGGGGGAAAGAAGCCGAGGCTGAATTCTGGGAGGTGCCGGGTAAGTTGGGTTACCTTTTCTCGCGGGCCGGGATTGTTCTCCGTTCGGGAATGGTTTGAAGTTTTTCTTGGGTGGTTGTGATTTAACCTGAACGACTTCATCGCCGGCCTTTTTTTTTTTTGGTGGTTAAGCGTGGGAAGTCAATTGAGCTCGTCTCGTTACGATACCAGCAACCAGAACCTCCAAGATGGCGGGACGCGTACGGCACCCGATCGACCAGGCCGCGCTGGAGCGGTACATCCAGCAGAACGTCCCCGAGATCAAGACGCCGATCGAGATCAAACAGGTACCGTCAACCACCGTCCATCTCTGCGAATGCCCTCAGCTCTTCCTCCCGCTAACCCGCGCCTCTTCACCAGTTCGGCTTCGGCCAGTCCAACCCGACATACCAACTCACCTCCGCGACCTCCGACCGCTTCGTCCTCCGCAAGAAACCCCCCGGCAAGCTCCTCTCCAAGGCGGCGCACAAGGTCGAGCGCGAGCACCGCATCATCCACGCCCTGGAACCCACCGACGTGCCCGTCCCCAAGGCCTTCTGCCTCTGCGAGGACGACTCCGTCATCGGCACGCCCTTCTACATCATGGAGTTCCTCGACGGGCGCATCTTCGAGGACGCCGCCATGCCGGAGGCCGCGTCGCCGGAGGAGCGCAGGGCGCTGTGGAAGGAGGCGACGCGCACGCTGGCGAAGCTGCACCGCGTCGAGCCGCGGGATGTCGGGCTCGAGAGTTTTGGGAAGAGGGAGGGGTTTTACGATCGGCAGATCGCGACGTGGACGACCATCTGCGAGAGCCAGGCGGCGGCTAAAGACAAAGAGACCGGGGAGAGGGTGGGGGATTTGCCGCATTTCGGGGAGATGGTTGGGTTTTTTAGGGATAAGGGGAGGCAACCTAGGGATCGGGGGACGTTGATTCATGGGGATTTTAAGATTGATAATATTGTGTTTCATAAGACGGAGGCGAGGGTTATTGGGGTTCTTGAGTAAGTTCTTTCTTTTGTTGCTTTTGTTGCTATCTGAAGAGGTACTTCGAGGGAAACCTCGAGAGTTGTTTCGAGAGATGCCTCGAGGGATGCTTTGAGAGATGCCTCGAAAGGTGTCTCGAAAGCTGCCTCGAGAAAGACACACAAAAGGAATCACATCCGCTAACACCGCACCCAGCTGGGAGATGTCAACAGTAGGCCACCCCCTCTCGGACCTCTGCAACTTCCTCACGCCCTACTTCACCGCCTCGCGCGGCGAGTCGGGCGTCTACGCCCACGAGGGCTTCCTGGCGGGCGCCACGCCCGGCCTGCCCTCGGTCGAGGAGGTCGTGGGCTGGTACTCGGCCGAGGCGGGCTGGGACCCGGCGCCGGAGCTGAACTGGGGCATGGCGTTCAACGTGTTCCGGCTGTCGGCGGTGCTGCAGGGCATCGCGGCGCGCGCGGCGCAGGGGCAGGCGAGCAGCGAGCAGGCCAAGCGGTACGCGGTCACGAGGGGCCCGTTGGCGGAGTTCGCGTGGGAGTTGGTCGGGAGGAGTATGGAGCAGGGTGGTGGGAGGGCGAAGTTGTAGATAGACTATGCGTAGAGAATGATGATGTGTTTGTTGTTATGAAGTTGAAGACGTGCTACGTGAGGCTTTGCTGGCAACTTGATACTTGCGACTGGCAAAATGAATTCGTCAGTCAACTTACACTCCTTTCTCTCAAATGAATCAACAAAATGTTAAACTTCTCAAGACTAAATAAATTCAAAAGACTAAAGATCGTAATCGAGGTCGATCAAATGCTGCTTCAATACCTTGACGCATCCCTCGTGGCCCAGCTTTATAGCATGGTCCAGCATTGTCTCGTTCCCAGAGGGGCAGTCGAATACGTCCGCCCCAGCTTCAAGCAAGACGCTGACAATCTCTTGGTGGCCGTTTTCAACCGCGATCATCAGCAGGTCAGCGTTGAGTTCGAGATATGACCTGATGTCTGATACAGTTGAGATACAGCGGCGGACGACATCCAAGCGTCCGAACTCTGCAGCGAGGTGCAACAGTGTTCTGTGTAGAAGCGCCCATTCCGACGCCGTTATTCCCAAAGCATGTTCTTCCCAACCAGTTATGTCGCAGCCATGTTCCAATAGCATCCAGATTGTTTCCACATGCTCGTTTTCAAATGCGAGTTCCCATGCGCAACGCGCGTACCGCTCATGGGAGAGAGAGTTGATATCAGCGCCCCTGGTAATCAGACACGTAGCGAAATCTGTAAGACCAGCCTTAGAACTTTTCCAAAGAAGTTCATTGTAATCTTTCCGTTCGCAAAGAGCATCGGCTCCGTTCGAAATGAGTAACTTGAGGGTGTTATCCAAGCTGGCTCTTGTCAAGCTCTGTCTTGAAAGAGTATAGGTGTGATTCCATTTAGCATCAAACACAGCAAACAGTAAGTTGCCATGTCTCTCTGTCAACTTTTGCATGGCGTCATTCTCAGTCCTCGGTAGGAGCATGCGCATAACTTCTGCGTTCCGATGTAAGGAGGCCGCATGCAATGCAGAGCTGTATGGAACACCATCAAACTCCTTGTTTGGGTCTATCCCTAGATCCAGAAGGTGTTGCACAGTCTCTGTACTTCCACTTACTGCAGCGGCAATGAGCAGACTTGGGTATTGCCATCCTGGAGCTGTAAAGTTGGCACCATGCTCAATGAGCATGCGAACGATCTCTTTGTGTCCTCCCTCACACCCGCGCTCCAGAGCCGTCGGCGAACCTGTATTGGTAGCATCGGTGCCTGCACCTGATTCCAAGAGCAGCTTGACCACGTCTTGGTGTCCATTTGCAGAGGCCGCTGCGATTGCGCTGCCATATTTGAACGGCATCTTCAAGACTTTGGCTACGTCGTAGCGCCTTTGATAATGACAACAATAACATCCAGGTTCAGTGCAGGCCAGTAGAGATTTGTCGTCCGTCAGGTGACGCTCCGTATGCGCTACGTCAGGATCCGCGCCGCTGTCAAGTAAACACTTGACTATTTCTAGATGTCCCCTCAACGAGGCTACCACGAGTGCCGAATCGCATGCATAGGACCCATCGTTGATGCCAGTCCCATACTTTTCCACGAGGAGGCGGGCCAATCTGATATCTCCATTGTGGGATGCTGCTGCAAGAGTCTCCCTGTAAATCTGACACCAGGTGTTTGAAGCAACCCCGATTCCCAAGATTCGTTCAACCAGTTTCAAGTGACCCCCGAAGAAGGCCGGCGCAAGTCCGACATCAAGCGGTACGTTGTATGCCAGGAACACGTCGATGGCATGCACGTTATTTTCAAGGCAGGCCTCATGTACTATTGAAAAACCGTGCCCCTTTGGCTTTTTCGTTCTGTGAGGGTCTGCTCCGTAATCTAGCAGAATTTTCATGATACTCCAGTCACTATTGCTATAGGCAATTGCAAGGGGGGTAGTGTATCCAGGGTCACGAGGGGATTCCCGCGCCAACATCCCAACCTCTGCACCGTATTGCAGGAGCAGGCTGACAACACTTGCATGTCTGTTGGAAGTCGCGATCAGGAGTGCAGCGCTATCTGCTGAGGCATCGACACCTTTTTCGAGAAGAGCCCGTACAAAGTCGTAGTTGCCAAGCCTGCACGCAACTCCTAAGGCGTTGGCGTCTCTCCCTTGGTAACTGTACAAACTTCGGCCGACGAATTTCTCGAGCAGAACACTGGCGTAGTCCATGTCATCCTTGGAAATGGCAACTTCGAGTTCGGCGCCGCAAATGTATGGGTCAACTTCAGCGAAGTGTTCCAAAATCATACGAACAACGCTGGCTTTTGGTTCGTAGCTGGCTACTTCGCAAGCAGCCCTCTCGAGCGTGTAGTGGTCCGAGTGCCCCCCTCTCTCATGTCGAGTTCCATAACATCGGTAATACATGTCGGCATTTATGTCGGAAGCAGTCCACTCGTCGGTACCACTGCGCTTGAGTAGAAAATCAGGGTCTTGGGGCTTTTGTGGTAAACTTGCTCCATGCTCCAAAAGCAAAGATACAATCTCAATCTGGCCACTGTATGAAGCCGAAGCAAGAGGGAGCACGCCGTACAGACCGTGTCTGTTTACATCAACTTCGTTGTCGAGTATCAGGCGAACCACATCTACTCTGCCCCGGGAACACGCTGCTATAAAGGCGTCAGAACCAGCCCTGGCGCCGCTGCTGAGAATGAGGCGAACGAGCTCCGTGTTCCCCCTCGAACACGCTGCCACCAAGGCGTCAGAATCCGCCTTGGCACCCTCATCAAGGATGAGGCGAGCAATGCTCGTCTCGTCACTTGAACAAGCTGATAGGAGACAATCTTGTCTCGCAAGTTCTAAGGCCTTTCTGTCGGTGATCTGACTCAACAGACATTGCACAATCTTCCAATGCCCCTTAGATGTAGCAATAGATAAAGCACTTCTGCCGCATGGAGATTTCCCACTAAAGTCGGCTCCTGCTTCGAGCAAAATCTTTACTACTTCTGTTCGACCTCTCGAGGCAGCAGCATGCAATGGGTATCCGAAGGAGCCGCCATACGCATTTACGTCTACCTCATTGGACAGCAAAGTCTTAACAAGAGGCACTATGCCATACAGAGACGCATAGTAAAGGCCTGGGGCAGGTGTTTCTGGTCTATTTGAATTAGGCGGGATTCCTGGTAGTTGAGAGAATAGGCTTATCATACCGAGAAAAATAGAAACGCTTGGATTGCGCGTCAGGATGATCAGGGTTAAAAAGTCGAAACCAGCTGTGATATGCCGCTTTGCGCGACAAAAGAAATTTCACGGCAAGGTCGTTGAATTGTTCGTTTCCGTCGACTGGGCCATTTGCCGCAAGCTGAAGCCACTCCCGAGCAGAGTAGCTGGCAAAAGGATACGACTTCTTGCTTTCATGCGTTCTTCTTGTCGCAGTGTCATCCAATGCAGAAAGATAAGCTACGCAAACTGCTGAAAGAGACACTTGCGAAATCGAAGAATTCATCTTTTCTCTGAGGTCATCCTGAAGTCGATCCGACGTCAAAAACTCCTTGACGGAATAGTGCGCAAGCCGAATCCGGAGAACTTTCTTCTTCCGTGGCCCCCAATCGAAGTCAGATCGTCTTTCGAAAGTTTTCTCAGCAACAACCAAGCCGGGGCAGAAGCGACATATTTCGGCTGGGACGGGCATTCTCAGGTCTGGGTCGAATTTGGTAGGTGTTTTTAAGTCGACCGCGACAGCATCGACAAGCTCGTCAACAGTGAGCGGCGTCGCCGAGAATAGAACAAATCGCAGGAGTGTAATGGCTTTGTCTTTGCTCTCGGGCGGAATGCTCTGAATCATGCGCTGGTAGGTCTCATCAAGACCTAGAGGCAAAGAAGACAGTTCTCTTTGAAGACTCCCAGGATCGAAACACTTTGCCAATGAGTCTAACTGACAAGAGACCCATCGAAACCTATTTCTTGTCAGCATATTTCACATTCTTTGAGCAGTGTCAAAACTTAACTTACATCTGTTCTGACTTCTCTAACAGCGATGATTTGATCTGGTCCAACATCTGGGGTCTACCCTGCCACCTATCGAATCTTCCGCCCGGACCCAGCTCACCGTCAATGTAACTCTCTATGTCTTGGTCGAGTTTGCTGTTTTGCAGAGAAATTCTTTCCCTTCTAAGCGACCACTGCGATAATGCCCTTTCAATATCTGGTTCTGCTCGGCTTGTTACGAGAATATGGGATTTCTGCTTGGTGTCTTCCTTTAGTCGCTTGAGGAATGCCAACACCCCCCGAGAGTCTTCCCTGTTTGTCGACTCGTCAAGAGCGTCAATGACGACGTGGATTCCTTCGCTGCCTTTGGTCAATGATTCTACCAGGCAGTCATAAAGCTGACCAGATATTGGCCGAGTTCCTTGATGCTCGCTTGTGCATCGTTTCCACATGTTTTCAACACAAGCTTTGGAATCTTGATGTTTGTGACAAAGTTGATGTACAAGTGATCCAGCGAGGCTGTCAAAAGTCTGCTTCCCTTCGTCGCTGAAAGAGAAGTAGAAATATACCAGAGTGGATGGAGCAATGTCGTCGATGATGGTCGAGCTCAAGATCGTCTTCCCACATCCTGCCTTGCCATGTAGCCAAAGGAAGCTCCCTGGCTCTTGCTTCCATGCTACATATCTGTGATCATTCAGGAGCCAGGTCCCCGACCCTGCATGGCGGCAATTCCGGGCGGCGTTGTGGTTGGTTGCAGGATTTGGCGCATTCAGCCAATTGGTGAGTTTGTCGTCCTGCCGGTCGCTATACATTGTGTCTTGAACCTCCTTGATCTCTTGTATGCCTTTATGCACTTGAAACAATCAGTTACGGTTGATTTTCAATGTAGTATGCTCCTAACCTGATTCAATTGCATCGACGATCTTCCTCTCTGCCTCAATCTTGTTCTGAGGTATGCGCCGCAAAAGCTCAGCCGCGTAAGCTGCAGCTGTCATTGCAGCGTAGCCACGCCAAATGTCATTCTTATGAGTGTCGGAATAGTCGCAGACGCCCCGAATCACCAAGCAAGGAAAGTGGTTCATCAGGCCAGCAGCTTCCATCTCAAAGCAAAGAACGGCCTTCTCAGCTGCGAGACGGTCGCGGATAGTGGCATCCTTCATAAGCTGGTTTGCGGATGCGATGAGGCCATAGTGTATGGCTGGGTCATCGTCTTCGTCCTCGTCCCTACGCTTGCGAGGGACAATCTTGTTTGGGTTTGTACCGCACTCAGATTGGCAGTCGTTGACGCCGACGGGGTGGATAGCGTTAGAACGATAAAGAACATCGGTTCCAGGCTCTGGACGCTTGTACTTCTTCAGTCTCCTGTTCTTGTCGAGGATCCCATCAATGATGTCTCGAAGGTTATGGCCTTCTGATTCGTGATCAGCTTGTAGGCTCGTAACCGCTGTCCTCACGAAAGTAGGGGGTTGGTCCAAGTGCTTTGTATGCTGGAAAGCTTGCTCTTGGATTGTCTTGCCGAAGTCGTATTGAAAGACACCGCTGTTGCCGTTCTTCGGAGAGCTGACGACGACGTCGCCAAGCCGGATGTCGTTCTTCGACGTAGGAGCACCGCCGCCAATGCCCACCATAAGTCCGATTCTGATGTTGGTAAAAGTATGAAGCATGTCCCGCGCAACTGCCGTTGCCGAGCTAGTGCCATACTCGCCATCAGGTAGCACTGCAATAACCACATTGTGATTCCCGATTTGACCGAGCTTGTAGCTGTTGTTGTCGTGCGCGGCGACGAAGGAGGGAGGTTCATGCTTCTTCTCTAGGAACGATTGTGCGGCGACAAACTCGGTTTTGATCGCGCATATCCAGCCCACAGTGTACTTTGCTGGGTCGGACATCTCGACAGCGCATCTCAGTCGCTTGGACAAGCCAAGAACAGCAACTGAGGAGTGAAGGCGAAAATGAAGCTGAACTAACGAGATTTTCGCACCGTTGTCGAGTTGAAAGAGCGGGAAGAACAGGCTCCCTCTTCCATTTCTTTCCGTGGGAGAAATCAGGCTGTGCTGCGCCGCTCTGCTGCCCACCACATGACACCTCAGAGATGTCTAGGCAATGAGGGGTTTCCATATGTGGTCGATCATTGGAGGAATTCGGCCGCCTTGTGGGACAACGTGAAAACAAGGCGACCAATCCATTCCTTGGCTGTTGGTCCCGTATGAAAGTCATCCCGAGGCATGGAGGATGAAGATGACGGCGATACGCACCGCGATTCTGATTGGCTGCTCTCATAGCCAAGTAGGCACGGTGGCGGTGGCATCTTTCTTGTAAGCCGCTGTCAAATACGTTTCATTTGCAATCAGACGATTTCACGGCCTTCGTCTAACTGCCTGGAGAAACGTTCGCCCACTTTGGCAAGTTTCGAACACTACAGCGTTGTTGAATCACTAGTTCAACCCATTTTGGCTTCACATACACATACATGTGAGTTTTTAGAGGCCCAATCACATCATTGAAGAATACAACCAATCAGGGCCTTTTAATGACATCTGCTTCTTTTCGACGTAGTTTCAAGCGTAACCGTCCTCTGACAAAAGATCAACTCTCTTGACTCTACTGGCCCAACATGACCTCCATGTTCTCTTTGCTGAGCTTTCCTACATAATTGGAGTTCTTTTCGTTAAACTGCCTACGTAGTATTCGGAAAATTAAACGTCTGCCACATACCACGGCAGTGGTTTTAGCGCAAAGCTAAATATCGTTGGCTAGGTGACCGAAGGATCTCATCTTACATAATTCATCCTTTGACCGTGCTCGAGTCTCAAGTTGCCTCCTTGCTCTGTTGCCTAAACTGCCTCCCTACAGCAACAGTATTCACATCACTTGGATATTTCATCGCTAAACAAGCAAATACTCATACGTCGATCTCTGAATAACATCAAACTTCCAAAATGCAAGACCTTCCCGATCATGTATGGTCCCTCATCTTCGACCACCTCGAGTACCCCATCAGAGAGTCAAACTTCTCACACGAGATCAAATACACGCACCATGGGTCTGGAATCGAAGCACTAAACCGGCTCTGCCAAACCTCCTCCCGGTTCCTGCCCCTCGCTCAGCGGGTCCTCTATCGCAGCCTGCCATTCATCAGCCCTGCCAATCAGAAACGTCTCCTAGATACCCTCCACAAGCACACTCACCTCAGAGAGCTTGTCCAGTACATCTTCATGGGGGACGGCATCATGTCCCGTAACGAGTTCGTCAAGCTAATCATCCCGTACTATTCCGAGACACTGGAGCGGGCTTCGTTCGTACCAGACGGTCTCGAGGCCGCGATCAAGGGCGTGCCCGAAGGCGAAGAATGGCAGGATTCCGTGACGGATATCTGGTTCGCGTACTGCGCTATTCTGCTGCCCAACTTGAGGCTGATCGACTACGAGACCCGAAACTTCGACGAGCACTTCCCAGCCATTATTCGCAATGCAGCGAAGCGGAGGACAGAGGCATCTGTCGCACCGCGGGAGGCTACTTTGGCGTCACAACCGCAGCCCGGCTCGGTCGCGTCATTGCCACCTTCCCAACCGCTTTCCAAACTGAGAGAGTTCCGCATCAGCAATCAAGACACGGAGTTCGCGGTGCGGCTGGGTGGTATCCAGGAACTCTTCCTCCTACCGGAGCTGCAGATATTCCGTGGCTGCGCCGTGGAACTCAAAACCAAGCTGGCAAGGCAAACACCTCGACCAATAAGCACCCTGAGGCATGCGTACCTCGATAACTCTCTCGCCGAAGCCGCCGGCGTCGGCGACCTCCTCCGCACATGTCCCGACTTGCAGACGTTGTCGATATACTGGGGATCGGCCACGGTGGGCGACAGCGAACTCAACTTTGATCACTTCGGCAAGGTCCTCCGGGAACACGGACAGAACCTCGAAACACTGGATCTTGACTGCACGGAATGTTTCTCGTATGAAGGGGGAGAATGGAATGGCAAGATCGGCGACCTCACGCCCCTGAAGCGTCTGAAGTATCTCACGTTGCCCCTGGATATCATGCTCGGGAGCGAGGATGAGCTTAGCGGGATGGACAATATCGGCGACAGTGACGACGAAGGTGGTGAGAACGTCGAGACTGTTCCGATTACAAAAGATAGCTTGGAACCGCTTCTGCCGGAGTCCCTGGAGAAGTTGCGGTTTTACAGCGGCTACGACGAAGCTGACTGGGTACGCGACAGTATTCAGGGTGTTCTGTCTAGTCAACGGCTGAACCAACTCAAGAGATTGCAGTTTGATCTTGGCGTGACGCTTGATGTGGGATGGGATAAGACTGGTTGGTTGAGCAAGAGAGCTGCTGGCCATAAGCTGTTCTATAGATGAGTGAAGCTTGGTTAAGTCTAGAGCTGGGATAACGAGACACACACATCATCTTTCCTCTTCCTTTTTCGGGCAATAAGTAGCCAAGATGTCTTCCTAAAGTTGGCTTATACACGAATCTAGTTTGTTAGTTTAGTTGGATGGTCACATAATGAACACCCTGTCTGGTCGGTGAGGCGTCTGGGTACAACGTTGGAGACATTTGTAGAAAAGACTTCAATCCACCAACTCGTGAACAGACTGAATTCAATCGAAATCATCAATACGATGTGCTGTCTGGCTTAGAATTGCCAGTTTTGTAGCGATACAACTTACCCCTTTTCATGGGTTATCGATTGCGCCTCGGCTTTAGAATGTGACTAGAAGTCGACGACCGCTTCTTAGAAAACACCCATACCTCCTGTTTAAAGAAAAGGAACAAGAGAGAGGGTCTTCAAGCTTCGCCCATATTGAAGATGGCCACAGTACACCAAAAAGCACATGTCGTCGCCATATACGTCCAAGCTCAGATCAAGTGTAGTTCAGGGACGACATCCACTCTCATCCGAGGCCCCTCGGTCCCGAAACGACCTCCGAGCCGGTACCTGACATCCTCCGACGGGATACTCCCCCTACATTCATCCCATTCCTCCCGCCTCTTTCACTCTCATAGGCTCATGGGCCAGCAACAAAGTTGACTTCCGTAAAGTTTTCTCTTTTTTTTTCATAGTCTTTCTCTAAACGGATTTTACATCTACTACACGACCGGGATGCAATAAACCTAGTCCAACTTTTGTGTGTGTGCCAGTCCACCTAACAAAGCACTCACACGCAAAACAGGGAGACTCCACCTCCTGTAACACACGCTGTACGGCTCTCTTCTTAAGATTTATTTTCGCTAAACTAAACGACCAAGAAATATTGGGATATGTGGTGTGAACAGGCTTTCAAACATTTGCCTTCCGAGGCCAGAACGGAGCGCGGAATAGACCCCGTCTCTTTATCTAAGCTCCCTTTAGTTCTGGGGAGCAAGGTTCCTCCTGGCCACGAATGAACGGGCGAGGTCGCGCTTGTTGTTGTTATTGTTCTGGTTGCGGCCACGTCCGTTACCACCGTTGCCGCCGTTGCCTCCCGTCTGAGCGTTCGCGTTGCCGTTGGCGCCGTTGTTGCCGTTGGCAGCGTTGTTGTTGGCGTTGGTGTTCTTGCCGGCCTTCGCAGCGCCGCCTCCTTGGGTGGCACCGCCGTTCGCGTTACCGTTGTTCGCGTTGGCGTTTCCGGTGTTCGCATTGCCGTTGCCGGTACCGGCGTTGGCGCCGTTGTTCTTGCCGGCCTTGGCAGCACCGCCGCCACGCGTGGCACCGCCGTTACCGTTCGCATTGCCGTTGTTGTTGTTGTTCTTGCCATTGTTCTTTCCGTTACCATTGCCATTGTTGTTGTTTCCGCCGCCGTTGTTGTTACCGGTGTTGGCATTACCGGCGGGACCAGCGGCTTCCAATGTGGCGTTATTGCCGAGAAGCTCCTTAATAGCGAGGGCGCCCTGCTCCGACTGAGACTTTGCCTCTGCGTTGGCCTTGAAGGCGGCGGGAAGATCCGCAGTGTTCTTCTGGACCTTCTTCAAGACACCCTCGAGGTCCTGAGCCGTGGCGATGTTCTGGGGAGTGTTCTGCTTGGGAGTAGTGTCGGTCTGCTGGATGGCGACGCAACCACCAAAGGGACCAGCGGCAGCGGCGTTAAAGCAGCGAATGGTGCAAACATCTCCTGTAGAGGCTAGCATGTGTTAGCATCACCTGATATTCCTCCCAGTTGCCCTCTCAAAGAGTCGAAAAGACGTACCTCCAACGCATGCCATGTCTTGCGGCAACTGAACCTTGAGGTTGATGATGCCATTCTGAGGCTGGGCCTCTTGAATCTGAAGCTTGGTCTGACCCGAAGCGGCGTTGGCGTTGCTGGTCTGGTCGAGATCGCAGGTGTAAGGTCCGGCGCCGTCTTGGCTGACTTGGGCGATCTGGATGTCGACGGTGCTACCCTTCGTGACCTGGGTGACGGTCTTCGCGGCCAACTGGTTCTCGGTGTTCTCGCCGATATCGATGTTGCCGCCGAGAATGGTACGACCGCATTCGTTGACGACGTTATCGGTGATCTCCTTAGTGCTGATGATGTTGGCATCGGCCTGCTTCGTGTTGACTATTGAGTCGATGTTAGACCCCTGATTCATTCCCATCTGCCGCACTGATGAATCATCGTCATGAAGTCTTACCTTGGAAAGGCAAACTGGCAGCGCCCTTGCCCTGCGCCTTGAGAATAACACCTTGAGCTGAGGCCATCGCCAACAGGGTGGAGGCCACCAAGGCCTTCATAGAGGTAGACATGGTTGATTGCTTTGCGAATGAATCGAAAGAAAGAATAAAAGTCAAAAAATTGGATTAGAATGAACAAATGTGTCCAGCACCGTGTTGAAGGGAACGAAAGAGGTTTGGGCCGAAGAGAAACAGACCGGCTGGGAAGAATTCGACGAAAGGAAAGTGTGAGCGAGCGATCCAAACGGGAGGAGCACAGGGAGGCCTGTTTTTACCCGAAGAGCGAGCCTATTAAGTTTTATAACGGGCTTGACATGGTTGCTAAGGTTCGAGTTGACTTCCCTCCCCGTTGAGGATGACAAGACGAGTTTCTTCCAGGGTAGAGCTTGTTTCGACAAGGGGCAAAGGGGTGGTGAGCATGGTTTGCGGTCGAGAATGTGTAAGCGCTTTGGTGATGCCTCTCTCAGGAACCAGGTTACGCTGGGCGCAGCTGGGAACGCTCTCCACTGTCGCCTCGTCGAGTCTCTCCGTGGTTAGCGACATGGGCTGGCTTCGTGCCAGGCTCAATTGTTTCTCATCTGCAAAATATTGCGTGTAGCCAAGAAGAACTCCAAGCACAGATCCCGTCCGCAGCTCCGACGATCTTCTGGAACGGATGCCGTCGCGTGGGTGGAGATGGCAGTGGGTACACGGAGGTGTTGGTGGTGTGCAAGACCGAGTCTTCTCCGTGGGGAGCCAGTATGGCGACCACCCTTCTTACTTTGCCGAGAGGCCTGTCCACTTCAAAAGCAAGGGATGTTTAGGCTCGAGGCGACAGGGCGGTTCCGTCCCGTTGTATAGGGTTGCGTCGCGTTGGCTTCCAGGTTGTGGTAGCAATGGGCAGATGTCGCTGGGAGTCCAGACGAAAACGGGGCTACAGCCGCGTTTCAGGCCCCTTTTGAGATGGTCCATCATGGCCATTAATGGGCCTTATGTGCCCCCCCTCAACGTTGACAGAGCCGCCCAGTCGCATCGCCCGAGATGGCACCTACACGTGTGGAAGGCGGCGGCGGCGGCGAACCTCCGATGGCAGCTTTTAGCAGCGGGAGAAGTTCAGACGGTCCATCATCCATCCGGCCTGAGACGAATGCGTAACGCCCAGGAGCCCAGTGACAGGATCTCTCCTCTCTTCGCTTCCAGCTTCGCCCTCCTCGCGTATTTAGTCCAGCGGGTTCTCCGCGATGTCAGACCGGCTGAGATGGAGTCGTCCCAGCCAGTTCCAGACCATTGCCCCATGATTGAGGCTGGAGTTGACTGGAAAGTTGGCCAGCCGTGATTTAAGGTGATTGGGATCCCGTTTCCATGCCCTGGACGGTGGATCTGGATGCTCCCTCGATAACGTTGTTCGGAGCCCGAGGGACAGTCCTTCAGCTTGCTCGGTACTCGCTTTTGAGACAAGCTTCGTGAATAAGGTCGAGACTAAGGGGAATTAATAGATTGAGGGCGGGAGCTGCCATATTGCGGTGGGGGAAGATTTGGGCTGATGGAAGTGTGGACGAGAAAGGAAAAAGCAGGCGGAGAAGTCTCTGGGGGCAGTTGGATCTCGCATTTGGGGACACTTCAGGGTTGTCCGGGCAAATGGAGACGCAGGGTCCAGCACCATCAGCCGCTGACTGCGGCACAACGTCGTCATCGCATGACGCTGAAACAACCATCTGGCCAGCGTTTGACCCATCAGCGCTGCTTCGCTGCTGAGCTTTCTCTTAGTCAACCGTGTTGACTCTCATTTTCAGTGCACACTTAAAGACTACGGCTCCATGCTGTTCTGCATCCCACCACCAGGCCGTCGTTCTGGTGCTTTCGTTCCTGAACTGGTCTAATCCCGGGCCTTGGCCGCGGCCGAGATTCCGGGTTGCCCCTTTCACAGACATGCCACCCCATAAATTCTGTCACTCCTGCATGTCTGCTTAGACGGCACAGCAGCCAGCTGAAGTCTGCGTCAGCCCTTTAGCTATGAGCCATGTAATCGTCTATTTTGATATTCGTCGACTTTTCAAGTTGTTCAAGTCAAAATCGTATGAAGAAAACCCTACAAGATTGGTATGAAAATCAAACTACTTCAACATAACGAGTGAAGTGTGTTGATAATGTTAGTGGGCCCGACTGCAACTCGAAACCTCACCACGGCTTCTGTCGTTCCCTCCGCTAGTGAGACGCAGAAGCGTGATGCTTCAAATATGTGGATGATCGTGATGTCCGACGTTTCCTATATTAGAATCACTTTTGAAGTGCCGCTCATTCAGTAACCAGGTCATGGCTGGCCGAGTTCTATGCACCGCACATGGGTCATCGCGGTCGACTCCCACGGACCAGAAACAACTGCTTGCCCACGAGATCTTGAGTAAGTGGTTCACTGCGAGGGGGATGACAGGATGAACTTTATTGATATCGAGTAGTGGGAGCAAACCTAACTCCAGTCTTTCCAGTTATTAAGCTCGAGGGGCCCCTCAGTTTGATTTGCAGATTTGCGGTAAGATATGGAGCAGTGGAAGCTTTATCGGTGCGGTCCTAACGCACTTTGTCTGTAAGTGGTTGTGATCACATACAGCAACAGCATTGTCCCACTCAATTGAGGCTTGTTCGAGATGAGCAGCAGCTACTTTCGTTTCTCGACAGTAGAGGTTGACTTGGTGTTCACGATAACATGTACGCAGGTGAGTCATCTTGGAGAAAATATTAGCATAGTGAGACGAGTCAAGCAACTCTAGAATCATACCTCCTATTTCCAATATCGCGCTCACAAGGGAAGAGGCCATGTCGTGATGCGGGCTGAATGGAAAATTGTGAAGTTGGAGAGGAAAAATTTCAAGACCACAACCCTTGTCAACTGAGGCCAAATCGTGCAGGAAACGCGCTAGAGGATTGCTGCACCGCTGTGGTTGGCTTCAGAGTCATACGTACGCCCGTTCAGCCACTGTAAAGCCCGTTCTTCCAGCAAATCGGGAAGGTGACCAGGAGACCCCCAGCGTCGCTTTCATGAATGAGATTCTTTTTCATGTAGGATTTCTACTTCTCGTGAGTCACACGTTGCAGAATTATGAGAGGTTTAACATGAATATTTGTCGACGACTCGTTCACTAGATTGATAGAAATATTATTTATGGCAGTGTGCCTCACTTCAAGAATTCGTCTCAGCACTCATCTCAGCTCTCATTCAGCACTCAACACTTACACCATCACTCACATCACCACTCATACCGGCACTTACATCAACTCTAAACTCATCAGCTTCATTCAAACATTCCACGCACAACACAATTCATATTGGGAATCCCAATACAGTCTTCAAAATGACGGCCCCTTTCCCCCAAGAAGCCTACAAAATAACAACTCCACGCCTCATCATCCGCAGCGGAGTCCCCGAAGATGCCGAAGCGCTGTACACCCTCTTCTCAACTCCCGAAAACCAGCCGTACGACACCGTCCAGCCCGACATCTCGCCCGAAGTCATGAAAGGCCGCATCGAACGCTGGAAGCCACTTACCGCTGCCGGAAAGAACGCCTTCATGATGGTCACCCTCCGCGAAACGGGCGAAGTCATCGGACAGGGCGGGTACAACTGCTTCGAGGACGCGGATGGCAAGTCCGTCGCGAAACAGGAGGGGGAGGACGAGGTTGGGGGTCGTCCGTATCTCACTGATACTGGCGTCGTTCTCGACCATCGGCACTGGGGCAAGGGGTACGGACGGGAGACCCTGTGCGCCAAGGTCGAGTATGCGGTCGAGGAGCTCGGGTGTAAAGTTGTTCGCGTCGAGACGGATGAGAAGAATAGGCCGTGGAGGGCGCTGATGGCGTCTATGGGACTGGGGCATATCGAGACGATTGGGGTGACGAGTTATGATGAGAACACTATCGGATGTGTGTACAACATTGATGTTGAGACATGGAGGACCGTAAGAGAGGATATGAAGAAGAACGGGAAGTGGCCCCTGTGAGGTTGCTTCTCAGGCATGTTAGATTGTATAGATATCTAGACTACATGGGAAAAATAAGATCACATCTACGAGAAAATATCAATCGTGAGCTCGAGAATTGAGTAGGATATTTGTCAAACGACAAGGAGTTAAGGGGTGAGATCTGAATATGAATTTTGTCAACAACCACTTCATTTCGCAACTTCCCCGACCTCGAACTTAGAGTACTCCGGCAGCTTGAAGTCTGAATCCTCAACACTGGTATCATCCGAAAACTTCTTCGCAAACCAAGGGAACGTAACAAGCCTCGACATTCCCGCCAAAAACGACTGCAGCACCCACCTCTTCCACGCCGGATCAGGGTGCATGAAAGCAGGAAAGAACCACGGGATATTCTGCGTCTCCTCAACATATTCCCTCAACTTGTTCTCAAACTCATCAAACGCCTTGCCTGGATGTTCGCCCTGTGCCAAGTTGCCCAACTCTCCCGCGAGAACATACGCCCCTGAGATGGCCAATGAGCACCCCATGCCCGTCAAAGGCGAGGGCGTCCACGCCGCGTCGCCCAGACATACCACTCTTCCAGTGGACCACTTCTTCATCTTGATCTGCTGGATAGCCTGGAAATAGTAATCCTCAGACTGCTCCATCGCATCCAACATCCTCAGCGCCTGCCACCCTGCGTCCGCGAACTCCCTCCTGACGAGTTCCTGCTGCGTCTTCCTGTCGCTTCTGGTCGCCTCTTGCCACAAGCGTCGCTGTGCGTCGTTCAGAGGCATGCGGGTAAACATGGCTCTGATGGTTCCGTGAGGATCGGGGCGCAACGTGACGATTCGGGACCCGAGACCAACAAAGACGTTCCACCAGTCGTCGTCTTGCGGCAGACGCGGAATGGTCGAGTACACGACGTACATGTCCTTATCGACCACCGTCACGGAGTCCTGCGGGAAGCACTGCTTCCTGATCCGGGACCACTGTCCGTCCGCTGCGACGAGAACGTCGTACTCGTTCACCTCGCCGTTGCTCAGCTCCACCTTGACGGACTTCTCGTCGTTGGAGAGGACTTCTTTGCTGGTGACGCCGAAGAGATACTCCACGTTCGGGTGATTCTTCGTAGCCTCGTAAAGAAACCATGCTAAGTCCCCTCGGAGAATCTCGAATTCGGATGTAGGGCTGGCTGAGCCGCTCTTGACAGGGAAGGGGGCGAAGGGCTTTCCCTGGGAATCGATGAGCTTGGTGCCCTTCTCCGTCGTGTTCCACCTTTTCAATTCGTCTATGAGTCCCATCTTCCTGATGACTTTGATGGCTCCATAGTTGACGTCGATGTTGTGCCCCTGTCTGAGGAGAGAAGAGCTTTTCTCGAGGATGGTGACGCGGGCGCCGGTTCTCGCGAGGAACCAAGCCAAGGTTGGACCGGCGACGCCAGCTCCGCTGATGAGAACGCGCATGATGATTCCTGATATGATGTTGAGAGTAATAGACGACTCATCTAATGGATGAAGAGAATATCAAAGCTGCAAGGGCTTGGAGCAAAGACGATTTCAACCCCTATTAATACTTACGACGTTGTTGGCCGCATTAGTACTAAAGTGCTTACCGTCCTAGCGCTTCGGGGCGCATTCCGTGTCACGCCAATGATGATGAGAAGTCTAGGAGATTCGAGTCCCTTTGTTTCAAGATGTCAGAAATTTAGCTGACCTACTCACATCAAAGTGAAGGTGCTTTCAGTTGCTCTTGCTTTGCTGTCGTTTGACTCAACTTCCGACCCAGTCCATACGTTCCCTAGGAATCGCTTCATCGTGAGTGTTTCCTGAGCTCACCCAGAGTAGAGCTTCGGATCATCTCAACGAGTAGCTGATCAGTCATGACAGGAAAGCAATCATTTTTACTACAGATCGACGATCTGTCTTGAGGGAGAAGTCAGACGTGCAGCGGGTTGTCCCGGCGCGGCGAAAGCTTGTTCGTCCGTAGTCCGACCGACTGAAGTTCTCGGCGCCTGGTTCCGGATTCACTCCGTTATTCCACCGGTGCACCTCCGAAGGCAACCAATAGATTGATCCCCTATGCTAAGGCGGGCGTTCCTGAGGAATTTTGGAACGAAGAGTCGGGTCCCCGGCAGCACACGTGGATCGGTAAAGACGGCAACGGTGGCTGACGCTAGACAAATGAGGTGCCGCCAGAGGGGACTCCCTTTGAAGTCGTTGACGTCTTCCATACCAAGTATCTGAAGAGCGTTGCACATAGCCTCCTGGGTATTCCTCAAAAGATTGGGGATCATTACGAATTAGGCCGAAACTGAACGGGAGGAATGCGAAGAAATAGAATATGGCCCTTTTCATTGTTGAAGTTCTGAGCAGGATGTCTCATCTCAGCTCAGGAACGGCCTCTCCCCAGGTTACTCGATGTCCTGCAGTGTTGAATTGAGAGAGTAATTTTCAATTCAACTTCGAACTTACAACAATTTCCAAAGCAATATTGGCTGCAATGGCGATAACCTTTGCGGCCATGATGCAGTACTGAGGTGACTGGGTGTGATCGCTGAAACTATTGCTCTAGTCCAGCGTCAGCCGAGCAATACAGATTCCATCGGAGTATCTGAATGCAACAAGCCTATTCTGAAGCTCTATGAAAACATTCCATGTATGATATTAGACTAGACGCATTAGACAAGCTGAAGTTTGCCTAGAGTCTGTTGACGCGGAGCCTACACCAATCGGTTATCGAAGCAAAGCGCATCGCCAACACGTTCATGCCAACGTCGAAGCTAGGGCCGTCATTCAGACCAAGAGCATCTTTGCTTGAATCCCGAGAGCAGACGAAGTTCATCTTGGACAGGACCTGCGTCTGACCACAATAGTCTTTCAGGGTTCCCGTGCAGTCTGGAGGGCTTTGAGGAGTATTTTTTGTTGATTTGGCTTCAGTATCTGCAAACTTTGAGCTACCCTTCGTCTGAATTCATTTTCACGCTCAACCCTTCCACAAACATCACAAAAACGCCAACGCTGTGCCAATATTGAGCCATGACGACCTTACAAATGCAAGGCTTCGTGGCTCGCTTCAAGATCCAATAGCGTCGAGAGCAGCCACCTCCACAAGGGACCATTGGAGTCGTAAAGTCCTGGTGAGTGAATGCTGTATCTCGTGCCAGGCGCCTCTTCGCCTCTCACCATAATCAGTTCATGTGCTTGCCCTCCCCTGGCCTCACCCAACACGCAGAGTACGCGACCTTGACGAACGTCGGCTCAGTTCGGTTCGATCCGTAGATATCCTTCAGGAAGTCCGCGCAGTGTTCCGTGTGATAATTGTTGACGATGACAGCATCGAAGGTCCTCCTCTCCTCGAACAGTGTCCAGAACTGCTTCTTCCACAGCATCGAGCAGTGGTTGACGTGGTCCTCGATCGAGGTGTAGTACGAATCGTGGTCGCCCATCTCTTCGCGGGTCAGGCGTTGCGTGAGGTTGACGCTGCGGGTACATCACTGATCAGCCACAATTCTCACAGATGCTAGCGAGATGGTAGTAAACTTACTCAGCATACGCATGCCATGTATCGTCGTCCATGTACTCTTGCTCAAACTCCCGATCATAGCACGGCGCCGGCACCCAGTGATTCAGCAGCGTATCGTACCAGCACCCATTCTTCTTCGCCTCCTGCGTCGAGTTTCCACAGCTGACCAACTGCGCGCCAGAAGTCACATTGTGCGTCAGCGCAATGAAGTCCGGTCCCGGTACGGTGCTGCCCGCCTTGCCGTCCTGTCCCACCTGCGGGAGCGGCGACGGGAGACCCTTCGAGGGCGAGGACATCGACGGCGGCGGCGTCGGCATGGCGGGACTCGGCGAGTCTGTCGGGGCCTGGGGTCCAGGCAGGAACGAGAACGCCAAAACCCAGACCAGCGACGTCGCCAGGAAGACGAGGAAGTCCCGTAGATACCTCCGCGTGCGCGACGTCTTCAGCGCGTGCTGCTGGTGCAGGATGGCGTTCTCGTTCCCCCCGCTCTCCTCGTCTTCCGCGGAACTTCTCTTCGTGGGGTCATCTCGGAAGCCTAGAAAGGGCTGGCTGTCTTCCGTTTCGGGCTTCATCGTCGTCGATGTTGGGTGGAGTTGATTACCGAGAATGCAGCGTCGATCCGTTTGTCTGGGGAAGAAACAGCATGTGCTCTAAATTCTCCGCCGAAGAAACAAGAAAAGTCTTCTGGCGTGCTGCCATGAGGTACTTGATTTCAATATGTACATAACGTTGAACCTAAGCGTTTCATCGTTTTATGTAGTATGCGGGCGTCTTGCAAGCAGACCTGCGCGACGTGGACGATGCCAACCCGGTTTCAGAATCATCTGAAGGCACGGCGCTCGTCCACGAACTGTATTCCACCCTATGATCGGCCTCGTGGCCGGGATAATGGAAACCATGGGGATGACGAAACGTGGTTGAGACGTCCGCTGCAGGTGTTCTTTTGATCTTATCGTGCACCGCCTCAGTGCATGTTTACATCCGAACTTGAACTCGGGCAATCCTTCGGCACGGTGGCTCCACATCGCCGAGCGTCGCGGCATCGGGCCATGGTCCGGACGACGAGCTTCGGTCAACAATCACAAAGCAGAACGAATGATCAAGCTACAATTGCGGTGAACAGCTCGTAAGTCTTCCTGTCTGACATGATGTTTTCGTCTTTAACCCATAACATGAGTCTTTCTCTTCTCTGACTGCCATTCCCGATATCTATCAATGCGCATGCGGCACCACATGCCATCAACGTTCACCTCCATCCACTTGATGTGGCGTCCAGGCTGCCGTCTCTTCTCAGCCCGGCGAAACGACCACGCGTCAACGCCGATTCTCTCGGGACGAGGCCAAACTAAGAAGGGGATGACCTCAAACTTCATTCCGGCCACAGCAAAAGCTTCAGCCAAGTGCTGCGCAGACTTTCCAGTATCCTTCTCGAAAATGGGAGACTTGACAGAGACAGTTCGCAGACTTGGCAATTTACCTGCCATTCGAGATGACGCCAGGAGGGAGAGCATGATGGCAAATGGCTGCGCACTAGCATCAAGAGCGTTTAAGTCGCGTAGAAGGTACCCATCAGGTCCTGATTCGATCCAGTGTCCAAGAGATGACACTCTGTCATCCATGGTCCAGATATCATCAAGCGACAGTCTCTCCAAGTTTGGTGGAAGACGGTCGCAGATGTCGGCAGTCATCATGTCGCCCGGGTCTTTGAAAAGACAGGGGACATTGGTGCGCAGGTCGGTGAGTTCGGCCATGCCCGCCAGCCAGTCGGAGTTTGGTTCATCACGGAAAAAGAATCTCGGGTTCGTCTTGGTCAGCAAAGTGAGCGAGCGGAGACGCGGGCAGCTGTTGGGAATGGCGTCTGATATCCGGGCAGTTTCTTTGCTTCCTCGGAAACCACCGTACTCGTCAATGGGGCCTGGGTCGTCGCAGTCAAGATCGATCTCAAGGGCCCTTAGATTGGGACAACGCCGCAAGATACAGCACAGGGCGGATCCCGGCATCGTCTCATGGTGAAAAGAGAGTGTCTCGAGTGCGAAGAAGGGCTCAGACCATGTGATCTCGTCGAGGTATCCCCACTGAGTGGTGTCGGAAAAGGTTGTCAGGGATAACAGGGAAGGCAACGCAAGTAAGCTGGGCAGATTGAACGGCCAGAGTCTGGGTCGAACAGCGCTGTGGATGAAGTCGAAGCATCCCTTTTGGTGGTGCATATCAAGACTTCGCAAGCAGGGAAGGAGTTGATGTTGACGATGGTGCATTGCCTTTGTGGCAGTGTTGTCGTTGGTGTTGTTGTCAGCCACGAAGTTGTCGGAAACTAAGAGGCCTCCAATGGCCTCACAGGTTGTGTCGACTCCGCGAAAGAGTGAGAGAAAGGACTCGACTCCGTTGCCTGTGTCGTCGATATAGTCTCGATCGTGACGGACGTCGAAGCCGAGCGTTAAAGTCTCGAGGTTTGTTGTGAGAGACAACATGAGGCCAATGAGGGTCTGGAAGACGTCCTCGACCGGTCCCGGTCTTATGGCCCCCTTATCGTCAAGGATACCAGAGCGTTTGACGACGCTGGCATGGAAACTTGGTATCTTGCTCAAATCGAGATCAAGACATCCATAGAGGCCATCCTCGCACTCTCCTCCGTCGTCCAGAGAAAATCTCAAGTCGAGTTGTTTGACGTAGGCGCGGAGACGGGGGAACTCGACAAGAGATCGCAACAATAAGCCGGCGCGTTTGCCACTCTCGTTATGGATGTTGGAGAAAAGTCGCTGCTGGCTGACGAGTTGAAGAGCACGGCAAGTGCTGGAAAGCGACCACAATGAGAATCGCGTGGTTTGACGAAACAGTTCTTGACACTTCGGGGTCGCCGCCCTGACGGTAAGGTTTGGCAGCTTGGGGTCAACATCGAATGCGTTGAAGATCGAGTTCATAACTTCGTTGGAAAGAGATAGAATTGGAGAGGTGGTCAATTGTCGAGAGGTCTTCTCTTCGGTATCGAGATCGATGACTTGGCTGCAATCATCTTCGGGCTCAACCGGTGAGGCCCAAAAGCAGTCAGGATTCATAGAAAGATCACGTAATCCGGGCAAGAAGTTCACGGATTTCGAGTCCTTCTGGTGGACGCTGTTGATGTTCGATTCATTTGACGACGACTGGTCAATCTGGGAATCGCCCACGGATTTGTCGGTCATGTCAGCTCGCTGGTCGTTGTCACAGTTGTCGCCCTTCTGCGTGGTTGAGACACTTCCGGAGATCGCTTGATTTTCGTCGACACTGCGCTCCTCAGACTGAGGATGTAGCGCCATAGCGGTTGTCTTGTTCACCTCGATGGCGATGGAGTTCAGGTGGAAATGGAAATGGAAGTGGAAGTGGAAGCGGAAGCGGAGGGTTGAAGAGCGGCGTCCTGGGCACAGTTGTCTGATATGGTCAGGTTGAAAGTTTTTCTCGGGATGGGAATTCTAGAGCCATCTCTGCATTTGCGCGGGAAGCGTTTGCTCTCTCCCAAACTGGAAGTTTGCGCTTTGTTGGTGTGGTCAGGTAAGGTAGGCAGAGGCAGGCACCCTACATACCTACCTATCTCTGCCTCCTTCACACGGGTGGTTGCATCATGGGAGGATAGTGGGGGTGATTACCATCAGTTTCACCTCTGGTCTTTGTTTGTATGCACCTGCAGCAGATTCTTCTCACTCTTCTTTTGAGTCAGGAACAGAAGCAGGAGGTCCTGCTCCTGTGCCTTCCTTGCCTGAGAACGAGATGGTTGTGGTGGTGTTGATACCTCCTCTCCCGTCCACGTCCTACCTACACTGTACTGCATGGCCCCACATTACAACGCCCCAATGAACCTACCTTAGTAAGCGATGTGGAGACTGGCAATTCTTCGTTACATAATCGCAGGCTACCGTTGCCCCGACAACGCCCCGTATATTCCCCTGGCTGCTCTGTTATCGTTATCGAGATCACCACAACACTAAACATCCATTTCAATCCCTCCTCTTCCCCCACTGCCCAAAGCGTCAAACAATACACATCACAGCACCAACACAACCGGAGACGCGCGCGCGACCTGCCGCGACGATACTAACCATGGCAGCCTCCGACGACCTCATCAATTTCGACATCATCGAAGCGCAAAAAGAAAACATTCAAGCGCTGCCCAGTGGACGTTCTGCTAAAAAGCTGGCCCAACTCTTCTCACCCTCTCCCCTGCACAAGCTCGACACGCCGACGCCATCAAACACTCAAGATGTGAACGACTGCATCCGCGCCGAGTACGAGGCGGAGATCGACAACATCTCCGAGTCGGACGACCCTCTCGACATCTTCGACCGTTATGTGCGCTGGACCTTTGATGCGTACCCCTCGGCCCAGGCCACACCTGCTTCCCAGCTTCACACTCTGCTGGAGCGCGCTACCAAAGCCTTCATCGGCTCGGCACAGTACAAGGACGACCCGAGATACCTCAAGCTGTGGGTACTCTACATTCAGTTCTTCGCCGACTCTCCCCGCGAGACCTTCCTTTTCCTGTCACGACACAACATGGGCGAGGGCCTTGCTCTTTTCTACGAAGAGTATGCTGCCTGGCTTGAAGGTGCCGGGAGGTGGAATCAGGCCGAGGAGGTCTACAAGCTGGGTATTGAGCGCGAAGCCAGACCCGTTCAGCGCTTGGTACGCAAGTTCAAAGAATTCGAGCAGAGACTCGCACAACAGCCAGAGGAGGCCGTCAGACCCTCATCACCAGCACTTCCCACGATGCGACCCGCTCTGGCCGCAAAGATCGATCCTTTCGCCGCAGCCCGCGCTGCCGCCGCAGACCCCCAGGCGCCCCGCCCGAACCACGGAGTTGGCGGACCTGCCTCAAAGCCTGGAAAGGCCAAGATGGCCATCTTCTCAGATGCCGATGCCGCTCCCCCGGTACTCTCGGCTCACGGAGCTGGATCCAAGGGCTGGGACAGCATTGGCTCGCTGGCCGACAGGAAGAAGGAGAACGTGATGGAGCCCAAGCCGTGGGCTGGCGAGACATTGAAGGCGGGTGGCAAGAAGAGCACTGCTCCCAAGATGGCGATTTTCAGGGATACGGTATGTACTGGGTTCCTTTGCACTTCCCTTTGCCCAGATGTTGATGATTATAGGACTAATCGGTGGCTTTATGGCGTTCTTGTATTTCAGTCTCAGTTGCAGCCCAAAGCGCAGCAACCTCCATCACGATCACAATCACGAGCTCAGATGACTAAGTCTCATATAACCCTCGTGCCGTCCAAGAATCAGATAGTAGTGAATCCTGTTAGTGGCAAGAAGGAACGTATCTTTGTTCGCTTGGAGGCCGTGTACCCTACTCCCGAAGAGCCTGGCTCTGAGCTTGCCTTCGAGGAGATTTGGGCAATGAACCGTGGCTGGCTGGGGCGGAGTTGGGATGATGAGCCGCTCACAGAAAATACCGTACCTGAAGTGATGACCTCGGAGAATTCGGCGATTGACGACCTTGGACACATGATGCAGGAAAAGCTAGCGGTGCGCACAGAAACGGTAATGATGGACGAGAACGGCGCCATCATCAAAGAGAAGGGGAAAACCAAGAAGAAGAAGGTGATGGAGGTCAACGAGACACAAATCAGTACGTTGAACACATCTTCAAGTTCGAGCGACCACTAACAACCACAAAGTCAAGGCGAACCTGGACTCGCCCTCCAGACCGAAGCTCAAGAAGAGAAACACGTCCGAGCCAACGATGACCATCCATACCAAGGCTGCCACCGATGAGATTTATGAGATCTTCAACCAGCCCCTTCAAGCTTCACCTGGAGAAGAGGAGGAAGAGGAAGAAAGTGATGATGATGAGGACGACTACGAAACCGACGGCGACTACACCGAAGCCGAGAGCACCATGACAACCCGTCAAGTAGACATGGAAGATGAAGCGGACGAAGGTGACGAGGATGAGCAATCCGATGCGAAGAGCATCAGCGAGTGGTCCGACTTCTCAACGCGGAAGCATGTGCCTGATGTCAACGGAGACGTGACAGAAGCTGAGGTGGATAACACTCAGGTTTCCGATCTGATGGATCCGAACTACGCCGAGCCAACTGGCCCTTTGTCAGACGATCACACGGCTTCACAAGACGCAAGGGACTCGCAAGGCGAGGAAGACGAGGATGAAGACTACCCGCCCAGAACAAAGACAATGTTCGTTCCCATACCGCCCGAGGATTATGAGCCTAGGACACGGCCGTTTAGGGACGCGGCCGAGGTGGCCAACAACCGACTTCCTTTCATGACACCAATTACGGAGCGGACCGAGTCATCCCTCGCGTTTACAGAACGCAAGGCGAAATACGAGACGCCCAGCCGAGATTATGCTGCCTCAACCATCGATGAGGAAGAAGACGACATGCAGGACCCGCCCAGCAGCCCGCTTCAGGAGGTGTTGAGTGCGTTCAGTCCTGTCAAGATTCCTCAGCCTCTCCTCGGAAAGCCAAAGGCTGCCCCCGCGAAGTCGGTGCCTCAGAAGGGACCCATCATCAAGGAGCTCCAGTGCAATCCTGTTGATGATGCAGTGAGAAACGAAATTCTCTCCAACATCCACCCTCCCCTAAGCTCGTATGCTGGATTCTACGATCACAGGGACGAGAAGTACGAGAAGGGCAACGACATTCGGAAATTCGCCAAAGCCATATCCAAGGCGGCCAAGGGAGACCGCACGAGCAATGCTTGTGCTCTGGTGCCCATTGAGTTCCCAGACGTCTCCACCAAGTACACAATCAGGAAGGAGCTTGGCGCTGGTGCGTTTGCTCCCGTCTACCTGGTCGAGAACTCGACTGCCGATGAGGGGGACGAGGAAGGCGTCGTCGCCATGGGTAAGGGTGCGTTCGCCGTGAACCACCGCACTGCTCTGGAGGCACTCAAGATGGAACTTCCGCCGTCGCCTTGGGAGTTCCACATGATGCGACTTGCTCATACTCGCCTTGGGCCCCAACACCGCGCATCCGCCTCACTCTCGTATGCCCACGAGTTTCATCTCTACCAGGATGAGGGTTTCCTCTTCCTGCCGTTCCATCCTCACGGCAGCCTTCTCGATGTGGTCAACTTCTTCCGCGCCGAACCATCAGCCGTTATGGACGAGCAGTTGGCCATGTTCTTCACAATCGAGCTCTTCCGCACCGCCGAGTCTCTGCACGCCCACAGCGTTCTCCACGGCGATCTCAAGGTCGACAACTGCCTCCTCCGCCTTGACGGCACCGCCACCAGCCACCCCCTCGACGCACAATACCACGCCGACGGCTCCGGCGGCTGGAGCACGCGAGGCGTAACCCTCATCGACTTCGGTCGCGGCATCGACATGCGCAACTTCGAGCCCGACGTCGGCTTCGTCGCGGACTGGAAGACCAGCGCGCAGGACTGCGCCGAGATGCGCGAGGGCCGACCCTGGACCTGGCAGATCGACTACCACGGCCTCGCGGGCATCGTCCACTGCCTGCTCTTCGGCAAGTACATCGAGACGGTGCGCTGCGACCAGGGCGGCATCGGCGTCGCCGGCCGCAGGTACCGCGTCCGCGAGAGCCTGAAGCGCTACTGGCAGACCGAGATCTGGAGCGAGTGCTTCGACCTGCTGCTCAACCCGGGCTCGTTCGTCGCGGCGGAGGAAGACGCGCGGATGCCGGTGTTGAAGAGCATGCGCGGCGTCAGGGAGAAGATGGAGGCCTGGCTCGAGGGTAACTGCGAGCGGGGCGTCGGGCTGAAGAGTCTGATGGGCAAGGTCGAGGCCTTTGCTAAGGGCAGGAGGTGAAGAAGACCTTGGATAACCGGGTATGACTTGACGAAGAGGAGAAGGCGTTTTAGGATTACGAGAGGTTGGGTGCTGTGTTTTTTGAACTATACCACTAGTGCGTTGTTGGCTTTCTACGACTTAATATTATTCGTTTGTATGTCGATTGAACGAACACTGCCTCGTGAACTCTTCGATATGCCGTTATGGGTCAAGGGGGACGTAGGCCATATCCTATCATCAGAAACCTTGGGGATCACGGCGTTCCAAGGTTATGGCGCTCTTAGTTAACAAGGTTCTCCAACATGTATATATATCGAATTATGGCAAGTTGACAGAAGCTTCCTCTAGAAACAGCTGCAAGAGCAGTGTTGGAAACTCTGCCATTTCCCAGATGATGTTCTGCCCACATCAGCTTTGACACAAGTAATGCGCCGGCACAGCGACGAGCTCGAATCGACAAACATTTACTCAAGGCCCGAATACTCCTCCGACGATGCTGAATGACAACGACGACTCCCTCGTCGCCTGGCTTGGTGGCGACGCCGTACTTGAATGAAGTTCGACGATATTGTTTCCGACGATGCAGTGTCCACGTGGACTGGGCAGCACAAGCTATCAGAGACGGAATGCTGATCATCTCACACAAACCGGTATTTCAGTTGAGATTTATAGGAACAGCTGAGGCTTTCGGCGGAGAGTGGTGTAAGGGGATGCGGAGAGAGCGACGAGGTAGGACGTGGGACAAACCACGGGTCCCTGTCTCTCATCGCATGAGAGGTGGACTTGAGTTCGAAAGTAATTAAATCTGTGGCTATAAAACGTCGAACAGCGTCGAAACGATGCGAGTCAACAGATGAATCGGGAAGACGGACATGTTTCCTCGGGACTCTCAGATACGATCCAATGTTTGCCGGGTAGATCACGAAGGGCTAGGAGAGTGTGTACTTGTCTACGTGCATCTTGAGGAAGTGCTTCTTGTTACTGAAGATGTGACACAGTGGAATACTTTGACAACAGCAGGAAAGGACGTCAATGCCACACGGCAAACTTCGCTGTTAAGACAACTGTCGCTCTCGACGTGACTTCTGTGCTAGCGTACAGACGGATTCAAATTTACGAAGAGCTGTGCACCAATCTCGCACAGACAGATGGCTTCCATCTTACTTGCCTTGCGCTATTCCGTTGCTACTAAGCCTCAGTATACTGCCATTTATATGGAGGCATCAGCAAGAGAAACGGCATGATTTCCCAGTGAGAAAGCTCGTGGCGAGGTATTCTTCAGGTCGCCACGCCTGTTCATCCCGATGATATGTTGCCGCGAGTTCGGAATACTGCTCGATTATCTTACACTGTCTTGGTATCGCATTCCGAGAAGTATATGAGGGCTCTAATGCACGAGGTCCCTAGTACAACAAACAGAGCAGATGCCAGCTCTTCCAAGCAATGCGTGATAAATTCCCATACGTTCATCGCGTATGACAGTAGTTGGTCAGGTTATCCACCAAAGTGGACTAACGGCTGGCTGTGACGGGAACAGTAGCGAATACCATATGAAGGAATACCTCGAGAATGCCGAAGAAGGACACCAGTGTCAGATTACTCCAAAGCTCCCGCGCCGAAGATACGTCAGTTGATGACAATGCCTCCCCTGCCGATGATATCGCAACGGCCATTGAAGACATGAAAATCTGATGATGGGACCTCAAGCTTCGGGAAGCTTGTAAGGGAATGGGCCGGAAAGATGATGACGACGAGGACCTTTGAATATATTGGGAATTTCGGCAATGTTGCAAGTTGCTTCCACTTTCTGCATCCTGGTGGTGAGTGTCCCTCAGCGCGAATGAGGGACTGCGCGAGCTGATGTGCTTCTGGGTAGCACACAGTCCCAGGGCCTGTTGATTCGAGATCATCGCTGTGGACTGGAGGTATATATTAGCAGAAGAAGTGAAAGGGAAGGACTCGGCCCAGGCACAGTTATCTCCGTCCTCATTCATCTGCGACAAATAATCGAGCCTCGGCGGGAGTGTAGCTGTGCGAGGTCTCCCCATGTATCGGGGTCCTTGAAAAGATATCCTCGCTTTTTTGAAAACCTCGACTCTTCGTGCAGGTAGTTCACACCGTCAGCAGTTCTCGAAGAATAAGCTCGAGACGAAGATGAAGAGCTATAGCGCCGGCGAACAACCATGTTGTTTGTGGTGACTCGTTACGATCTGCCCTCGGATTTCACTCAACGAATGAATGGACACGCGATACTGCGCTCCTAGACTGTTGGAATGTGCGATACAATGTTTTCAGCTGCCTACCCTGAAGTATTGGAGAATCTCTTTAAAAGACGGAGTCAATCGGGTGGCTGGGTCGCATCTGTCTGGCTGTCCCAGAGAAACAACATCCACTAGGAAAAGGGAAGGGGAAATTTAAACAAGCGCATATCTCGGAAAGTTATCAATAGGAAGGTAGGGGATTTCCTAAGAAGTATATCACAGCCTGTTTGTCCCCGATTGCTTAATCTACAGCAAAGATCCAGTAGCTGAGCACTATCTCAGTCAAGGTAGATTGTCTCAACTGGTCATCAACACCGAAGCAGCTGTCTTTTCTCGGGGTGAGAACGATTCTCTCGTCTTCCAGTTAACAACATTTGCAGACCGTGTTCCCGTCCCTCAAGTATTCTTGTGTATACTCGAAGAATGGAGCCAGACAGAGAAAGTGACAGAAGGTGGACATGGCGAAGATTTGATTCGCACCAGCGCGTCTCCGATTCCGTTCTCTCCCGTCAATGATGTGACCACAAGACTGCGGCCGTGTAACTCGCTTTCGATCTTTCTAGAAGAAAAAGAGCTATCGTCAATGCCTTGATCTGTAACCATTCTTGACCTAACGCAAGTTACCAATGTCCTTAAAAGAGGCTTCCTTTACGCCTTACTTGATCAACTGGCCCCTACGACGGAGTAGTCCTCCCATACAAGAAGCATAGTCTCACGAAATCGGGCCTCAGTGCGGGCTGCGTCTTCGCGAGGATGTGTCCGTCTCCGTCTTTAGCAAGCGAAAGACGGCATATCTCCGGTTTCCCTTGAGTGACACTTGCCGATTGGAAGTTACGTTGCTCCCAGTGAACCAAAGCTTCTGCCAACAGTACGCGGATGAGCATATCGTCGTGTGCGTCTCCGTTCATCACGAATACTGAGCCCTATGGGACGTTTTCCCAGTAGACTTTGTACATCCCAGTAAGAATATCGCAGTATAAGTAGGCGCACATCTGGGGGACTCTTTGGTCGAGCGCCAGATGGGTTGTACGCAGCAACCTTCTCATGGATATCCTTTGAGAACTCCGGAACCAGATCATGGCACCACGCAGTACATAATCGCCAACCTCGGGTATGCAATTCATGATATTCTCTGTCCCTCTCCACTCACGTATGTTGTTACATCCTTGGTATACACACAGTTGTTACATCCTTGGTATACACACATCCCCCTCCCCCCTCAACCATCACGCATCTCAACCAACATCACCAAGAACCACCAAACCACTCTTGCGACTCGGAAGGAACAAAGAAGAATATGTTTGTTTGGGACGTTCGTTCGTGACCATTGTGCTGCTGCTGCTGCTGTTGTATTTTTTGCTGTCCTGTTTCGCCCCCTCAAAACCCTCCGCGCTGCAATTACCACAACGTTATCCGTCCACCCCCATCCATCCTTCCTTACGTCTCCTTTTTTTTCTCCAGGTGAATAAAAGGGTGTGACCGCTTATTTCCTCTTGCGCTCGATGGCGTCCATCTTCTCCTCCAATGCCTGGACGTAGTTGGTCACGCGCTGGACGGCGTTCTGGAGTGCCTGTGGTACACGAGAGTTGGTCAGCCTTGTTTGCTCCTCAAGTCCGGGTCCTGTATGATGACAGGGAAGAGGGAGAGATTATTAGAGATAAAAAAGACAAGAATGCGCCGCGCTGGAAGGGCAGTCTACTAAGAGAATATGAAAATGGTTTCTGCAGAAGTGCAAGAAGAATGTAATCGGCGGCCCCCCCTCTCTAACCCTCGAAGAGAAGAAGAAAGAAAGAAAAAAGACAAAAGAGAAGAACACGAGGAGGCATCATCGAGTCATAGAAAGCCGAGGGGGGGTGTCCGGAGAAGATTATATCAGATGCAAAGACGCACGTAGATATCCTCCGTCAGGAGCTCGTTCGAGGTCTTGTATTCTTGGATGAGGTACGAGTAGACGCCGGCGCCGGCGAGGGAGCTGCCGAGGAAGAAGCCGAAGAGACTGCGCTTATGGTCAGAATAGGTTGCTCTCAAGACACAATTGTATAGTCGTGGGCAGTCGTGTTCCTCCTCGAAGGACGGCACGTGAGGTCGATTGACTTGGGGCCCGGAGACATGACGTAGGGACCAGGAAGCTACGCCCGGAGTGGTGACGGGGGGGGGGGGAGAGAGAGAGAGACTCACCCTCCACGGAAAGCGCCGACGGGTTTGCGGGCCGGCAGGGGAGCGGCGACGGCGTCGCGCAGGGCGGAGGAGGTCTGGAAGGAGCGGGCGGCGCGGACGGGCATGCCGGAGGCGCGGGGGAGCGCGCGGGAGAGGACGCGGGAGGCCATTGTGATCGTTTTTTGGGGGTGGTCGTCGGAGGGAGAGGAGAGAGGTGTTTCGTAGGGGTCGACCAGTGGGTGGTCGCTCGAGATGGGGGTTTTGAAATGAAAAATGAGCACACGCTCTCTGACAAAGGGGTTCGGGTGGTGGAGGTCGGATGGGATGGGATGCGTTGACCAAAAATCGGTTTGGCGATGGAGGTGGTTTAATTCGGGCGAAGGCGGCGACACAATAGCTCGCTCCTGGTCGGCAACGTTTGACTGCGGCGTGCGCTGCTTTGGCTTGGCCTGCGGGTGGCCCATCCATTACCTCAGGTACCGTTGCCCTCCGCCAGCGCCGCCGGCTCGGCGGGATTAGCCGGGAAGCCATTGGGCACACCCAATTGGTCAGAAATTGGAGGTCGAACGGCTCTTAGGGGGGGCTGCGCTGGCTTCTGGGGGATTTGTGTCCAGGGTGAGGTGCTACGGGCGTGGCTTCATGATCCACTGAAGGGGGGGTTCGGGAACGCGGCTCTCTTACAACGTCCAGTGGTCCTCCCGGCATTGGTCGGCTTCTGAGGCAAGGGAAGACCATGGTGACGTCGGAATCAGCGGTTTTGGAGGTATTGGCACATTAATTGCAACTTACTCGAGCTTCCTCAGTTTTCCAAGCTATTGTTGCTGCTTCCCATCTTAGAGAGCTCCTAGCCGTGAAGGTGTCGCCAACCGCACCTCATTGGTCCAAATTCCCCCAGTCAGCATCTCCTCGCATCTGATTCGTCACAAAAAAAGTTCAAGCTCAAGGACCATCTGTGACGTCCATCCACCTCCCAAGACACTTTCCAACACCAACACCACAAAAAAAAAATGAACAACTTCGGCGTCTACGAACTCGCCAGCGCGAAACGCACCTCCGCCCCGGGATGGGCCTACGTCCCCGACACGGGCGTCAACCCGGCCGCTGCCGCCCTCCAGCCCGCGAACCGGAAACGCGCCGCGCGCAACAAGGCCAACCCCTCCGCCTCGGACCTGAGCGTCAGGCAGGAGGCCAAGATCCGGAAGGAGCTCGAGGCGCTCGACAAGGACTGCGGCCGGGACGCGTCGATCCCCGTACCGGCCAAGGGCGGTAGAGGTGAGTTGTTGAGTTCCGTGTGCGTCGCGCAAAGGATGGGTTGATATTGACAATCGAAATAGCCCAGACGAAAAGCACCCCCAACGTCCGCAAAATCCTCCAGTCCCAAAAGACGTTCCACAACCACCTCGACGACCACCTCGCGCTCCTCTCCCACGCCGAGAACGCGCCCGCCCCGCACCCGAACCAGCACACCAAGCGCAACGCGGCGGCGAAGCGCTCCAAGACCTCGACGCCGAAGCCCTCTGCCGCGGCGGAGCTCGAGGACGTCGAGATGACGCCCGCGCCGCCCCCCGCCGAAGAAGACTCCGCGGAGGCCCCCGCACCCGTGCTGGCCCCGTACGACAAGCCCCCGCCGCCCGCGCACCCGGGCGACGACGACCCGCTGCTAGCGTCCAGGGTGCCGGAGCCGCCGACTGACGAGGAGCTGCGGTGGCTGCTGCGGCAGCCGATGCTGAGCTTCTGGGACGCGAGGGCCGAGTGGGCCGACGAGGACACGAGGTACCCGACGCGGACGTTCTGCGAGGTGTGCGGGTACTGGGGCCGGGTCAAGTGTATGAAGTGCGGGACGAGGGTCTGCGCGCTGGATTGTCTGGAGACGCATCGCGAGGAGTGCGCAACGAGATACGGCTATTGAGCATTGCCCAAAAAATCGTAAAAGTATGAACGGTTGTGGTCATGTCACAGATTTAGAGCACGTAAGGTGGGCAGGCGTTATGATACCCTTGAACTTTTTTGAGAATTGGAATGAATTGTACGGCATGAGAAGCCTGTGGATTGTTCATCAAAAGTCCGCCAAGACTGTGTACATGCGGAACGCTCGCCGCGTCCTTAATATATACTGCCGAAGTTCACCTCGCATCCGCTCGGTCGACTCCGGTCATTGAATCCTCCATCAAGTCTTCCTCCCCACTCCGTAAAGCCGGACACAAAAAGTATGCCAGCGAGAGAAATTCCTAACCAAAGAAATCCCCCGAGAAAGAAAGAAAAGTTTCGTAACAGAAGAAAATACACGCCTGCAGTTACACCCCCTCATCCACCGCCAACTAGTTTTTTGAGCGTGTCAAAGAGCATCTCACAGCTCGTTCGACGGAGGCAAGCCCTCGAGGGTGAACTCGACGTCGCCGGACGTCGCGCCGCCGGAGCAGACCGCGCGCATGCTGCCGGTGGGGCACTTGTCGCGAGCGGCGCGGACGCACTGCTCCCACTTGTTCTTGGAGATGTTGATGGTGGCGCCGGCGGTGGTGGGCTTGAGGGTGAAGCGCGCGGAGCCGGACTGGCCAATGGTTGTGGATGGATTGCCCTGGCAGGCGGAGACAGAGCCGGAGATGCCGCCGCAGATGGCGAGCTCGGCGCTGTTGGTGTCGTGGAAGACGAGGTGGCTGATGTGTGTTAGTCTTTAGGTCTTATATAGTTATGGTGTTCATCGTATGAAGGGAAGTGGTTGAGGGGAATTTTGATTGGTGATAGGGTGTAAGTGAAATAGAGTGTTGACATACGCATTGCGGTCGATGCAGGTCGCCTCCAGCACCGCGGACGGGTTCACGTCAACCTGGGCGCGCATGCTGAGAACCTCGAAGTGCTGCTGGGGAACCGTGAAGCGCGGCCAGTGACGGTGAGCAGCCGGGGCGGCGAGGGCAGCAGTGGCCGTGAGGAGGAGGACGAAGGTGTGGACGAGCATGGTGAACATGGTTGCTGTCTTTTTTGTGTGTGGTGATGATCGTTGGCGTGTAAGTGGTCTTGGAATCGTTCTCGAACTTTTCAAGCCACCGGTTCTGGAAGTCTTCTCTCGAGATCGTTTCGTTTCGTGGATCGGGACTCGGTGATATTCCTCTACGAGTACTGGGCTTCACGTGTGACGAACAACAACTGGCTGATCGAGAAGGGCCGAAAGACTCGAGATCGTGGTACAGACAGAGATGTCGTTGTTGTTTGGCGTCGAGAAGAAAAACAGGTCAACCTCTCAAGGGGAAAGAATGGAAACGGATCACAGATCGTCAAAGGGTAAAGAGGTGGAAAAAAGAAGGGAAGTGACGGTCAACAGACTGTCGTTTGCGTGTTTGGAAAGAATGTGGAAAAGGGCTGGAAAAACAAGAAACAATTCAAGCTGGAAGGAAAGAAGGAGAGAGAGGAAGGGGGCAGGAAGGAAGGATTACATGAAGCAGGAAAGGCAAGCCACTAAGTAGGATGTGGTAGGTTGTAACACCACAATCATCAAAAAGTCCTTCCCGCTCACACCAACCTGGGCTGAGCCGATGGCTTTTTCCCGTTTGCCAACCAAGCTCTGACTCTGACCAGGCCTTCTCCATGTTCGGCAATGAAGGGGTGGTGGGATGGGATCCTCTTGGATGGAGCCCCAATTGCAGACGGATATTGTCATGTTGCAACTGCTGACAGATACTGCAAGGTATGTGAGGTACTTTGGCTACCTTACCTGCCGTTGAAGGCGCGCTGCAACGCCTGGCAAGGAAGAGAAAAGGAAGGACCCAACGGAGAAATCGAACCGCGCGGGGATCGGCCTTCTGACGACACGTTCCCTACCTTTACTTCCTTCGTTCTCTGCGAAGGGGTGGAGATGGGATGCAGGGCAAGCGGTGGCTTGGTGCAGCGTCAAGTTCACGACCTGTCTCTTTTGGCAGACAGGGTCGACCACTGCTTGTTGCCATTAACCTTAGTTTAGACCAGAAGACTAGGCCTCGGACAAGTCACAGTCGCGCTTGGCTGGTGAAGGAAACCTGCCAAGTCCCCAACTGCGGCTAGGCCAGGTCAGGGGTGAAGCGTCTCCCGCCCCTCGGATCGTCGGTTGGCGCTGGGCTGGTGCTCTCGGCGCATGAGGTTCGATACTGGTGCGGGTTGCAGGGGGAGGGGAGGACGACTTCGAGTCTTGATAGATTCAACGGCATTGGTATGGGTATGGGGGACCGGTGACGAACTTAGCCGGGTGCGAGCACGACACTCGGGAGTTGCAAAAGGTGATTATTGATGGAAAGGAACAAGTTTCGGTGATCAATTGCAAGCATCGCCATCGCCAGCGCCGTACAGGCGGGCCAATTCGACATCGGGGGCGCTCATCCGGAGTCGCAAGGTGAAACAGGGCCCCCCAGGTCGGCCTTCGCTGTCGGTTCAGACGAAAAGGTGCCATTTTAAGTCTTCTGAAACTCGAGCGACGTGGGTCCCCGCATCCCGGTATTCCCGCGAATCTCCACACCCGTGCTAGTATTAGCAGCCCGGCGGTAGCGACTTTCGAGAAGAGAATACCACCTACCGCAGTCGTGTGTTTGGCCCGGGACGGAAGATAGTCCAATGGCATCGACCTCCCTCATTCGGGTGAATGTTCTCGTTGACGTCGTGTGTTGCTTGCCGGTGAAAGAGGGACCGAAGTGCGAGGAGGTGACGGAAAACGAATCGGCTCTCCTCTCTGCTTTGACGCCGTTATTGAAGACGTGGAATGGTTGGCTGGGCTGAGCGGCTGATAAGCCAGTGGCTTGTCAATAGGATGCGTCGTGATATAGACAGATCCCCGAGAATAGGCACAGAGTGCAATCCATCTGTGACAACCCGGCTGAAGTCTGCGAGTAAATCACGTAATATCCCCTCCTCTGGCATGTCCCAAGCTCGGCAATGTTCGTTTATCAGACACTTTACTCCGTAGCGAACCTTGGGACCAAGCTGCAAGAGTTTGCTCGCCAAGTCTGACCAGAGAGGCGCAAACAAGTGGTAATCGCAGCAACAGCCGTGACAGGAGGAGCATCTTGGCCGTGACGATCCCGCACATTACTCCCTCCGAACACCCAAATTCTTGTTTCTCTTTGATTTCTTGGAACCTCTCCTTCTTGGCTCGAAAATTTGTATCTGTGTGTAAGATGAGGTCCGCAAACAAGGCACTTTTCGTACCGGCTTGCGAGAGAACAATGTCCGTCGCCATCTCACAACAGCCCACTTCGGACGCCCTTGCTCCATCGATCGGCTTTGGGTCGCGGTTCCCTTTTTCTTCTCCATGTTTCGTCCTGATTAAGCTGACCCCTCTCGATGCCGGGGTTGCCTAGGCGAACCCGGACTGCGGACGGTTCCACCGGGCCAGCCCAAACTTTACTTGACGAGTTGACATGCGAACCTAAAATACTCGGGGCTGAATGTTCTCTCTTGATTGCACTATTTGGTGACAACTTTCGCAAACATTTGGGAAGGGGGGAGTCCGTTTCCCAGAATAACAGGAAATAATCTACCGCAAAAGCCGAACCCCATCGACGACCCGTCGTCGCGTTGCCAAGAAACGAGCCCTATGACCCGCTCCCTTAGTCAGTTGCAGCAAGGGACGATATTAACATGCGCTCATAGCCTCATACCTCATGACTTTTCTTTCTCCCATCCTGGCAGTAATCTTTCTTGCAAGTTCTATGTTGAGAAAAGCAAAATCTTCTCTATGCACAGACAGAGAATTTGTCACCTTTCCGTGCTCCGTAGGGCGGAATCGATGATGTTCGTGTGATGATTCAGTCTTGCTTTTTGCTCTGGCCGCAGACTCCGCAGACCCCAAAATCGCCGGGGTTGAGATACTGGCTCCCCTGGCACGCTGCGCTCCGGCATCGCCAGGCGTTCGGCACGCTTGCCGGGTCCAGCACGTGGGAGCACACCGCGCACGTTATCGCGAGGCCTGGGTTCGCAAAGGAGCAGACTCCACAACTGACTTCAGCCGGCAGCGTTGTTGCCGGTATCGACGACGTCGTGATGTTCGAGGGCGTCGACCCACTGTCGCCCGAGCGTGGTGCCGCGCGCGGGGGCGACGTTGGACGGTGATCTGGAATTGTTTGAGGTCCGTCTTGTGCTTCTGTCTTGATGGAGGCTGCAGTTGCGATGGCAGAGATTGGCACCTCCTGTACTTCGTCATCCTCTTCCTTCTTGACTTTCACTCTGGGCGGCGATGGTTGCTTCGATGGACGACCTGTAGTAGCCGGCTTTTTCTCTTGCAGCTCCTTCTTTGGTGCGTCCCGGGATGTCGATGCTGAGGGCTCGTTCTCGCGTTTGAAGTTGAGATGTGTTTGTCGCCACTGCTTAACCGAAGCACGCAGCTCTTGTAGTTCGTTCTGAGCATCCTGGTCGTCTGGATTCTCGTCTTCGCAGACCTTGATCATGCCGCGGCCCTTGCCATCGAGAATCCGCTTTCCATCAATGTCGACTGCGTCTTCCGCCTTGATATCCACCGGATCATCTTCGTACTCGCTCTCGGTGCTGTCTTCATCCTTCGGCTCGAACTTGATATCCTCCTCCGGCTCCTTCTTCTGGTCGAAGCGAGCGAGCGCTGCGGCTGCCCGCAGTTCGCGACCTCTTGCGCTCCCAGCTACTCGAGGCTTTGCCTGCGTGCGCTTGCCGCCCTCTAGTTTGACCTTGGTTTCTTCGTCTGCGCCCAGGGCGACTCCATTAGCACCGAACTTCTTCAGAATCCGACGCTCCTTCTGTTCTTTGTAGGACAGCTTTGGCTTGGCCTTTCTCTTGCGGCCGCGCGACCGATATGTTCCGCCACAAAGGTGCTCTGGAAGGGGTTCTCCGGGCAGCGCAACGTTGTTCTGGAATTGGCCTGTCTGTAGCAGGGTACCTCGACCCCAAATGCCGTCGCCGGTGTACCCTCGCTGCCAGAGGCCTCTCATCTGCTCGGCGTATTGATTCCTCACCGCCCAGAACGCTCTCGAGTGGTTCATTTGCTTACAGTGCGCCAGCCTACGTCAAAGTCAGAGTCGTAACTTGGCAGATCGCGACATCTCACGTACTCGTGCATCATCACCATCTGCACATATTCGAATGGCAGCCATCTGCCTGACCGCGATTTGAGTACAAGCTGCACGATCTCTCCGGCGTTAAAGTTTCTGCCCACGAACTCAGGGTTCGGCTCGTACTCCTCTAGTGACATCACCGAAAGATGATTTTCTCTCATAACTGGCACTGTGTTTGATCAGCCGAGTCTCTTAACACCTCAAAGCTGCAACACTTACAGCATTGTGCTGCTATTCTCTCCAGAAAGTCTTGTGCGACTTTTTCATCGCGGCCTTTCAGTGGTTTGATGAAGATGATGCGGTCGTTCGGTTGCGATCGCTTCGCATTGAGCCGCTGGATGCCGATCGGCATAGTGAAAAGTACAGGTGAAGGAACGACAGAACTTTTGTATCCCGTAAACGCACGAACTGACAATGTAATACTCGTTCTCAGGTGGTCGTTCGAATTAGTCTGATGGAGTTGGTCAAGTTTAGGATTAGGATGGTGACGGACGGTGTTGTTGCCTGCCAAACGTGCGGAACGGAATCGAAAGATATTAGTGGGGTCACGTGCCTGACTTCGAAGCTTAGGAAGGTCCTGAGGACCATACAAAATGACAACCACTGTTTTCAGATTGACGTATTCTATAGCAGAAAATATTGCCAAAAAGTCTCCTTGTCTCCTTGTCGCCCAAATGGACAAATCATCGTCTTCTCGCACCACCAGCCGCCGCATCGCCTCTTTCGGCAAGAGATACAACCTCTTGGATACCAGCAGCCTCCTGCTCCTCTTCCAACGCTGTGATCTCCTCTCTGCAATCCCACCACTTCTCTTCGCTGAGCTCGAAGGCCTTTGCTTTGATTTCCTTGATGGTGAGCGTTTCCGGCTGGATGTTCTTCCAGCGCAGGTTGGTCATAAGGATCTCCTGCCACTCGGCTGTGGTGCGAACGAAGAAGTCGCGTCTCGACTCGAACGGCTAAGTGGCTATCAGAAATTGCTCAGAATTAGGGGCTCCAAATGGCAAACTTACTCTCGGGTGGGGAAGACCGTCATCCACCGTCTCTGTGGTCTCCGTGTCGTCATCCTCAGTCGTAGACGTAGCCGCAGTCGTCTCGGAGCCGGCAACGGACGACTCGTCAACCTTCTTCTTGCGCTTGCTCTCGGTGTGCATCCGAGGCTTCTCCTCTTCCTCCATCTCGACATCCTCATCCTCCTCGTCGTCTTCGTCATCCTCGTCATCGTCATCGTCTTCATCGTCCTCGTCCTCAGAATCCTGTCTCTGTGTTAGCGAGTTAACGTTGTCAGGGACATAGTGTCTGCGTACGATCCAGTCCTCAACAGGTCTGTTGAAGATTTCTTTGCAACCATCCATCTTTCCGAGATCCACCGCGTAGAGGTCGTCGAAGGTGAACTCGCGGTCCTTCTGCTCAAAGGTGCCGCCGTAAATGTAAAGCACGTCATCTTGCACGGCCAATTGCGCGTTGAATCGCATATGAGGCAACTCCATAGTCATGGGCATCTCCCTCACAGGCTTCACGTCCTCTTCTGGCTCTTCCTTCTTGTCAAGCTCCATATCCTCGGCGTCCTCCAGCGACTTGCCCGTTTCCAAAGCAGCTAGTTGCCGAAGAAGCTCTTCCTCGCGATCCTGAGCTCTGTTACGACGTCCACCGCGCTGCTCGGCGGGAGCTGCCTTCTTCTGCTGACGGGCCTTGCGGAGAGTCAGCGGGAAAAAGCGGTTCCGCTCAATGTTCCACGCAAACAGCTCCCTGAAGAACTCGCTGTCCATGCCTTCTTCGCTCTGCTCAACGTCGTGCACACCACCAAACATGATACCACGGCCCTTGTGCCAAGTCATGGTGGCACCTGCGCGCTTGGGGTTAGGGGCATTGGCTGGCTTCTTGCGACGTTCCCATCGGACCACGGGAGGTGCATTCGCAGGGGCGCCTTCAGCAGGCGGAGACATTCTCAGGAAGAAGCAGTCATCGTGCACCATGGGCTTCAAGATGTTTCTCTGCCCCTGTGCAGATCCCTTGGCCTGCTTGTTCGCTGCCACGGTAGCCTTGACTCTAGAGTAACCTCCGTAAAGAACAGCTCCTCCTTCATGAGGGAGAAGTGTAAAGGACGATCTCGGGTCAGGCTTAAGCTGAGCTGGGGGCAGAACCGGGCTGAACCACGAGAAGTTCTGGGTATCAAAGATCCACAAGTCGGCCAGATACTTGGTCTGGTTTGACGTGTCTTGGAAGCCGCCAAACAAAATGATATACTGCTTCCAGTACGTCATGCGATGACCACTTCTCGCCGGAGGTGTCTTGCCCTTACACTCGATCTTTGTCCATTCTCTCGTGGCAGGCTCCAAGCGCCAAAAGTCAGAGTAGTGGTGGAAAGTGCCCTGCTTCGGCGAGGAGAACTCTCCGCCAAACAGGTAAACATGGTTCGGGTTGGACGCCCGAGTCCACGCATGGCCAGAGCGAGGAAGAGGTGCGTTGGGCGACGTTACGGTCCTCCACTCATCGCGGTCAATGTAGTAGATGTGCAGGTCGTTGAAGAACTGAGCCAGGGCACCGTTGAAATACTCGCCGCCGAAAAGCAGCAGGTTGTTGCGGTCGCACGGAGAAGCGAGGATTGTAGATGCAGAACGGGGCTTCGGAGGTCCCTCAGCCACGGTTTCGGTGATCTTGAGGAACTGCTCCTGCTGTCTTCTGTACTCCTCGAGCACTTGCTCAAGATCGACATCCTCAGCGTCGCTACCCTCAAGTTTCGCGGCCTTGGTCTTGGCCTTCTTTTCACCCTTGTTGGCCTGCTTGGCTTTCTTTGCGGCCTACTCCATGTCCATGTCAGGCAACATTATGTAGATGTTGGAAGTGTTGGGAGACGTACTGCCTTTGCCGCCTTCTCGTCGCTCTTGCCCTTCTTTGCTTTGGCCATATTGAAGTACTTTGTTGATGCAAGCGGTTATGGTCCGGCGATGACTTCTGTGACGTCGGCGGGGTGAATGGTGGGATGAGATGATGGTGGGGTTCATCTTCTGAAAATTTGAAGTTGACTGAGTGAGGGGCAAATCACATTGAACGTACTGTTCGCAAGTCCCCGCATTCACTGTGTTTTCTGGCGTTTTGCTCCGCTACCTGGACAGTGCAAATTTCATACATCAATTAGCTATGAATGTTACTGAAGAGGTTTGACTGAGAGCTGTCAGAGGAATTGAATTTCAGTTCCGAACTTTGATTGAATGCCCTATTCAACGAAACTCAACTCAGTCTCTGGAATGGAACAAGTTCAAGAGACAAGACAAGATGTTCAGAATGGCTAAAGTGGCGCCACTTGCTACTGGAGCAATGCCGTACATATGGTGGGATGGACTTGGTTGGAGCTGGCTGGCGATTATGGGGACAGACAGGGCACGAGAAGCTCCTGGAAAGCTGTCACATGCTAGAGATTCAATCCTGGTCCAGGAACCGCTAGGTGGGTTGATGAAAACTCGAGGATATGGGAGCTTCTGGTCCTGGACTGGCGTGACTGGGCAGGCAACGAAGGGGATCGACATTATCCTAAGCTAAGACCTTCGCAACCTGCGCAAGTCTCAGACCAACAGCTCAACGACGCTATTACGAGACAATCACGGCGATCTTTGGGGAAGTTGCTTCGAGGTCTAGCTCTGAGCTGAACACCAAAGCTAGTGCAATGCCGCTGGGAAACATCCGGCAGGTTGAGATAGAGATTGGCCGATGAAATGCATGGAATCCTGCAGGCTGATGGTGGAAGGTCTCGTAGCAAGGGTAGGAGGAATCGTGAGAGCAAACATCAGAAAAAAGTCATACAATCACATGCAAATGCGGATAGAAGCTCGTGGCATCCAGCTCTGGGCCTCCTTCTCGATACGCGTCAGGGCACCTTATGTAAAGGTTATGCATTTATGCACGCATTATGCAGATACTAACCCTGCACTGTTCGCAGCCGCAACTCGGCATGTGGGTCCTCACGTCATCGTCATTGGCGGCAGCTCCGGGGGACCACGGCCAGGGCAGCTGCACCTCTGCACCTGTCGCTCCTCCACTCCTACTGCGTCAAGCATCAGCGTCCGGCGCAAGCAGCCAGCCTGAACTCTTCGCAACTCTACTCACCACCACCGCTGCGCAGCACGCACAACCATTCCCGCCCTTGTTCTTTGTGCATTCCTCGACCGCTCCCTCTTAGACTTCGGACCCTGTGCGCCTAAAGTTTCCGATTGCTGCTGGTCAAACCATCACCCCTTACTCGACGCAGGCCGTGGGTTTCCCGCTAGAAGTCGACCGACTCTGTCTACAGACGCCGGCGCCCTGCGCGTTCTCGTCCCTTGAGCTACTTGCTTAGCTCACGCCTTCGACCACACGCCCGTCCGAGGTCCGGCCCTGTCGCCATCCGACGCCGACACAGCCATGTCTAACTTTGGGGACACGGGGAAGGTGGCTGTCATTCCAGGTAAGGGAACTTCTACATAAACATCCCTCCTCCGCAACATATGCCTTGACACACTGCTGGCCATTGCTTGTGGGCGAACGAAAACGCGCCTGCCATCGATACAACAATAATCAGCGATGCCTAAGAACAAGAAGGCGGCTCGGTCCAAGTCACCGTCCAAGAGGCAGGCTGACCGGAAGCCAAGCAATCCCCAACTGGCATCGCAGCCAGTATCGCAGCCTGCATCGCAGCCGGCAGAGTCTGGGAATCGGAAGGTTAACGTGGTTGCAGAAGCTCCAGAGCTTGGGCCAGCAGCATCCTCGAACGGCTCCCCAGAACCAAACGTCGAAAAACCAATTGTCGAGAAGCAGGAGGACAAGACTCCCGTAAGCAAACATCGAGAACTCTGTCGGATCACGTACTCACGTCTCAACCCAGAATCACGATGAGACTCCCAAGAAGCAGAACCGAGACGATCGAAAGGCTACGTTCGCCAACGTTGTGAAGAACCATGTCGAGGAAGAAAGCAACGGACATTCTCCAGATGCCGACAAGAGCTTCGGAAGCGAGGGCACCGCCGACGAGACGCTGGTTGACGGCTTTGACGCCGACAAGTCCGAGTCGACCGAGGTCAAGAGCATGGATGACAACGACTACCCGCGCCTGTCACTCGCGGAATACGGCAGAAGAAACAGTCATCGATACGGATGGAAGGCCGGCGGGATTCGGTTTGCACCACTGCAAGTGCCCTTCACTCGCCGACTGCAGACAGGCGCTGTTCTGTTTCACGGCCTCTCCATTCTCACATTCGTCTCGATCTTCTTCTTCCTCGCCGCCATTCCTTTCACGTGGCCCCTGCTGGTCCCATACCTGATTCATCTTTCACTATCCAGTGTCGCATCTGATGGTACCCTCAAATATCGATCGGAGTGGCTAAGATCCCGTTACATCTGGAAATTGTTCGCAGAGTACTACCCGGCTGAGCTTCACAAGACTCATGACCTGCCACCAACCAGGAAGTATATTTTCGGCTACCATCCGCACGGAATCATCTCGCACGGTGCCTTTGCCGCCTTCGGAACGAACGCACTTGGATTTGATGAGCAGTTCCCGGGTATCACCAACTCTTTGCTGACTTTGGACAACAACTTTCGCATCCCGCTTTACCGCGACTACATCTTGGCCATGGGCGTCCGATCCGTTTCTAAGGAATCGATCTGGAACACGCTGAGCAAGGGTGGTCGCAACGGCGAGGGAATGGGCCGTGCTGTCACAATTGTTGTTGGCGGCGCCAGGGAGTCTCTTGAAGCTCAACCGGGAACTCTCAGACTGATCCTGAAGGGCCGCAAGGGTTTCATTAAGATGGCTCTGAGAACCGGAGCTGATCTAGTACCTGTCTTGGGATTCGGCGAGAACGATCTTTACGACCAGCTGAGCCCGAAAACCCACCCCTGGGTTCACAACTTCCAGATGTTCGTCCTCCGCGTTTTCAAGTTTACCCTCCCTGCGCTTCACGGACGTGGCATCCTCAACTACGATGTGGGTATGATGCCCTACCGCAGACCTCTCAACATTGTCGTTGGAAAGCCTATCAAGGTCACCACACCTCCCTCAGCACAGCCGTCCCAGGAGGAGATTGACCGTCTGCACGAGCTGTACATCGCCGAGCTGCAGAAGATCTGGGACACGTACAAGGACCAGTTCGCGCCCGAGCGCAAGGCCGAGCTTCAGTTCATTGCCTAGGCTATGTTGAGTGGCACAATATGGGATGGATTCATTTTGGCTTTGGTACACGACGTGTGGCTCACATCTGCTGGCGGGGAACTGCGCAAAAGGGACTTTGTCTTAGTATTTTGAATTTTGGCGTCACTTAGGATCAAAAAGGTGAAATAAGACTAGGAAATTTGCAGCCTGGATAGAGAGGTATCATGTAATTGCTTTCAGTCGAGTATTTGGCGAATCAAGACAATGAACGTCCGAATTCGTGAAACGCCCTCGCATCTTGGAACTTCATTATGCATGACCTCGTGGTTACTAGCTGCGCTTCTGCCGGCAGGAGGAACGTGGGCGTAGAAGACGAGAAGGAGCTTGGGCCGCCTGTTTAATTGAGGTCACATGATGTCGCGAAACCCAATCGCGTGTGACGCGTCGACTTTTAACGTCATTATCTCAATTTCTACCTGCCGATACCTTCAACTTCTCGAGCCACATGACAGCCCACCCCCACGACCTTTGCTAAATCCAATTGCGCGTTTCGGTCTTTTCTAACCACGATACGTCATTTTCCCCTAATAACAACGAGAAGAAAATGCCTCCTCGCACGTCTGCTCGCACGTCTGCTCGCAGGAAGGCGCAACCGGTAGTCGAGACCAAGGTCGAGGAGAAGATCACTACGAAGGCGAACGGGTCAAAGAGCGCGACCGTTGCCGTCACAAAAACCAAAACAACCACCGCCTCCAAACCCGCGCCGAAGCGCAAGGTCGAGTCCGACGACGAGCACGAGGAGTGCGGCAGCTGCGCAGAGGAAGAAGAGAAGCCCGCCAAGAAGAGAAAGACCGCCGCCAAGGGCAAGGCGAAGAAGGAAGACGACATGCCGATCGCCGACCGGACGGCGGTGTCATCGCTGAAGAAGGCGATGTACATCGGCGCCCATGTGAGCGGTGCAGGAGGTAGGTCGCATATGATATGCCGCCTTTCAAGTCACCATCACTGACTGCTTACCTTCAGGTGTGCAAAACTCGATTCAGAACGCCCTTAATATCGGTGCCAACTCCTTTGCGCTCTTCCTGAAATCCCAACGCAAATGGGAAAACCCGCCCCTCGCCGCCGACTCCAAGACACAATTCGTGTCTCTTGCGAAAGAACACTCCTACGACGCCGCTGCGCATGTCCTCCCGCACGGCTCATACCTGGTCAATCTCGCGCAGGCGGATGCGACCAAGGCGAAGCAAGCATACACCAGCTTCCTCGACGACCTCCACCGGTGCGACCAGCTTGGCGTGAGGTTGTACAACTTTCATCCCGGCAACACGGGCGGAGAGGCCAGGGAGGAGGCGTGCGGCAGGATCGCAGCACAGTTGAATGCTGCGCACAAGGCGACGAAAAGTGTGATCACAGTACTGGAGAACATGGCTGGCGCTGGCAATGTCATTGGTACGAAGTTCGAGGATCTGAAGGAGATTATCGACAAGGTTGAAGACAAGGAGAGAGTTGGCGTTTGCATCGACACTTGTCATGCGTTCGCCGCGGGATACGATTTGCGTACGCCAGAGAAGTTCGAGGAGACTATGAAGGAGTTCGATGAGGTTGTCGGCAACAAGTACCTCAAAGCATTCCATCGTAAGTCCTGCTCTATTTTGTTTAATGGCTTGGTGGCAAGCAAGCAACTAACGAAGACCAGTCAACGACAGCAAGGCGCCCTTCGCCTCGCACCGCGACCTCCACGCCAACATCGGTACGGGCTTCCTCGGCCTGCGCGCTTTCCATTCACTGGTCAACACCGAGCTGTTCCAGGACATGCCGATGGTCCTCGAGACGCCCATTGACCGTAAGGACGCCAATGGCAAGACGATCGAGGACAAGAAGGTGTGGGCAGACGAGATCAAGCTGCTTGAGCGTCTGATTGGCATGGACGCGGAAAGCGCCGAGTTCAAGGAGCTCCAGGAGGAGCTGCAGACGCAGGGTGCGAGTGAGAGGAGTAAGATCCAGGAGCAGGTCGACCGTAAGGCCGCCAAGGATTCTAAGAAGGGGACGAAGGGGGCGAAGAAGGCTCCCGCGAGAGGGAAGAAGAAGAAGGTTGAGACTGATGATGAGGAGAGTGACTAGGACGCCTGAAGGCATGACAGTGTATTAATATGTATTATGAGGGTGGCCAGCCTATGTATATCTATACTAAGCTCTCCCGTGGAGGGAAGAAGACCGAGTGATGTGAAAAAAGGCACTTTTACCACTTGATGTTTCTGGATTGCTTCACCACCGATACAGCGTTTTGGATGCGTACGGTGTTCAAACCAGGAAAGACACAAATAGGTATCCAACGCACAGTCATTCAACAGCACTTGCCCTGTTCCCAATACCTCACTTTCACCCCCTAACCTACTTGCCCGCTCAGTCGCCCTGCTCCTTCCTCCTGTATTCAGTGGTATCTCGCTACTATCCGCTTCTGCTTTTGCCCATAACTGTTTTCTTCTCACACCTGCAGCCAACGTGTAAATCCAGACCACCTTCAACTCTTCACTTAACAACATCATCGCCAATCAACATTCAACACCTATTCTTCACTAACCGGTCCCATCACCAAACAACTATCATCATGGCTTCCCCTGTCGCCCAGTACACCGATCTTACCGCCGAGCAGAAAAACATCGTTGATGATTGGCTTCCGCTTCTGAACTTTTTCAACCGAGAGAAGCCACTCGACACAAACGAGAAGCGGGAAGAGGCCAGCAAGCACGTCTGGTCGAAGGTGTTCTCCGATGGCTGGAACTCATAATCGATCCTCCCATCCTTCCAATTTACCGGTACAGGGTCCAAGTTGGAACTCTGGACCAGGACGCTGAGCAGGCGCACAAAGCTGGGGGTAACATGAGTCCCATCCCTTACCACAGAGCCCGGGGCGCCCCCGTTTACATCAAGGTCGAGCACGACTAGGCCATGCAGGACCTGATTTTCCGGGTCATCGACAGTCAGGACAACTACTTCCCGGATGGCATCACCTACACCCTCCTGGACGGCCGCAGCCTCCGGCAGGCGCAAAAGGACTGTGCGACCAAATGGGACCGAGGCCAAGTCGAGACCATCCGTCGCCATAACACCCAGTACATCGTGCACTATATGAGAACGACTCTGCGGCTCTCGCTTGAGCCCGGCTGCGCTTATACTGTCACCAACCTGTCTATGGAAGCCAGTAAAAATTCCGACCTGGTCGGCAAGCTCAAGCACATCGAACTCAGCCTCGACCTCTGTAAAGACATTGACAAGGAGGAGGTATTCGAGGGCTACTCGGAGGCCAAATACTCACAGGCCTCTGAACGTCTTTCTATGAGTGAGTTTCGCCTTTACTTCGGACAGCACATGAATACTGGCTGACCAATTTCAGCATAACAGTTTAGGAAAAGAGACCATTGGTGGTGGATGATACTTCGTGGCTTTAGCGTTTCCTTACCCTTTTTCTGACTGAGGGCCGACCTTTTGCATTATTACTTTCAGTGGTGGATGGGACTTGATGATTATTGGACTTTCGGTTTCTTGCGTTCTGACGGAGGAGGGCTGACCTTTTCAGAGTGCCAGGGTCACAACATCCGTCTGTTTTGATATCTTGCTTCTGATTCTTTCTTTGAAGGAGGACGAGCATCAGGTTTTTTTTTAGTTGACTGACGCACTCTATACCACAATAAACCAGTGCGATTTTAAGTCGGCATCTTATTCCTGACCACAGGTGGCCCTAGAACCATCTGGCGTTATCATCTAGGGGTAGCTGCCGCGAGTTCGATACCTTCGTGCGTGGCGCCAAGGACGTACACACCCGCGCAGATGGGTTAGGGAGCCGATTTAACGCAAGAGTAACATCTCACTTACATCACACATCTAAAACACAGCGTAAAACGGCAAAAAGGCGACTGAACAGCGCATCGTGATGCCAGATGCCAAAAAGTTGCGCCGAGGGGGAATCGAACCCCCGGCTCCCCGACGTTGCTAGGTGGCAACGGAGAATTTTACCACTAAACCATCGGCGCTTCTTCGTACCATGCCGTGCAATTCACCGCCCTTGTAGCGACGCGAAGCAGTCGCCTCTGACGCTTTTCGCGATGTTCGTCGAGGCCATCGCGAAAAAACCGACGAGTCGTTTTTTGGATTGGAACTGAGATGGGCAAGGTTTCAGGTATTCAAGCAATTGGCTAATCCTCTTTGGAGGGCGAACATCGGGACTCCTGGTCTCGTTAGCCGGCGGCATCTGCAAGCTGCAAGCGTAAAGTGACGCATCCACTGAGGCCAAACTTCACAACAACCCCTCCATTCACAAATTTGCGACGAAACGAGGTCTAGCGGGCCAAACAAATGATGCAACGGGCCCTCCAATTGTTCCTGGAAATGGCTTTGGTGCATATGACTGTACAAAGCAGCTGTTGAGTCAAACTTGTTGTACCAATATGGAATTGGCGGCAGGAAACTGCAGCAAGAACGGCTAAGCCTCCATCTACACTTGGTGACTCATAGTGACTGGCCTGGGCTTTTTCTGCAGGCGAAGGTCCTGCTGTTTTGTCAGCCGTAGCGGCCACAGCGAGCACTTGCCACGCTCTGGAGGTAGAAAGTCCGGGTACCAAAATTTTAGCGGGTCCCACCGGACGGACGACAGATTCAGTCTGGGCCGTCGAAAACCGCCCCCAAAGGGAACTTCCATCCGTTGTAGGGTGTTTCCATAATCTTCATAAAAGTCGCCTCCCTGGCTCTCAGGTGAAAGGAAGCCTGAGGTCTTGCTCAATTCACTTTTTGCTCTCTTTCACATTCACTCTTTGAGAGAACCGTTGCTATCTGATTCGCCGCCCGTTCCTGGCACCCGTACGAAGTCGCTGTATTTCAAAAAGCGCAGTCACCATTTTCTCTTTTCAGCAGCAAACGACCACGACGGCCAGCGATCCAGTCATGTCTGAAGGTGGAGGTTCTCAGTCTCAGACGCAGACGCAGACTCAAGCGAGTTCGTCAACCAGAGGGGGACGGAGAGGTAGACCTGGGAGAGGGAGAGGAGATCGAGGTTCTGGCGGTGGTGGTCGGCGAGGCGGTGGCAGGAATGCCGCTGATCAGCCCCAGCACCAGAACCAGAATCAAACTCAGAGTCAGGCGGCAGCCCCCGAGGCGGCTCCGTCACCAGCACCCCAAGAGAACCAGCATGGATCGGGGAGAAGAGGCAGAGGCCGTGGTGGCTCACGAGGTGGTCGACGGGGTGCTGGGGGCCGCGGTGGCTCCGGAGTCGCAGCAGCGGTACCGGGAACGCAACGGACGTTTGGTGGTCGTTTGACGACGAACGCCAACGCTGACGAAAATGCCGTGGCCGGTCTGAGTGCAGACGCCCCGGATTTTGTTCCTGGACAGCCCGTTCCTCAGAGAGCGTAAGTTTAGTATTCGCCACCTCGTTGTGTTCGTGACACTAACGCAATAAAGCGCACCCACTCCTAAGCAGAAGAAGCCTCAATATCCCTCGGCACCAAAGTCTACGGCTGCGGACTTGCCCACGCGTATTCACGAGGACATCAGCCACGGCCAGTACGAGTGTGTAATTTGCTCTAGCGAAGTATTGCGCCCTTCTCGAGTTTGGTCATGCACGTTGTGCTGGACGGTGCTTCACTTGTCTTGTGTTAAGAAGTGGTACACAAGCCAGCTGAAGAAGGACGACGATACTCACTCCTGGCGCTGTCCAGGTTGCAATTCTAACCTAACCGAGGAGCCCACCTCATATCACTGTTGGTGTGGCAAAGACATCAACCCTAGAAACGTTCCAGGCTTGCCCCCTCACTCTTGCGGACAGACTTGCTCAAAGCCGAGATCGACATGCCCGCATCCATGTTCACTAGAATGCCACGCCGGACCATGCCCGCCTTGTACTTTGATGGGCCCGACGCAATCGTGCTTTTGCGGCAAGCACGAAGTTACGAAGAGATGCAGCGAGACCGACTATGGAAGTGGATGGAGTTGCAAGGAGATTTGCGGGGACATGCTGCCATGCGGCGAGCACTTCTGCGCAACACCGTGTCACCCTGGCTTGTGCGGTAGCTGCGAAGTGCCTATGCAGGCAAGATGCTACTGCGGAAAGGAGCACAAAGAGATACCATGCGACCGACGAGGCGATCTAGAGATGTCATTCAACCACGGCCAAGTCTCCAGCGTGGATTCCGAAGACGTTTCCGAGGAAAGCTGGTTTGATGGCTCCTTCGATTGCGGCGCGAACTGCGGAAGGAAATATGACTGTGGTATTCACGAGTGCGAGAAGAGTTGCCATCCTCAAGACGAAGTCTCAGCACACTGCCCGTTCTCTCCCGATGTCGTCTTGGACTGCCCATGTGGCAAGACACCGCTGGGAGAGCTACTCGACCAGCCGAGACAATCTTGCGAGGACAAGATTCCGCACTGCAAGAAGACCTGCGGCAAGACATTGGTATGCGGCCATAAGTGCATAGACACCTGCCACACCGGTCCCTGCAACCCGTGCTTCCAGAAGATGGACATAACATGCCGTTGTGGCCGGACTACCAGTTCTTCCCTCTGTCACCAGGGCGACATCGCGACGCCCATGTGCATGAAGGTATGCCAGGCGCAGCTCAACTGTGGCCGCCACAAGTGCGGCGAACATTGCTGCCCCGGAGAGAAGAGAGCTATCGAGCGGCAGGCTGCCAAAAGGAAGCACAGGCAACAGGCTGCGGAAGAGGTGGAGGCAGAGCACATCTGTGTGCGCGTCTGTGGAAGAACGCTGAAGTGCGGTACGCATCAGTGTTCTCAGATCTGCCACTCTGGCCCCTGTCCCAGTTGTCTTGAAGCTGTCTTTGAGGAGATCAGTTGCGCATGCGGCAGAACCGTCCTTCAGCCGCCTCAGCCCTGTGGTACACGACCTCCTGAGTGTCGTTTCGACTGCACGAGAGCGCCGCCTTGCGGCCATCCTTCGATCAAGCACAATTGCCATCCTGACGACGTTCCGTGCCCGAAGTGTCCATTCCTCGTCGAGAAGGCCTGTATCTGCGGAAAGCAGCGAATGAAGAATAGGCCTTGCTGGTTGGAGGAGACTCGTTGCGGTCTTCCTTGTGGCAAGAAACTCAAGTGCGGGTAAGTAAAGGAGATATGGAACGAAACGAGCTTACACTGACACTATACCAGCACCCATACTTGCAGGAAGGAATGCCATCGCCCTGGGGAATGCGAGGACGCAGAGATCCCGGGTTCGCACTGCGCTCAACCTTGCGGCAAAACACGCAAGTCGTGTGAGCACTCCTGCCAGGACGTGTGCCACGCCCCTTATCGTACGTCCCTCCTCACAAATCTCTGTAATCACCGCCTAACAATGTCTACAGAGTGCAAAGAAGACCGCCCGTGCCAGAGCAAGACCTTCATCACTTGCGATTGCCAAAACCGCAAGAAGGAAGTGAAATGCCTCGCCACGAAAACCAACCCAACACCAGAACGTGACGTACTCAAGTGCGACGACGAGTGCCTCCGGCTGCAACGCAACCAACGTCTCGCCGCCGCCCTCAACGTCGACCCGGACCACACCGATGACCACGTTCCCTACTCCGACACCACCCTCAAGCTCTTCCGCGATCTCTCCCTGAACTGGGTCCAGACCCAGGAGCGCGAGTTCCGCGTCTTCGCCTCCGAGCCCTCCGAGAAGCGCCTCCGCTTCAAGCCCATGCCCAAAGCCCAGCGTGCGTTCCTCCACAACCTCGCAGCGGACTTCGGCTTCGACTCGGAGAGCCAGGACCCGGAACCGCACCGCCACGTCTCCGTCTTCAAGACCCCCCGTTTCGTCTCCGCCCCGAAGAAGACGCTCGCGCATTGTGTCAAGATCCGCTCCGACGCCGCCAAATCCGCCCCGGCACCCTCCTCCTCCGCAAACGCCTCCGCCGCCCCGGAACCCTTCAACGCCCTCCTCCTCACGGCCCCGCGCTTCGGCCTGACCATCGACGAGGTCGAATCCGCCCTCGCCTCCCACCTCAAGGCGCACAACACCCTCTCCTTCACCACCTCCTTCCTCCCCTCCGACGAGATCCTCATCCGCGCCGTCCCCGTGACGTCGTGGGGCACGACCCCCTCGGCGATCGAGTCCTCCCTCGCGTCCCTCAAACCCCTCGTCACCCGCACCATCACGAAAGAAGGCCTCGCCGCCTCCGCCATCCTCGTCAACGCCGACGCCAACCTCAACGTCCTCCGCCGCGAGGGCGCCGCCGCCGGTGCCGGCGCCGGGGGCTGGAACGCCGTCGTCGGGCGCGCCGCCGCGCAGCGTAGGGCGTTCGCGCCGGCCAAGCCCGCCGAGACGCGCTCCACCAGCGGCTTCGTCAGCTTCTCCAAGCTGGCGCGCAAGAAGGTCGTCGAGGACTCCGTGGCGGATGACTGGGAGGCGGCCGCCGAGGACGAGTGAGTGAGGCGAGGTGATCGACGATCCGCCTCGGCCAAGGAAGTTGGGGAGTCTGGGACAAGGAGCAGGGCTTGCGTTCACGCTGCGTTGTCTCCCCGCCGCTGCATCCTTTTTTGACGAGAGAACGCAGAGATAAGCTTTTGGATCCTACGGGACGCATAGATAGATGCCCAGAATGGCGAACATGGTTATAGACAGCTCCGAGAAAGGAGTTGGGCACGTAGTAATCAAAGTCGTTAGACTTGGATCAAAAGTAGCAGACTGAGGAACTTCAAAGCATTGCCATAATTCTCATGAACCGTTTTCTAACTTGCAAATGACAGACACTTCACTCAACTACCTCTTCCACATCTTCCATCATTCGATCCTCACGCCCCGCGTCTTCCCACAATCACCTCGCCACAGTCGTCTCCCATCAATAACCCCCATCCCCGCGATGTCTTGCATATTCTGGGCCGGAGGACAAGCTGGCTGGCCACGTCAGAATACGATCACGGGCTGTGAACCCTGCTCTCCGCGATCTTGTCGCGAGGGCATGGGATCCTCGACTGTGATGGAGACAGGGGTTTCCCGGGTTTGATGTCTCTGACGCCGGTTAACGACGAGTTCTTGGGATTAACGGTTCTGTTTAATCGCGTTGTAGCGAGATACCGAGGGACACGGTTGATCTGTGTAAATGATGAGTTCAGATTATGACTGCAGAAGGCGCACAGCCGCGGCCGTGATGATGTGTCTACGCGGCTTGGCCTCAGCCCCACGCACCCGTGCCGTATGTCTAGAAACATCGCCTCACTGCAAGCTCAGAGTATTGGAAAGAAGATGTTGCCATATTCGTTGCTTCATTAATTAAATGCTACGTCTAAGTCATGCTGTAGCATCCCGGCCCATCAGGCGCCGGGGGGTATCATTCTAGGGACCATCTTGATGGTTATTATTAGGTGGGAGGCATCGTAGGTCCTCCATGGTCTTGTCCTCTGGCCCCTGCCGCGCCAAGCTTGTTCGTCATCGGCCTTGGAGCTCAAGCTTTGGGCTTCACGTCCTCGTCCCAGTCGCAGTAGCGGAAGCGTCTCGAGACGATCGAGAAGACGGAGTCTTGGCTCGCCTCGAGTTGCAGTATCTGGGCGACGTGCCGTCTGAACTGCTTCTCCTCTTCGAGATACTCTTCCTACAAGCGCTGCTTCTCCTCTTTGCTGACGACGCCGGTCACGTTGGCCAGGAAGTCGGATATCGCCTCGAAGTAACCCTCCTCTAGCACACTGGAGTTGTGGTCGCCCGCCGGCAGGGGTTTCCAGATTTTTGTGGGCGCAGTGGATAGCTCGTAGAGCTGGCGCATGTGACGAGGTCTGAGACATGTGTGTTAGCCTAAGAACGATGACATCCAAGACAACAAGACAAGGTTGTAGACAGCCAAATATCAGACTCTCGTCGAAAGTTCAAATCAAGCATCCCGAAGGATTCATATTTTGTGGGTGGTGACTTCAGATCATCATATCCGCTGGAAAGTAGGGGAACAGTAGACGTGGCGAACTTACGGGACAATCTCGTCCTGCAGACCGGAAAGAAACAGGATCGGCACCGAAGTGATGTTCGGGATCACCGTTTCGCTCGGCCAAACTTGGTGGCACAATAGTGTCAAGTACTTGGCCGGGGGGAGAACGGAGGGGATAAGCTTGCGCATGGAGAGGAACGTATTCTCCAAGATCAGACCCGCAATATCGCCATCCTTTTGGTTCTTAGAAACGAGCTTGACGGCGACGGCGCCGCCCAGACTCTGGCCGTAGACAATCAGCTTATGATTGCTCGTCTCTGCGCGGGAACGCAGGTAGTCGAGCGCCGTCTGGGCGTCGAGGAAAAGGCCGGACTCGTCAGGCTCGCCGGTGGAAAGACCGTAGCCGCGGTACTCGAGCATAAAAACATTGCAGCCGATAAAGTTGATCAGCATGCGAGCAATGGGTAGGCGGTGACCGATATTGCCGGCGTTGCCATGAAACATTAGGATGGTGACATTGGAGTTGTTCCCACCGCGCGGGCCGCGGATGTAGAAGGCGGAAAGTTTTTCGCCGTCGTTTGTCGGGATGACCAGCTCTTCGAAATCCTTGATTCCGTATTGCGAGGGTCGTGGGACTTCGGTACGGGAGTTCGGGGGCATATGCGAAGGGTAGATCAAAGCCCTGGTGCGCACAAGATGGTTAGCTTGGCTGTGGGGTCGGGTCGAAGAGGTGCGTCACATGGACAGTCGAGGTTGTGGGAAGGACATACTTTTGCTTGAAGTAAAGGAGGGTGGTCAAGACAGCCGCGACGCCCTGTACGGAAGAGAAGATGATTAGCTCCAAGCACTAGGATGGCGATTGAGGCACCGTCTCGGGTGAGGGCCCAAGAGGAGGGGTAGCAGACTGGAAGATTGAAGTATCGGTGAGAAAAGATGGGCAGTCCGTAGGACGAGGAGGCGGGAATGGCCATACCGTAGAGGCTATGGCTGGTAGCCGCATGTACGCGCCAACAGTACTGAGCATAGAGACAGTCTGCTCAAGGTAACTGCTGGAGGACGACGACGCAGAGTTGGAAGAGGACATCGTGAGAGTCTGGCGTCGCGGGAAGGACAGGCGGAGGAAAGATTATATTTCGTATTGCTGGACCAGTCGGCGAGCCCTCAATTGGAAAGGACCTGACCAGTTCGATGGGGAAGGTAAGACCCGAAGCGATCCAGGAGAGAGCGGAGTAGGAGGCGGTGGAGGGCGACGCTAGCTGATGACAAGTACTTTTGGCCGCGGAACGGCGGGCGCAACGCGGAAGCAGTACCGAGATGGTGTTAGGGTGCAGGTCAGCATGAGGCCAGAGGGGACCTGGACCTAGACCCGGCTCAGCGAACAGGGTCGCGGACGGAGCGGAGTGCTCAGCCTGGTGGTTGGCCCTTGAAGACTGGAGTTGTTCCCTGATCGGAACGAACCCGAGGATCGGAGGAGAGGGCGGTGTCAACTTGTTGAGAATTGAGCAGTCCACAGACTCTTCTTTCTTGCGGTGGTATACGTGCCGCGTTTCGTCGGTTTAGCATTGACCGCGGGTGGCAGACGGGAAACGGTGGTGTGGTTTTCTTCAAGAAGGCCGCATGATGCAAGGCAAGGCAAGGCAAGCCAGAGGAGGGAAACCGCGTGAGGTGAGGCGGGAACTGGCAGCCGTGCAGCCGGCCGGGTGGGCGGTCTTTGTTCTGGAGACTGGGGGTGCAGCGATGCCGTTGGGGTTGCAATTGCAGCGTTCAAGGCAGATGGTGTCCCTGGCGCGCTTCTTCAATGTGTATCGAAATTCGAATCGGTGGGTGATGTTCGGGGGTAGCAATGCTGGGCGGGTCTTCTGACGGGGAGGCTTGTCGATGCGGCAGCTGACCTGATTTGGTGGTTGCGTTGCCGGCAAGGGTGCTTTCGTTTTCGGAGTAGCCAAGACTTGCAGAATGGAGCATGGAGGCAATCAATGTTGAGTATCCATCCGTACGGGTACTTGGAGTGGGAAAACCGAAAGATACGATACGATCGGTAAGGATGATTGGGGACGCTGGACGCGAAGTGCCTTTGTTGTGAGTTTCCGAGATACGACATCCAGCATGAAATGAGAGGATATCATAAACCCCAAGTCATAGGATGTGCTGTAGAGGGCGTTGGTTGGTTGACATATTCCCGTTCCGACGCGGACAGACGCGTTGATAGTCTGGTGTGGTTTCATTGCGTTTGTTATCAAACGCGCCTCGCATCAAGCAATATACAACCATCGCATGGCCGACGATCCGTCATTCTTACTGGAGATGGAATGCTTGTCCACCTTACCAGACAACTATGCAATAGGAAGTGAAGGTCCGGGTTATGAGAGGTAGCCACAGCGAGTTCAGAGTATCCGTACAGGACCTGCTTTTGGCCCTTCTCCTGAAGATCGAGCATCTTGTTTCCTCAAAGACGCCTCCATCTGTCTACTATTGAAGCTACCGGCGGAAGGAGGCGGCGGCGGCGTCATTTGGCAGGGAGAACGAGAGAAAGCCGTAATTTGGTGGGGAGCTTTGTCTCTCAAAATGCAATCTCGGGCCACAGGGCGAGCAGTGGGCTGACATCGCGGGTTGCGGTGATTGGTAGAGGCCGACAATAGGGGAAGTGAAGTCGTTAGGAGGCCGAAAACGCGTGGGACGGACGCTCGGGGCTCGAAAGCTCCCAGCTGCTGGTGATTACATAGCATCGCCCTACGTAAGCTGACTGCGAATGCGAATGGTAGCTAACCGCCATCCACTCACCACGGCGGGGAACTCATCCCAATCGTCACTAGAGCTTCTGCTGCGGAATGCTGCTACTTCGACCGTCCTATTCGTACTTAGCTAGCTTCCGCAGGCGAGCAGGCGAGATATTCGAGCCATCTCAATCTCGTCCGTGGGGTCGATGATGTTGTCCAGGCCCGTACTGATGCGAAGTACGGGCTTGGCGGCCGTCCTCACGTCTCACTTTGAGGTTGGCTTGTTGGGTGAGGCTTACAAGTGAACAATATGGCTCAAACTAACGAATGGCAAGTCATCTCAAAGGGATCCTCCCTCAATCGACTCATTACAGGCCACATCTGGCTTGCTGCCCCCAGAGATCGCCTTGCATCACCAACAAACGCCCTGCAAGTCATGGGCAATCCATACGATGAACTTGCTGCAATGCCATCGACGATCAGACGCCAGATGCTGTCTTTCTGTTTGCTCGCTACAACGGACGTGGGCCACGCAGGGAGGGAGGGCGTGGGCTGTTTGAGGGAAGCTCAAACGCGAGCAAAAAGGAACGTCGAAGGATCTCCAGCACCTGCATCCACTTAAAGCAAAGGAACCGCAAAGCCACCAGGACGGAAGGGAAACTCGCCAGGAACAGAACCAACTTTCGTCTGTTCTAATTATGACCTTGCAGACAGCGGCCAACAGAGGCAGCGCCCCCCGTCCCAACAGCAGTCCGTCGTTTCTTCCCGCTCGCCAACTTAGACGCGCGCCTTGGGGCCGCCGAAGAAGACCTGCGTCTTCGCCTGCCCCCAGGTTCGGCGGCGATGCACTGCAAATGGGGGCCGGGCTATCTCATGCAGCCCGCTAATCAGCGTGCCAGAAAGCGATGTGACGGCCCCCGAGATGTCGGCCTGGAGGCCCAACGCGGCGGCAGCAGCCGTTCCATCCCTCTGGGACGACGTCGTCATCCCTTTTGATTCGCAGCGAAGGTCGACGGATAGGGGCAGGGTTCTCGTTTGGTCCGGTCTCTGTACTGCATCTGGTCTGGTATGGCATAATAAGCTGAGTTGAGCTGCTGACCTCGTCCTCGTCCTCAGAATGCATTTCCATTAAGTCCCCGGCTCAACCCTGGTCATGGAAGCCGAATCGCCCCCAGAATAGAAGCAGATCAGAAGGCCTTCCTTTGCGGTTTACCCCTGAGTTCCCTTTCGGTCAACAAGGGTTTCTCGTCTCCTCCCGTGAAACCGCGGCAGACGGGACGGGGATGAGGACAAGACATGACATTTCTGTCGAGCGTCCGGAATGTTGCCCCTCATCGGGTCTATTTGTGCTGTGTTTTGGTTGTATATGCGAAGCCGGATGACCGAAGACATTGAGTTCAGACTGAACGAGGTGAAGGACTCAGCAGCTAAAGCAGCTAAACTTCGGCCGCCAACGGAGGTGGACATGCGGCGACGCAAAAGAATCCACCAGCCTGCATCTCCCATTTCCACACGAGTTCGCCCTGTGAAGAAACGGACGAAGCGCGGGGGATAACGGTCGGTCTGCGGTATCCAATAGCCCACATCAGTTGCATTCCGCGGCAACTCATGGGGGCGGAGGTGGAATCTGACGCTGCGAGGAAAGTGGGAGGACGCTGTAGGTAATATGTTGCACCGTAGAGAAGTGTCCAGTCGTGCGTGTCGTGCTGCGCAGATTCTCTCCATCGTCCACCGTCCACCGTCTTCCCGCCCGAGAATTGACTGAGGCGAGCGATGCAACCACGCCCACCGTTTTCGCCCTACTGGCAATGATTGGTTGATTGCGAATTGGCTATCATCCCAATATCAGCCAATCAGACGCGTCATCTGGCCGGATTATAAGGCGAACCACCGCTGTTTCCCCGGGATACCGCTTGTCAGAGGGAAAAAGAGGGAAAGAACAGGGGTGCGCCTAGCAAAAACATGTCAAGCTGCCCAACTGAGGTCTCCACGGCCAAAGACCAGACCAGACGGGACGAAGAAAAAAAATCCCACTGCGAAAAGTTTCGTTCGATTCCACTCTGCTTGCATAGACTTTTGCAGTGCAGCTTCACAGCTCTTTTCAACTACACTCATCGTAGTTCTTGTCTATCAGAACCGACAGCTGGGCGCGCATTCTCCAGACGGGAGTAATCTCATTCGCAAGTCCAATCTCTTTCAGCTTGGACAGCTTCTGGACCAGTTCCCAAGCCATTGCCCCTCGATTCTACAAGCCACCAGCTCCTCCAGCTCGCTGGCGTCCCTTCATATCGCAACTTTCGCTCTGAAGTCTCGAGCTCAAAAAAACAACACCACCCAGCTCGGATTCCTCAGTCTACAGGAATCTTCAGTCGCCGCCGACCTTTACTCGCCCAGCTCCTGCGGTTGGCCCTTCTTTTTACCGGGTGCAGAAATTTGCGCGCGTTCCTCAGCTGCTTCCATCTTCCAACACATCTGAAGCGCGAAACAAATTCTCACCCCTCCATTCCGCCGCCCCCCCTGCGGACAAAGTCCCCCTGAACCCCTCCAAATAAGGGATTCCAACATTGGAGATCGCCGACGCAACTACGTCTTTGAGACGCGAAACCAACACGGAGAGAAGCCCCTGACATCGAAAGCTGAACTCTGAGAGTTCCTCTGCTTCCCCGAGTCGTCCGTCTCGCCGTTTCTGTCGTCCTCATCATCTCGCCATTTCCCGTCAGCTGTCTGTTGCCGCCGACAAACACACCCGACATCAACACAACACAACAACACTCACCATCTCACGCCCGGGCTGTGCTCACCATCCTGCTAGCTCTCGCATAGCCGCTATCTGACAGACTACCAACGTTTGTCCAAACCAAAGCTCCCAACTCTCGGTTTCGTCCCCAATTTTGGCCTGTCTTCATACCAGGCACGTCCCGGCTTGCATTGCAGTCCACTTGTCGACGATCCCCCGAACCCGCCAATTCGGCCACTCAGGCTTCGTCCTCCGTCTGCATTCTGCAAATCCGCCTGCCGACATACACACCACGGCCGTTCCGTCGCCGCCCCAAATCGCCCTTCTTTCTCTTCCGTTAAATACCGCGGCCCAGTCAAAACCGTTCCCAGCCCAACGTCCCGCGCCCAATAGAGGCCTATCGTAAAGACAACACATCATCGTACAGCGTCGCTCCCTTCACCATGGTCTCCTTCTCTTGCGAGGTAAGTCGCCGCCCTCTTCTTCAACCCTCATCTTCTCCCCCTCCTCACCAAGGGTCCCTTTACTTCTCCGTACGACCCCCCGTCGGCAACACCCCCGAAGATCCCCATGTCATCTTATAATAACCTCCAGACCTGACATCACATCCTCACACCACACACCTTCCACACTCCAAGACATCAGAGACACACCCCTCCAGCAACAGAAACAAACACCCCTCCACTTCCCCTTGGACACTCTTTAATAGCCACTGTCTCGTCCCGTCCCTCCCTCGCCTCCTACACCATACACCCCTCTTTATCCCCCAAGAACCCAATTATCTTCCTCGATCAACTCCTGCGCAACATCACTGACCTGTCTCTTTGCTCGGCCACAGTCGTGTGGTGATGTCTTGACCAAGAAGAAGCTCGACCCGCACAGAAACCGTTGTCGAGGTGCCACCTTTACCTGCATCGATTGTATGGTATACTTCCCCGGCACCGAGTATCGTTCCCATACCGTAAGTTCGCACCAAATCCTTCGACCGTTCAACGGGCGCCGTCGTTGGAGCTAGTCATATGCTAACCCGATCGTAGAGTTGCATGAGCGAGGCCCAAAAGTACCAGGGAGCACTCTACAAGGAAAAGAACAACAATAAGAAGAACAACAACAAGCCGAACAATATCCTGCCGCAGAACGTACCCCTCCCCGAACCTGAAGCCATGGCTCAGCCCGCATACGTCGAGGACGTCCCCGAGGACGTCTTCGAGACCTACGAATACCAGGGCGGCGGTAGCGACGACGGAAACTCCCCCGTCGACCTACTCCCCGAAGCACCTACGCCCCCCTCCGCCGTCGGGAACGACGGCAACCTCAACGTCTTCGACTTCCTCGACGCTTCAGCAACGCCCAACGCATCCACGCTCCAACTCGGCCAAAGACAAGCAAACGAGGAAACACAACTGGTCCGCTATGAGGCCAGCGCCTACCTCGACGAGTCCGGCGAGATGGTCGACGAGGACCCCCAGGCCTTGGTCCAATACGGCACCGGCGCCATTCCCCTCGACCCCTACGAGACGCCCGCCCCCAAGCACGAGCGGAGGAGGAGAGACGGGAGCGAGAAGAAGGACAAGAAGCGCAAGCGCCTCCACGTCGACACCGACCAGATGATGATCGACGCACCGCCCACCCTCGCACACTCCGGCCTCACCGGCGGCATCAACCGCATGATGCGTCCCGTCTTCCCGCCCTCGCCCGATTTCTCCGGCGGCGACGCCGACCCATCTCCCCTGAGCCCGCTCAAGAAGACCAAGCACTCGAAGCACAAGAAGTCCGAGGGCGGCGGCATCGGCAACAACCTGCTCTCCCTGATGAACTTCAACACCAGCAGCAGCAAGACCAAGACCAAGAAGCGCAAGACTACGTCCTCCTCCAAGAAACATTCCGCCCACCGCCACCGCGACGGCGAGAAGGCCCCCAAGCTGATCGAGTACCGCCCCGGCTCCCGCGACAGCAAGAAGGACGGTGACGACGGCAACCAGATGGTCGTCTACCGCCCGCGCGCCGACCTCTTCCTCTCCTTCGTCAACAAGGGCCCCGAGAGCGAGCGCGGCTGCAGCATGAACAAAGCCCTGAAGCGCTTCCACCGCGAGCGCAGCGCCTCCAACGACGGCCTCAGCAAGCTCATGGAGGAGAAGGAACTCTGGCGGTCCCTGCGCATGAGACGCAACGACCGCGGCGAGATCGTCCTCTTCACTGCGTAACAGGGGGTTCTGTTCTCCTTTTCAAATCACTCCATGCATTGCGCGAGGGTGGACGGGTAATGGCAGGGGGAGGCTAGGCGGAACTCATAAAGGACACCGGAGTTTTGAGCGTTTGATGTTTTTTTTACTCTGCTTGCAAGTGGTTTTCGGAAACCGTACTTTTTGGCACATGATACCTACGCGATGAAATAGAGAGCCATCGAGCCCGGGAGGGATAACGGGCCCGGGCCCCATGGGGGAAAGGACCGTTGGGGGTGTTCGGATCTTTGTCTTGGTCGACACCAGTATCGCTTTTTATTCTCTCTCCCCCCTTCTTCTCTGGATGCCTACATCGTCATAGCCACATGCTCCTAGCTGGTCTTTGAGCTTTTCACCGAGCCATATGGTTATGATATTGAGGGTAACCGGATCAGGGGTCATTTTAACTTTTCAAATCTTCTCTGTATTGAGTATGATGGTCGACCAACACGTTTTTCTCTCTCGTTGCATTTTTCGTCTTGCTTGATGATGAAAGTGTGTGTGATGTATAACAGGCATTGCCATCTCATGAGCGCGCCTCTCTATTCTGTGGTATATATTCCCCCTCGTACAAATTATGCTTCATGCCCTTTTTTAGTCGTTCAAATGTACACCCTCATCCCTAGTGCAAGCAAATCCGGAACCTGAACCTCTCCGCTCTTCGTAAATAATAAATGATAAATGTACAATCTCCTTCATCCCTCGCTGTAACTTAAACACCTCTCATGCAATCCTCAGAGGCAGGATATGCTGCACCATCGCCTCCCGCCTGCACAGCGGACACTCGGGCTTCTCCCTTACCCAGTCCCCGATGCAGACCCAGCAGAAGACGTGCCCGCACTGCGTCGCCGACGGGTCCTTCAGCTCCTCCAGGCAGAGGGTGCACTTCCGCTGCGCCGCGCCCGATATGTACCCCATGACTTTCTCGTCCCCCAGGTCGTACCGCGCCCCGCCCGCGCTCTCCGGCGGCGCGGGGGTGTGCGTGACGGCCGCGATGTCGAGCTTGCTCGCACCCGCGCCGGCGCCGCCGGGCGTGCCCGTCTCGGAGAGCAGGACGGCCGTGTTGGCGGCGAAGGCGTTGGCGTCGAGGGAGACGTCGGCGGCGGAGGGGGAGGCGGAGCGTTCTCGAGACGTCCGTAGGGAAGAAGAGGTGGAGAGGTCGGATATGGTGGAGCGGATGTGCAGGTAGGATTGCACGGCGAGCTGGGCGACGAGGAGGACGCCGAGGACCTCGTAGCCGGCGCGGTCGGGGGAGTCCGGGACCTTGCGGGTGAAGACGTAGCGGAGGCCGAGGAGGCGCTTGGCGAGCTCGTAGTAGGTGCCGGTGAAGTAGAAGACGGCGAGGGTGGCGGCGTGGAGGGGCGCGGCGGAGGTGAGGGAGGAGAGGTTGGCGAGGACGTAGGCGGCGAGTTTCTGTCGCGCGGTGCCGGGCTTCTTCGTGGGCGAAGAGAGGGAGGATTGGAGCGAGGCGCGGATGCGGGCGCGGACGGAGGGGAGGAGGCGGCCGAGGAGGTAGGGGAGGAGGACGGAGGTCGCGATGTAGGAGGCGCGTCGGGGGAGGGTGGGCAGGGCGCCGGAGGGGTCGTCGTCGTCGGAGTCTTCGGCGCCGACGTGCAGCTGGACGAGGTCGCAGTACTCCTCGCCGAGGGTGCGGTTGCCCGGGAGGGTGGTGAGGGAGAGGTAGAGGGTGTCGGCGAGGAGGCGGTGGAGGGAGGTCGCTGAGTGGGCGGAGCGGGCGCCGAGGAGGAGGCGGTGGAGGGAGGTGAGGGTGTTGGAGAGGTGGCCCTTGTAGTAGGCGTCCTTCTGGTGGGCGCGGATGATGTCGGGGGCGGAGGCGTACGGGTAGGGGGAGCGCGGGAGGGTTGGCGGTTGTGGTTGTTGTGATGGGTCGGCCATCTTTTTTAGCGATTGCGCATTGCGCGCGAGAACTTTGGAGGTGGTGTTGGATGGTTGTACCTCGAGGTTAATTGCGTGGAGAAGAAGACACAGAGAGTGTATTGGCGAAGCGGGGAGAAGAAGTCGCGGTCGTGGAGGTTGTTGTCGTGAGTTCGTGTATTGGGTGGTGGTGATGTCGGTTTTGGTGGTTGGAATTGAGCCGAGGCGCTGCGAGAGGTGCCGGGGCTCGTTGGCTGGAGCTCGGCCGGCAATTGTCAGCATGTGTAGCGGTCCGGCGCCGACGGCCTGGGGTCGATGGCGGGGGGAATGGGACAGGGATTGGCACTACCTACCTCACCATGTACAAGCCGCGGTGTCACTTTGAAGGTTGTCTGATGCTTGGATGAACTTGGGGTTCACTCTAATTCAACTGAAGGTTTCCCGAATTTGCGACTGAAAGTTGAAAGTTTTAAAGATTCATTGGTATTATGAAGTGCAGTTCGCTAGTGTTAGTGCACGCACCAAAGCTCCGCGCAGATGCTAACAGGCGATACCGGGTGAGGGGTTTGATAAGACAGTCTGAGTCTCTAAAGCCAATTGACCCGTAATGCCGAAACTCCTCCGTCAAGCTCTTCGGTTTTGGACGTCTTACGTTTGCCGTCGAGAGAACTGGCAACCTCTTCAGCTAGGTATTCAACAACGGTTCCAGCTCTGCGAGGTCTGAGTTGTTTGAAATTCTGGTCCTGGATGAGTCATCTTGCTGTTGCACCCCACGCAACTTTATCGTCACTACATACCTTCCTTCACCTTGAAGGGTGACTTAACCCATTTCCGACACTGGCCTTTTGGAGGTGAGCTCACGCAAATTCGGAATTCTATCATCATAGACTAACGTTTTCATAGTATTGCCAAGATGGGACATCTTGTGACTGTAGCGACGTGTTCGCTGAACCAGTGGGCTCTGGATGTGAGTCGCCTCAGCCCTTCGACATGCACCATCATGAGCTGTAGCACTTGCTGACAGAAGGAACATAGTGGGAAGGCAATGCGTCTCGCATTATCGAGAGTATCCAAAAGGCAAAGGCTGCCGGAGCCCGACTTCGTGTCGGACCTGTAAGTGACTCACGACCCCTCAGCTCGATCACATCACTTCTTCCTCCGGCATCCATCGCCAAGCATACATGAAGAATGAATTGACGTCGTTTCTAGGAACTCGAGATATGCGGCTACGGCTGCCTCGACCACCTCCTCGAGCAGGACCTGTACCTGCACTGCTTCGAGATGCTCCGCCGCATCCTCCTGGACGAGTCCTGCCACGACATCCTCCTCGACATCGGCATGCCCGTGCAGCACCGCAACCAGCGCTTCAACTGCCGCGTCCTCTGCCTCAACGGCAAGATCCTCATGATCCGCCCCAAGATGTGGCTCGCCAACGATGGCAACTACCGCGAGATGCGCCACTTCACCCCGTGGATGCACCCGCGCCAGACGGAGCAGTACCACTTGCCGCGCATCCTGCAGGACATCCAGGGTTCCACGCATGTCATCTTCGGAGACGCGGTCGTTTCGACGCCTGACACGTGCTTTGGCGCGGAGACCTGTGTAAGAAGACTGGGATGGCTCGGATTCGAGCTGGACTGACGATCGCGCAGGAAGAGTTGTTCACCCCCAACGCCCCGCACATCGCCATGAGTCTGGACGGCGTGGAAATCATCACCAACTCGAGCGGCTCGCACTTTACCCTGCAGAAGCTCGACACCCGTCTGAAGCTCATTATGGAGGCGACGCGCAAGTGCGGCGGTATCTACCTCTACGCCAACCAGCAGGGCTGCGATGGCGACAGACTCTACTACGACGGCTCCGCCATGATCTTGGTCAATGGCGACATCGTTGCCCAGGGATCGCAGTTCAGCTTGAACGATGTCGAAGTCGTCACGGCTACGGTCGACCTGGAGGAGGTGCGGGCTTACCGCTCTGCCATCTCGCGTGGTCTCCAGGCTGCGCGATCCGATGCGAAGTACGAGAGGATCCAGACCCATTTCGAGTTGAGTTCCGAGGAGGAAGACGCGGATGTCGAGAAGCGGCCTTCACCTCCGATCCAGCCCAAGTACTACTCTGTCGAAGAGGAAATCGCGATGTGCGCCGGCTGCTATCTTTGGGATGTAAGACTACCGTGCCCTTTGCATACGCGCATATGCTTATCTGTCTAGTACCTCCGGCGATCCGGCACAGCAGGCTATCTCGTTCCCCTCAGCGGTGGAATCGACTCCTGCGCAACCGCAAGTACGTTACCAGAAACCACCACAAACTGTACGACACTAACCCCGCGAAGCAATCGTCTACTCCATGTGCCGCATCGTAATGAAGGCCGTCGAAGAGGGTAACGTCCAAGTGATCGAAGACGTCAAGCGCATCGCAAAGTACGACGGCGACGGCGTCCTCCCTAAAACACCCCAGGCCCTCTGCAACCAGGTCTTCTCGACGATCTACATGGGCATGAAGACGCAGAGTTCTGCCGAGACGCGCGGGCGCGCAAAGGACCTCGCCGAGGCCATCGGCAGCTACCACATCAACCTCGACATCGACGACGTCTACCAGGCTCAGAAAAGCCTTGCCGTCAGCGCGCTCAACTTCGAGCCGAGGTTCAAGGTAGAGGGCGGAACTGTTCAGGAGAACTTGACACTGCAGTGTCTGCAGGCGAGAATTCGTATGGTCACCGCGTACGAGTTCGGGCAGCTTCTTCCTACTGCCAGAGGACGTCCCGGCGGTGGCGGGTTGCTGGTTTTGGGAAGTGCGAACGTTGGAGAGGTGAGTCTTACCCCTTAATGAGTGATGACATGTGCTGACTTCGGCAGTCTCTGAGAGGGTACTTTACCAAGTAAGTGGTTTGGGAAACGTAAGCTGCAATTTTGATGTACTGACCCGTATATAGATATGATTGCTCCAGTAAGCCGATCTTCTTGCACACACAGCTCCGCCAAGGGTGTCGAATCCCGCGCAAATCCTTTCTCGCGCGGAGGCTCTTCTAGCCCCAGACCTAGCTAACCCCTTGCACAGGCGCCGACATCAACCCCATCGGCTCCATCGACAAGGCCGACCTCAAGCGCTTCATCGCCTGGGCCGAGAAGGACTTCGGCATCCCGTGTCTCCACGACTTCCTCACCGCGGTCCCGACCGCTGAGCTGGTGCGTCTCTCCCACTTCCCTCCTACCGAGGCCCCTCGCAGGTCGGATCCCACTCACACACAGAACCCACAGGAACCCATCTCGGAGACGTACGTCCAGAGCGACGAGGTCGACATGGGCATGACCTACCAGGAGCTCACCATCATGGGCCGGCTCCGCAAGGTCAACAAGCTGGGCCCGTACGGTATGTTCCAACGCCTCGTCCACGACTGGAGCGCCGACCGCCAGCGCGGTCCGGACGACGACGCCCCCGCGTACGACCCGAAGCAGACGGCCGAAAAGGTCAAGAAGTTCTTCCACTTCTACGCCATCAACCGTGAGTTCTGCTCCTCTAGAATACAACTGGGGCCAGTGACTGATAACGAGGAACAGGACACAAGATGACGACGCTCACACCGGCACTGCACTGCAACGACTACTGTAAGTCCACGGCCCTGCCCAATCGGGTTGGTCACGTTTCCGCTGACGAGGTCGAAAATAGCACCCGACGACAATAGATTCGATCTCCGTCCCTTCTTGTACCCCCCGTTCTGGAAGAGCTGGAGTTTCAAGAAGATTGATGCGGAGCTGGAGAAGATTGAGAAGAGAAAGGCCAAGAAGGCGGCGGCATAGACGGTTCCACTTTCCGTGTAAGTTGAGAGAGGAATAGAGTCGCGAGATGGCGGCATTCCAATATCACCCGAAACCCGACAATTCGGCCCCGACTTTTGGTCACTTCTAAGTACCCTTCTAGAACGCGCGTAAGTGAGGCTTCAACATCGTTCGCTTAGATTTCGATGTTGATCCCAACTACACATCCCACATCCCGTTTCCCTCAATCTTTTTTCGTGTTTGTTTCCCCGGTGTTGAGGCTAAAGAGCCCCCGCCCAGAGCGTCGGGATGGAAGGGCGGGAAGTAGGGCGCCAAAAAAAAGCTTACGACGTCAGATCCAACGTCGATCGTCAATTATTCTCCGCGATCCAATCAGCAGCCTCGCAATGTGATGACACCGCACACGGAATACGCGGGGGCTCCAGGATTGATATTAAACATGCGCGGGTTCGAAAACTGATGAGAATTTGGTCGGTGGCGGTTGGTTCGCATTTGCCCCAGAAGGCACTGCCCCGAAGCGAAAACTCGCGATCTGGGGCAAATGCGAACCAACCACGTTCAGCCTCTTCGACACCCGACTGAACCTCGCGGTCTTTTTTTGCTGATGATGTTTGTAGGAGATGGGACAAGCTTCTTCTGCACTGACTGCCAAGACTTTAAGGTCCACGACGGAGGTGCTTTTTTGGTTTCTCGATGTGGCGTTCATCCGGAACCGCGACCCAGCTTACAATCCACTTGACGAGAATGGATGAACTTCCAGCCTTTTGCGGCATGAAGGGACGAAGTCGGTGACGACGACGGATGACGCATGGCCCGTCAAGGTCGTCGACGGAAGGGGCGCGGCTCTGATATGGCGATGTTGGTGACGAGAAAAATAGGAGAAGGGAGGCCTCGATCATGAGAGTGCAAATTCACTTATAAGAAGATGTGCAATCCGGCTTCGAGAGAACACCAGAGAACTCACCAAGCCAGCCTGAATCAACAGACATCAGACTAGCATACTCTCACTAAACCCACACAATCTTTCCAAAACATCAAAGACAACAAACACCACCACTCATTCACCCAGCAAAAATGCACTCCTCCGTCCTCCTCCTCCTGACTTCGGTCATGCTCGGCGCCGCCCACCCGGGCCACCACGAGGAGTCCCACCCGGCCCTCCTCGCCGCCCGCCACCAACACCACGGCCTCGCCCGCCGCGGCCTCGAGTCCTGCCAGAACAACAAGGCCTACCGCGACGTCCAGGCCCGAGCCCACGTCCGCCGCGCCCAGGCCATCGACTACCACCGCGCCGTCCGCAAGGCCAAGCGCGCCGTCGACAGCGCCGGCGTCGGCCACAACCAGACGTCCCTGCACGCCGGCATCGACGTCTCCACCCCGTCCTCCGAGCTCTTCGGCTCCAACCACACCTGCATCCTCAACCCGGAGGGCGAGATCGGCCCCTTCTGGGTCAAGGGCGAGTACGTCCGCTCCGACCTTCGCGACGGCGAGCCCGGCGTGGACGTCGTCCTGGACGGCCAGTTCATCGACGTCGAGACCTGCGAGCCCATCACCGACATCTACTGGGACCTGTGGAACTGCAACTCCACGGGCGTCTACTCGGGCGTCCAGGAGAGCTCCAACGGCAACGGCGACGACGCGTCGAACCTGGACAAGACGTTCCTCCGCGGCGTCCAGAAGGCCGACAACGACGGCGTCGTGCAGTTCCAGACCATCTTCCCGGGCCACTACTCGGGCCGCACCACGCACCACCACATGGTCGCCTTCCTCGACGCCACCGTGCTGCCCAACAACACGCTCTCCTCCTCGCACGCGGCCTACATCGGCCAGCTCTTCTGGGACCAGGACCTCGTCGAGCAGGTCGAGGCCCTGTACCCCTACAACACCAACACCGTTGACATCACCCCCAACGCCGAGGACCACGTCGTCTCGGACGAGCTCGGCACCAACGCCGACTCGGACCCCTTCTTCCAGTACGCCTACCTCGGCGACGCCGTCGAGGACGGCCTCTTCGGCTGGATCACCATCGGCGTCAACCGCTCCGCCTCCTACGACACCTCCTACAGCTTCGAGCTCACCTCCTCCGGCGGCGTTGCCGTCGAGAACTCTGCGGGCGGCGGTGCCGGCGGCGCTCCCAGCGGTACCGGTTTTCCCAGCGGCTCTGCCCCTCCCGCCGCCACTTCGACCTCTGCTTAAGAGGTGCCAGAGGGGAGGAGGAGCTGGGCGATGATGGAGTCGATAAGCAGCGTTTCAGAACATCTGTGACGGGCTCCGGAGTCATATTGCACGATGCGTCGGATCGGACGTATGTGCTTCAAGATGATGAGGATTTCTCCCCCCCACCGCGCGTCGGCTTTTCGGACGTGCCTTGGAGGGGCCAATTTTATATGGGATGACCACCATGCGTCGGCGCGGACGTATCTTGGTTCATGATGATAACGATACCCCCTGTTTCAAGCGTTTTCCTTACTCCTTTTCTTCAATAGAGAGATAACAAAATCAAATCCCGCTCAGGAGTTTCACAAATCTGTTTCTTGTCGTCTCTAAGTGAAAGCGAACCCGAGAACATTCATGGAAATTAATAGATCAGGCTGTTCACGACATGGTATCCGCATACGGGAATGCGGGGCATGGCCAATCAAAGATGCATGAGATCATTCTTCAGCGTTGTATTATCTGATCCTTCGTTGAAGGAGGGCAAAAAAAATGGGAACTCCGTATGGGTCTCAAGAGTGAATCATGTCGCGCAATTGCGACGTTATCTGGCCGTCGGTCTCACGATTTCTGGAAAGTCGAGATGACGCTCCTCGAAATGTCGACAGAAACGACCGAGACCAACGACGGCAAGATGGTCCCAGATCTGGAGACATTTTGGTATGAGCCGGACCCCGAAGATCTGCGCTGTCTCAGCTGTGGACTACCATTTAAAGATGAAGCCCTCGTCCGCACGTTCCGAGTATGCCCGCCAATATCCGAGCAAAGCCCTCCTTCAGAGTGCAGCAGAGTAGTCAAATCGCATCTCGACGCTGATATCCTCTTCTTCGACCGACATCTCCAGTGCGTCTTAGACCAGGGCGTCCCCGTCGCCGCAGTCTCTCACGTCTGGGATCCGAAGATATCAGCCATCCAGCAACGACCCCGGCACTCGCCACAACCCATCGATGTCCGTCTCCTCGCAACAGAAACACCGATCCGGATCCTCGGCGGTGTCCAAGACGCCGGCGGGGACGAGCGGCACATGGAGTTCTGGCACGACTACTTCAGCGTCCCGCAATGGACCCCCTCGCTCAAGAGCAGGATCCTCCTCGCCATCCACACAATCTTCAGCACCGCCCGCGTCACCGTCGTCCACTTCGACGACCTCAGCCCGGACGTCGTCGAGAAGCTGCACCGCGGCGCGACCTCGCGCGAGCGCCTCGAGGGCGTGACGGGGGTGTGCAACGCCGCGTGGTTCAGCCGCATGTGGACGGCCATGGAGTTCGTGCGCAGCGGCACGCCGATCCGGATGATGACCCGGGACTTCCGCCTCGTCCGCGGTCCGCCGGGCGACGACGCCGGGTTTCTCGGCAAGGTGCACGAGGTCTGGAATGCCGAGGTCGAGGCGCACGGCGGGGACGTGTTCGCGGTCGAGGAGGAGGTCGGGATGCGGCGCTCCGAGAACCTCGTGCCGTGGAACCTGGGGCCGCTGAGGGAGGTCAGGGCGTTGGGGCGGGCCAACTTCGCCATGGCGTTCGCGCTGCTCTCGAGGCGGGGGTGCCGCGACGCGTTTGACTTCCTCCACGCGCTTCGCGGCGTCGTTGGGGACGCTTCGGAGAGGCGGATTGGCGATGATTTCCGTTCCGAGTATGTCGGGACCGCGTGGGAGTGTCTCCGGGCGGGCGATGTTAGTCCTCTTCTCATCACCCCCGCAATCGAGGTGTTCAATCCGCGTTTGCCTCCTCCTGTTTTTCGGAATTATAATGATATTTGGACGTGGGAGTTGGGAGAGCAGATTAGCCCTCCCAGCCACTTGCATGACATGTCGATAAGTCCCGAGGAGGACGCCATTGATGTAAGACTTCAGCCTGTTGGAATCGTTACCATGGTAATGGAGCTCGACTGGGAGAGCCACCTGAGTCAATTCGAAAGATGCGCCGATATGGCGTTGAACTGCACTGGACCGAATCTGGACGCTTTTGTCTCGACACTTTGCACCAGGTTATATGGCGAGGACAAAGAGGCAGTCATGCAACACCTCGAGAACGAGAATCTCGTAGACGACGTGACGGAAGTTTTAAGTAGCCGGTATCTCACTTCAGGTTGGAACTCGGATTGGCGAACATGGAGGATAGATAAACACGGCCTGCAAGGCGAAGAAGCGTGCCGCTGGCTAGCCGACGCCCTATGCCTCACCAAGATCGTGGACGGTCTCGCGCAGAGCCGGCTGGCCCTGGTATTCGCTCGATACGCCACCATACACTGCGCCGCGCAGGCCAAAGTCGCCGTCGTGACGTGTACGGGGTGTTACGAGACGTCCCTGTTCCGGGTGGGGTTGTTCGCGCCCAAGATGGACGTCCGGCGGGCGCGGGCTTGGAGGATTCCCGGGTTGGAGTATCGCATGTCGAGGCCTGGCGGGATGGCGATACTCGAGAAGGGTGGAGAAGTTGTTGGGAGGATGGTCTGGGCTTCGCCTGCTTGTGCTTGCGAGGAAACCGAGATGGTGAGGTTGAAGATGCCGGATTTACCGAATCCTCGGCCTCATGACAAGCGCTGAGTTGAGAGAGTTATGTAGTACTGGAAAGGAGAGCGGCGATATTCGTCTTTGGTGTTTGAAGGCGCAGGGAGTACACTGGAGGCGCTGTAGATACCAGGTTTGCAAGTACAGGGCAGAAAAGTAACCCAAAAGTACGTTTCCATGCCTCTTACATTGCCGAGGAAGCTGATGAGTGGAAAGCCGGGGTTTTAATTCACCCTTGGGGGCAACTTTTTGCAGTCGCAACACTCTACCTTTTATATGTACTGTAAGGTTCACGGAAAGCATGGTTTAGAGTCTTGTTGGTTCACCACTCCAATATGTACACTTTAAACTTGCCTTTCTTTGAAGACCCGGTTGATGTGCCCTTATATGAAGCCGAGCCTCATTGATCGCGGTCGTAGCCTGCCCGGCCAACGCCGGCGGGTTGCGTGTCCGGGGCAGACCCGCGTCGTCGGGCATATCCCTTCTGTCAATTGCCTTTCGGCGGGCAGCCTTTTTCCGCGGCTCGCTCGCGCATCCCAGCGTCGGGAGAAGACTTTGGACTAAACACCTGGCTAGATACGTTCTCTTAGATACTAGTTGAGATAGAATGGCAGCCTTGAGGAAAGGGAGGAGATATGTAAGATCCTCATACTCCGAGCTCTAAGGTATAAGTCGCCGCGGCATAAGAGAACAACCTCCAGTTCTTAGTATTTATCTCTTAGTCTTAGGAAGGCTTATAGCTTTGTGTTTAAAGGTAGCACTCTCATTAGAGCGCTTGCCCCAGGGGCACATAAAGTAGATAGCAGCATTAAGCGAAACAGTAGGAACCAGGCACAGTAACTCATTAGGATATAACTCATCTTTATTATAAAAGATCGATTTGTAATACTAGCTTATTCTTCCATATGAATACTCGACGAGAGACCAAGGAAGACGAGGACAACAATAGAAACAACAACGACAGGGACGACAGAGACGACAACAACAGAAGAAACACTTAAGACAACAATGACGCAGCCAATAGTCGGTATTATTTATTCCAATCCTATTCAACTGGACTCGTCAAGTCCTGTGTGTGCCCGGTCTCAGCGGACAGCGTACTCGAATACAATAGAGTCAAGGACCTCACCGCTGAATGAACAGCAGCGGTGCCACATGGTGAAGGATATCAACGGTCGACTGGCCTTGGAACGCGATTGTCTGCACCCCTTGCGGTCCATCTGCTCATCTATTTCGTCTCCTTCACCATTGTCGCGGCCACGCCCTCCTAGGAGGCATGGATAAACAGGTTTTTGGCTGCAGGGCTCCCATTCCAGTGGAGGCGGCCCTGCTGATTGCGCCATCGGACGTCGCTTCGGATAGATCTCAAAGTCCGTCCGATGTAATCCGAGTATTTGAGTACCATGGCGTCATGCTTTAGCACCAAAACCTCTTGCTCTAGAGAGACGCGGTTGATAAGCATATCCCAGGCTACCTGGATATAGTCTCTAGAGCATGCGACCGCTGCTACATTGCCGTTTAGCAAAGCATGTCCAGCTTCTCGTGTTTGCGCGCCAAGTGACTCTGCGGCTCGACGCGTCCCCGGAGGAACGGAGGCGCCTAAGAGCACCGTCGCCGCAAAGTTCCTTGCCGCTTCAAAGAAAGTCTGGTCGTCAATTGGGATGGTCGTTTGTTCTTCTAGGAGCTTCTTCAGCCGCGGATTAGGTTGTGAAATTGGGAATGCTGCGCTAGCCGCGCGAGGGAAAGCGGACATAATGGGCTGTAGGACGACTAAGCTTAGTCAAAGCCGAGAGGTAATCCTGATAGTTGCTCTGTCAAGTGATGTTCTTGATTCTGCTTCGAGATGTGTGTGCTAAACGTAGGGTCTTCTAGGTATCTGCTGTTGTGTTTCTCGGGGTGGATGACTGAGTCGGAACGGACGTTTCTCCCTCAGAAGTCAAATTGCCGAAGAAAATGGCCTCGTCCATTTTCTGCAAAACCGAGCTTTCTATGTTCTGTGCTAGAAAAGGTTCATGAGAGGGGTGGAGAAGCGGACTGTCTTCGATGGGCTGAGCCGAAACAGTTCCATGAGACGGGCGGATGAGTGTGCTGTACTCGTCGCTGTCGAGAGGACCGAATGTTCTCAACAGCCAATAGTTCAGCAGCGGAGAAATCCTTGGGTGATTTGTTTTCCAACCCAGTGGGAGCCAGTGGCAATTGAAGAATGCCTCGAGCCTGCTGTAGTTGAAGCGGTAGAAAGGGTGAATGGGTCTCGTGTAGTTGGCGTACACGTTGCGCGGCGGGTCACGGAGAGGATGAACGACGGATTTCGTGTAACCAACTAAAGACACTCTTGGTCTCTCCAGATCCTGAGATCCACGGCGGAAGGTTAAGATGACACTCTCCGGGTGAATGTGATAGTGGCTCAGACCAATTTTGTACTGTCTGACAACGCCGGCAAGAAGATCTTTCATCGTGCCAAGTCGAGTGGCCACGTCCACTTGGAGGAGTGTCTTCGTATCGTCGTCGAGATCGGGCATGTCGCCAACGTAGATCTGGTTGCCGACGTCATCCTTGACAAACAGCTTTTGCAGACAGATGCCGTCAATAAACTCCAAAGCAATGACACCGACGTATCTGGTTTGAAAGTTGGGGTCGGTACTCTGAACTTCAGCAGTCCAGCACCCGAACCATTGAGGTGCGATATGAGGGGCTCCAGTCATTCCATGCTTGTACAGAAATGCATAAGCCCCGACTTCGTCGCTCAATGCCATGTCTGCTCGGGCGGTGACCTTGAAGTGAGCTTCCATGGGATCGACCACCCGTGGAAAGAACATCGGGTCGAAGGCTTTGATGAAGATAACGTCGCCAACGGCCGGAGTTCGCTGGTTTTCGTAAAGAGGCGGAGTGAGAGGGACCTCCAGTACCTTGCACTTTAGTTTCTGGATACCAGGAGAGTAGGTCCCGGGGCCGGTTCCATGAACTGCGAGGATTTCGACCTTCATTTTAAGCGAATCGTCCTTTTGGATGCTCCGATCAAGGTTGTGCGGTTGGTTCTTCTCTCGGAAGACCAAGCCCGCGCGAGTGAGCGTCTTGTCTGCTGCGGCTTGTCCTATTTCTTCGTCACCCAAGTCTGGTGGCATCGGGTAGAACTTCCACCCCCAGGGCTTTGGCGCTCCATGTGGTGTTATATGCAAGATCTTTCCTGGGGAGTAGAGCTTCTTGTGGTCCTTCAAGATCGTTGCGGCGTCGGGAAACGACATCTTGGAAATCGTCGAGAAGCGGGTAAAGAAGCAAGGCTTTTGCGTCTTGGAGGTCGATGAAGCAGAAGCAGGTACGTGGTTGGTTCGCGGAGAAGACGGCAAAACGACGAGGCAGAAGTCATAGAGAAGATTTTGGAGACGAAGTAAAGTAAGGTATTTAAAAGGTGAAGCTTCCACTCAAGGTATTTTTGGCAGAGAGGTGGGACATGATAGACAATCGAACCTACCTTCCAGGTTCTCTTCTCTGTCCAGGAAGCCGTGAGGTTTCCACGGTACCTACCTTGAGTAACTCTGATCTTCGCTCGAGAGCTCCCATCGTCGATAGACGCAAATGAACGACCGCACAGCAGCTCACAACAACCCACCCAAATAAAATTATATAGAAAGAGCCAAGGTGATGTTTTTAACGTCATCCGTCCAATTCGGCCTCGGCTTGCAGGATCTCTGAGGCGGTTTTGGCTGAGGCTTCTCTGCCGAGGATGCCAGGAAGCCATGAATGAGGTTCTGGGCCGTCAAGAACCTGCCTCGAATAGCCATACAGATGGTTTAAGAGCCGAACCATAGCTTCTAGGTCCATCGCGATGGATTAATTTGCGGGAGGATGATTGAATTCTGTTTCTACCACAGCATCTCATGCACGAGATTGTTTTTGCTTTCCACCTTTATATCACAGATCAGAAAATGAACGAACGGACTGACGGACAAGAAAAGAACAACGTCATGCATAAATGACTCTTACTCCGGGACGATCTGGGCATCTTGTTGCCTTCAAGATAGCAACTGATACTAGTTTGGTATACACAGATGCCACAAAGCTTGGTATCGCCAGAACCTCGGGATGTTGACAATCGTGGCAAACCGGCTTGCTGAGTAAGACTTAAGAAAACAAAACTGCCGTGAGCAAACATCATGCCAAGAGCCGCACAGATTGTTCTGCGGCGTCGGAATTGGCAATGAGGCGGCAAGCCTTCTCCGCGACGTCGTGGATGTGGAAATGAGATTCGCGGCCACTTAAGACGCCCATGAAAGGGGCGTGAATGACTTACGCAACGAGGGGGTGCGCGGCATGTCGTTCGTGGAATTCGTCTTCTGAACGCACGACTTAATCGATGTACCAGTGGCGTCCATCTCTTCTTCCCACGTAAGCACTTCTGTGTTAATTCCCGTGTTCATGTTGGGTGTCATGAAGACAAGTGCCAAGCGGGCTGAACGACTGTCAAGCAACATGGTTGCCTGCCGTCTCCGGTAGTTCGACTGTCAACCACATGGTCTCCACTTCCGAGGGCATGAGCTCGGCGCAACGTGGCCAGCAGGCATTTTGATGCTGGCACGATGAGATGCCTGGCTGGAGGCGAAAGAGACTATTGATTTGGCTGGCAGAGAGCGTCGACCGCTCTAAAGATGATCAAAACCTATTGCTAAACCAGCATGTTAAGCCGGAGGATCCAGTTCCCGCGTTTCCCGACTCCTTCCTAGATTCGGTAGAGCCGAGATCCGACGAAACGCACCAAAAAGACGTTTGAACTGCCGTGTTGAGCGATATTGTACAGCTCTCAGAGCGAGAACGGCAATACTGTCGACACTGGTCGTCTCATGCATGAGCGCTAACCACCTTTCGAGTCGAGATTGACGACGGTCCCACGTAGAGCGACCAACCAGTATTGGGTTCTAGGCGGCAACGCGCGGCGGCCGACGAGCAAGAAGAGAGCTGGCCCGAAGGATAATGGAAACCAAAGAAGACAGAACATGGGGTAGCTTACACGAGTAAGTGACTTGGATGTGAGGCCATGCTTGTCCTTAATCTGAGCCGGCGAATGGCGTGACCACTGGGACGGCGCCACAGGCTTTCCCAAACCACCGGGACGCCGAGACGACACGAGTGGCTGCGCGAACATGTACCAGACCACACTCTGGTTGTAAGTGTCCAGGATGATGGTTCCGGATTCCAGGGTTCCTGATTGAGAGCTGTATGAATTATTGGGTACTCGTTGTGGCCCAGACCTTGATCTCCGAGCGCCGCGACGTTGAAAAGCTTAGTTTGATAGGTGTCGTCTGGTATTCAGCTGATGTCCATGCTGCATGACAGCATGTGTGATGTGAATTATTTGACCCGGCCAGAAAGCATGAGCAGGGGTCCGTAAGTCGGCCAGAGGTCACAGCTGCGGCCAGTTCAGCTAAACGCGAGTGCTGTATCGAAATGGTGCTAAGATGGTCTAGTAGTTGACGCGCAATGAAATGATAGGGAGCATGCAATGCAATGCGCAGCGTCGCCTCGAAGCACCCAGTCTACGCGCCCGGGAACCCTCACTGCTGTATATTGTCTGATGTGGTCGTCCTTGTATGTTGTGGTCCGCTGAGGCTAGCGGAAGCCACGTAGTATTGGTGTGTGAGAGATGAAGCTGACTGGGGAACCCATCATGAGCTGGCCTGAGAGTAATAGGGGAAGATGAGATTCAATGCAGGAAGCGGCTTGTCCACTGTCGGTATCGCGGCGGGTGACCATGGGTGTTCGCTCAAAGTTGCTACTTTGGCAGCGGCTATTGAGGGCCGAAATGCTAGTTGGTCCAAATAGAGTTAATGTCTGTTTTAGACAAGCCACGACAGCTTGGCCGTTTGACTAACCAGCAGCTGACGGTTTCTGACTGGGATGAGACCCACGAAGACTTTTTCCATAATGATCCACTGTGAGGTTCCTGTCAATGTTGGAAAGTGGTGTGACAATGGTTGTACAGAGTATCCGGATGGGGTTCTCGATGCACATGTTGCGCAAAACGTGCCATGCCCATGGTGCCTGTCGATCGCAGTGCTTGGCCAAACAGTGATGAAAATAGAATGAATAAGGTTATCTCGGGTGCTCGGTAGTGACGAAATTCGCCGAATAGGCGACCCTTATTCCATACTGTGAATGCCCAAGGGTTCTTCGCTGCCTGCCGATAAATCACCCGAAAAAGGGACGCGGAAATAAGAGATGGTGCCGGGACGCTCAGATGCAGAAGGCAAAGTGCTTTGATTAACGCCGGGGCCTGATATCAATGCGCGGCGAATTCATCTGCAGCATCGAAGTGCGGGGATTTGTGCAAGGAGATCGAGATGGTCTTTTCAGCCGTAGCTGAGGGCCAGGGTGTTATCCAGACGCGCCGGGAGCATAATTCGGCAATTCGTTCGCAGGCTGGAGGAAAGCAGAGCGCTGTTTTTTTTTCGAGAGTGACGGAGAAAAAGCAATGTCTTGCGTAGCGCATCACAACAAACTGTTCGCGAGACCCATTCCCTAGGGCTGACCGGGATGACCAACCAGCCCTGGCGCTCTGCACTTGTCTCTGGTGATGGCGGACATCCGCGGAAGTCAGGCACAGAACCGCCCGAATCAGGCGGATCGTGAAGCCGCGCGGTTTTGAATGCAGGTGTTGTCTTCTTCTTCATCCGCAAGCTAGTACAGGGCGAACCCGCCGTCTGGTCACGCTGAACAACCGTTGGGAGTCTTGGATGGATTTGCGTTAGACGCGGTAGGATGGAGTATGTATCAACTCGCCTGTCTGCTTGTGTGTTAGCAAGACAGATTGAAGGTAACGTAGTGTGGAAAGCATTTAGCTTCGTTACCTACTTGGTAGATGTTAGAGGAAAAGATGCCGGTCCAGCAGAAAACGAGGCAGTTGGAAACTGATGGAGAGGTGAGGTATCCCTGGCTGTACATCCTGGAAGGCGGGGACTGGATGCAGTGTGTTTAGATCGGTGGGGCTGAGCAGGACCCCCGCAGGACCCCCGCCGCACAGATCAGCAGGAACCTTGTGCGTCGGCCCCTGCCGCCCGCAGGGTTCAGATCAAAGGAAAACCCGACTTCGACTCGTCCCATCTTTTCCCAATGACACCAGAGATCTCGTATATGCCTCGATGGCAGCAACTGACAAAGAGCATTGGCCACACATGAACCGACACTAGGTGAGTTAAGGTAGGTAAGGCAGGCGCTTGTCCAACGTGTCTCGCTCACTAGAACCCAACGCTTTTACCGTTCTGCCATCCCGGGCGCCGGAAACATATTGGCTTCACGACGTTGGCTCGCCACCCGAACTCAGACTCAGAGGCTTTCGGCCTTTTCTGACGTCTCTTGGCAACCGTGGCTTTCGAACCAGACTTCTGGTACGAGGACGGCCATCATCTTCTTTGTCCTGCTTCTACGGCTGAGAATGACTTCTTGGCGACGATGTTGGAAGTCTACGGGCGGCTACACCAGACGCGAGACCAGGATGGCGGTATCGATGAATGGCATTGTTATCAAGCCTGTCGTTGGGATATTTTCGGAAATAAACAGCCCTTGTTACTTATCGACTATTGATTGCTTACGCAGGTGATTCTCAGCTGGGAGTCGTCGATGTAACCCCACCACATCCCGTGTCATTCGACAGTTTCTGTTACTTTGAGGCATGTCAGATAAGCTCGCTGCGATGACCCTCAGATTAGGAGCGCATGATATACGAAGAAGTGAAGGGAGGTAGCATCCAGTTCTCATTCCAAAAGCGGTTGCCAATCCGTTAAACTACCCTCACATGTCGAACCAAGTGATGGGTCTCCATGTGGAAACAGTGCCCCAGACGGATCAAAGACTTTGTAACATTGAACTTTGACAGCTTAGTAGGGTGTATAGGTTTGAGGGATGTCATGAGATCCAGCCAGCCTCAGCCGACATCTTCAGCTATATGGACGGGTTCCAGATTCGGAATGGACGCAATTGTGAACTAACAAGGCCCTTGTTAACCACGAGCTATTGTATGTCTCGTTCTCTAACGTGTAACATGGATTATCGACGCCATTGGACAATGATGACTGTTCTAGCCCCAATACCGTGGTTCGCACGCCTGTCCGATTCATGCAGTCAAGCTACTGATGGCTATGGGGAAGTCTGCATCCCAAAACTACGGCTGGTTGCCATACCAGAAGAACTTGGTCGGCAGTCTAACATAAGCCTCACAGGCATGGAATATTTGCCCAAAGGTCAGCTTGTGAAGCGGCCTCCAGTAGTAGGTATCAAACTGGCCCCAAAGACTAGACAACCTTCCAGTGTCAGCCGCGTCGGAATCTCGCGTCTTTCTGTCCTCGACGCGAGTTTTAAACTGCCTTGGTTGAAGCATGTAAGACTTGCCGCCGGCTGTTCGGCGAAGTCAAACCTTCTCCGAAGACCGTTGTGCCACGGAGCTCAAGAACGGCAACAACAATCCATGGCCATTGACCCCTGCTCCTGGGCCCCTGACCAGAAAAAATAAAGTCTTGCCAAAACGGGAAGGGAGTACGTACCTTCACCCCTGCTGAATAAACCCCACTTATGCAGGTCGTGGCACGACCCTGATTCCCCCAGAGAAGCACTGGCATTGGCTACCTACCTTATGCATGCAAGAAAACACACGACATTTAATTATGCACGCACTCTTTTCTGACCTCCTCTTGCTCCTTTCCAATCTTCCACTGCCGCTCAATATTTTGTGCCAATTTCCACATGCACAAGCATGTCATTTGGGTCATGAGCTGGACTACATGCCCGGCGCTTCCTCATCCCCTCTTCGGTCATACAGAAACAACTCCTAGCTTCAAGCCTCGTACCCCTCGGTTGGGTCGCTCCACTGCCTCTTTTCTTCCACTTGTCCAATATCAACAGCTTGAGGCGCTTGCGCTGAAGTGAAGCGGAACAACAAGATCCACTGTTCATGACAACGGCGAGGATATGCACAGAAACCTCGAGGGAAATGGGTGACGGTGCCTCGAGTAGGGCTCAAGCGCACAAAGAGAAGGGCGCTACTTGTGGCTAGCGGTCAGACTCTTTCATTGTCTATCGCCTCCTGCGTATCGCCCTCAGCCCACTTACTATGTACCCGCTTCTCCTCGACTCACACTCCATTTTCATCTCAAGCCGCTGTTCGTCCCATCCATCCACGGCATCCCAACTTGTCTTCTCCTGGACTACGGTACCCAGCGACGAAGCCAGGTACCCGTCTCCTCCAGACGGTTAGTTTTCGTACCACACGTTGCGAGCGCAACCAGCAGCCATGTAGCTCGGCTGACTATCTCGACCGGCTTCTTAGCGAGCCCCATGCGAGCGTGGCATTCCCCTAGCTCCGCTCTTGGTCGCTTTCCCAATGGACTTCTCTCTGTGCCCCTAGTCTACGATAGGGGAGATCACCTCTCCCAAGTGGGAGAGCATGGCCCGGAGTCTAGTCGAGGCTATCCGTGTCTAAGGCCTCCTCAATGGCTGTGGCCTCCCGTCATCTCAGGGCATCCGGCGCTTTGCATCGAAACAATATATACCCTCGTCGTTCCCGGACCACCAGGTGTTGTTTTCTTCGCCTCACCACCACATTCTTTACACTCCTTTGACTTGCTTCTGTGTTGGTTTTTGCCTCTTGGCACCCATTTGTCACCATGAAGACCTCACAGTCGACCTTCGCTTTTCTCACCACATTCGCTCTTGCAAACGCGGCAGCCTATCCTCCAGGCCTGTACAAGCGTGCCCTCCAGGCCCCTGCAAACACAACAAACGGATACCAATATCTCGGCTGCTTTATGTACGATGTCCCCCGAACCGAATCGATCGAGTCACCTACTAACTACATCACAGCGACGTTGGCCGAACCATTAACGATGTCGCCACTACTAGCAACCTGATGACCAACGAGTTTTGCACAAACTTCTGCTTCAACAAGGGCTTCTCTTACGCCGGATCCGAATACTACGGCGAATGCTACTGCGGCAATGCCTTGGCCAAGGGCGGTGTCATCGCCAACGAGGCCGACTGCACGACACCCTGCAACGGAAACGCGACTCAGCCCTGTGGCGGCCCGAACCGACTGACGCTGTACAAGACCGCCCTTATTATGGGTCCCTCAGTCAACCCTGGTGTTGGTGGTTGGTCTTCTATCGGATGCTACTCGTAAGGCCCCAAGCCATCCCCTCGTTGGAATGTGAAGGGTAACATCGGAACAGGGAGGGAACAACAGGCCGTACGCTTGACTATGGCGTTCACGACATCACTGGCGGTATGACCGTTGCCAAGTGCACTGCTTCCTGCCAAGCTCAAGGTTTCATCCTTGCAGGTGTTGAATACTCTGGCGAGTGCTGTAAGTAATCACTCTGTTCCTACAGATTGATACTGCTTCTAACATCTGATCTCAGACTGCGGTAACAAGCCTGTCAACGGTGGTGCTCCTGCTGTTGATGGCTGCAACATGGTTTGCAGTGGCAACTCATCCGAGTAATACTCTCACCAGCTCACATGAAACAAAGAGTTTGCTAATGAGGATCAGATTCTGTGGAGGTCCCAACCGTCTGAATGTCTACGACTTCCAGCACCAGTTCCAGCCCCTTCCTACTTCAACGTCAACCCCGGCACCTACCAGCACTCCGGTATCAAGCTCAAGGTTGGTATTCAGCGCAGTTTCATCTAGGTTATCGTCAGCTTCTGGCAGCAGCAGCCGCCGCCGCCCATCTTCCGTCTCATGGTCATCTTTTCCTTCGTCACTATTAAACACGCGGTTTTCAAGATCAGCTTCGTCAACTGCCGTCTCGCTTTCTATTTCCTCTTCGTCATCTTCACGCTCGTCTATTTCCACAGCACTAACGTCGCCTCGTAGCTCGGTCGCTTCAACAAGCAGCACCATCAGCTCCAGCAGCACCGTCGCCAGCCCCAGCAGCACTATCGCCAGCTCCAGCAGCACCGTCGCCAGCTCCAGCAGCTCCGCAGCCCCTGTCAACAACTCTGCAGTCTCCAGCACCTCTGCAACTTCCGGCACCTCCATCAGCAGCAGCAGTTCAAGCAGCAGCAGTGTGACGGCTGCTGCTGTCAGCAGCTCCAGCTCCAGCACTGTTGTCAACGCCGCAGCCTCCAGCAGCTCGTCCGCCAGCTCCGTCCTCAGCAGCAGCACCAGTTCACTTGCCAGCTCTTCAAGCAGCAGCGTCTCTTCTGCAACCCCGACCCCAACCGGTCCCAGCCAACCGGCGACTGTCGGCACATTCAAGTACTACGGCTGCCAGACTGAGATTCAGAATGGTCGCACTCTCGGCGAAAAGAGTTTCGGTGACGACGCCATGACCATTGAGAAATGCACAGCTTTCTGCGCCGGCTACACATTTGCTGGTCTCGAATGGTCCCGCGAGTGTTGGTGCGGTAACTCTTTTGCCGGTGTCTCCAACGTCGCCCCTCAGAGCGACTGTACCATGACTTGCTCGGGTAACGCCTTCCAATACTGCGGAAACGCTAACCGCCTGTCTGTTTACACCATCGGGGATGCAAAGCAGTCAGTATCGTCTTCCTCTTCCGTTAGCTCTACCGGCGGATCGGTGACGGGGGCGTCTGCATCCTCGACATCTTCCGCTGCTGCTATCGCCACCAGCTACCCAACAGGCTGGACCGATCAAGGCTGCTGGGTCGACAACGCCAACGGCCGAATTCTTCCAAACCAGGCTCCGGATGACCCGAACATGACCGTCGAATCTTGTGTCAGCTACTGCAACAGCAAGGGATTCACGGTTGCTGGTGCCGAGTATCACACTCAGTGTTTCTGCGGCAACGCCATCTACGGCGGTGGTGTTGTTGCCTCTGACCCGACCACCTGCAATACCCCCTGCGGTGGTAATCCGGCGAAGATGTGCGGTGGTGGTAACCGCATGACTATCGTTTCCAAGGGTACTCCTCAGACATTTGCACCTCCTGTTCCTCAGAAGAGTGGTCTTAACGGAACTTGGACCTACGAGGGCTGTGTGACGGACAACGTCAACAACCAGCGTACTTTCCCTACGCAAACCATCTACGCCGGTACCCTGACTGCCGGCTTGTGCCTGGACGCTTGCGCCAAGTTTGGCTACATGGCCGCTGGTCTTGAGTATGGCGAGGAGTGCTACTGTGGAGACCCCGCAAACATCGCCGCTGTCGGTGCCACTTTCGTCGATGAGTCTCGGTGCAGCATCAGCTGCGCGGGCAATGCCACCGGTATTTGCGGAGGTCTCGCGGTCATGTCCACGTACTTCTGGACTGGCGCCCCGCTCTACAACTGGACTTACGCGACCGGCAGTGCTGCAGGAAGCTACGAGCTTTTCATCGGCGGCAAGTGCGTACCTTTGATGACCATGGAGTCCATCACCGGCAAGGTCACGTTTCTTGAGAAGTTCGGAACTGGCCCACCAAACTCGACCGGTGCCTACGAACTGGATGTCTCTCTGGCCCCTGATCTGACCAAGGCCTGGAGGGAGATGCATGTCAAGACCGATGTCTTCTGCTCTGCTGGTCTCACGCTCCCTGATAAGGCTGGCCGTCAGCTCAACATCGGAGGTTGGTCTGGCGACTCCACATACGGCGTTCGTATCTACACTCCCAGCGGCTCGGCTGGTACAAACGGTACCACCGACTGGCAAGAGGATCAGTCCCTCCGGCTTCAAGATGGACGCTGGTATCCTTCCGCCATGGTTATGGCCAACGGTTCCATTTTCGTCATCGGAGGTGAAGAGGGTTCCAACGGAAGAGCCGTCCCCACGGTTGAGGTTCTGCCTAACCCTGGAAGAGCTCCCATCTACATGGACTGGCTTCAGCGTACCGACCCCAACAACCTGTATCCGTTCGTTGCCGTCCTTCCCAGCGAGAACATCTTTGTCGCCTACTGGAATGAGGCCAGAATCCTGGACAAGAACACTTTCGACACCGTAACCATGTTGCCCAACATTCCTGGCTCCGTCAACAACCCTCTGGGAGGCCGCTCCTACCCGCTCGAAGGTACTGCTGTTCTTCTGCCCCAGAAGGCCCCGTACAACGACACTCTCGGCATCCTCATCTGCGGTGGCTCCGGTACGGGCGCCGGTATTGCTTTGGACAACTGTGTCACCATCCAGCCCGAAGCCGCCGTGCCCACATGGACCGTCGAGCGCATGCCAACTCGTCGTGTCATGTCCTGCATCGCTCCCCTGCCCGATGGAACCTACCTCATCAACAATGGTGCCATGCAAGGTGTCGCCGGTTTCGGTCTGGCCACACTGCCCAACCACAACGCTCTCTTGTACGACCCCGAGAAGCCCCTTGGTTCGCGTATCACCGTCTTGGCCAACACCACCATCTCTCGTCTGTATCACTCCGAGTCCATCACCCTCCTCGACGGTCGTGTTCTCGTCAGCGGCTCCGACCCCGAAGACGGTGTCAACCCTCAAGAGTACCGTGTCGAGGTCTTCAACCCTCCCTACCTCCTCAGCGGCAAGCTTCGCCCGACCTTCACCCTCGCCATCACCGACTGGGCGTGGGGCGGCACCTACACCTTCACCCTCGGCCACCAGCCTAAGGGTATCATCAAGGCCAGCCTTCTCGGCGCTGTTTCCTCGACGCACGGCAACTCCATGGGTGCGCGCACCATCTTCCCGGCCGTCAACTGCGGCGCCCTGAGCTGCACCGTCACCGCGCCACCCCGCGCCGGTATCGCCCCTCCGGGCTGGTACCAGTTCTTCGTGATCGACGACGGCATGCCGGCCGTCGGTGTCTATGTCCGCATCGGCGGTGACCCCGCCGGTCTGGGCAACTGGCCCCAAGGCTCCATGTTCACGAGACCGGGTGTTTAAGCTTCGCTCCGTGAAATCGGATGACGGCTTCTTCTCTTCTTTCGTTAGATCCTAAGTTTGGTGATAGATACCTCTTTTTCTTTTTGATTCACAAGCGACTTATTATGATTCGCATGGAGGAGTCCCGGGCATTCTTTTGCGGGACGAGGGAGGGATTAGACACATTCGTTAGATGTCAAGACGTGTGGTCTTGTGAAAACTGTTGAGGGTAAAACACCCCCTCCCCGACACTGCCCAATCTTGGTGCACACTTTAGATAGTATATAATTATAATCTCTTACCACTTCATGCCAATAATTCCACACTGTGAATCATGGTTGGTTCGGAATGTTCCAAGGTACCTATGTCGGTTTTGCCTTGCCGGCCGACGATGTCGTGAAGGACCGAGATCCAGCCTTGCCTGCACAGCACGCCTAGGAGAAAAGCTAAGCCCCTGCGATCAATTCTATTCATACCGCTTTTTTCCACGATCCGTGGTGGGCTTAGCAGTGCGTTGAGAGACACCAACCAACCAACACACAGTTCCTAAGTACCAGCCGCCAACAGCGCAGAGGGGACTTTGGGTGTTGGAGGCTGATGCGGCGCGGCGCGGCGGATATGTTGGTTCGTTCGCATGAGAGAAACCAACACGCGCCGCAGCAGCTGTTTGGCTTCCTGGTTCTCTCGCTGGGTTCTGCGATCTCCGCCCTGAGCCTGTCCTTGCTTTGGCTAATGTTCTCCGTGGGTTGTCGGAGCAACATACTGGGCTGACATGTCTTGGATTGATTCTAAGTCTGAGATATCGCCCGTCATTATTATCGCTGTTGCCGTTTTCGCTGTTGTTGGTGTCGTTGTCACTGTCGCCGTCCTTGCTATCGTCCGGCATCTCTCCTGGTTTATTCAGAACATGAATACTCCAGTAACCGGGATAATAACAATTCGCGCGTAACGTATATCAAACCCGCACACAGCCCTGTCGCCTTCCATAGACATAGAGCAATGAATACAGATCCCTTCCCTAGGCTGCCCTTGGAGGCTCACCCGATCGCACGGAATGCGAAGTTGGACGAGGCAGTAGAGGCAGTGAGGCTACCAATTGGAGAAGACAACAGGTTTTTTGAGGCTGCCAGACACTTTGCCGTCACTGTCCATCTTATAGGAATTGTGAAAAACAGGAGTACGGTGGTCTCACCACCTACACTCTCAACTTCACTTCTTACAACTCGCTCCTTCCTCACGCAACACTACCCAATACCCTCCTTAACACAGAACTACTCACAACAACTGAACGCCTACGATCTCGTTACGATACCATTTATCTGCTACCCTATCACACATTTATTCTAACTTCTACGACTTCACACTACTTCAAGAACAAAATCATCACCAACATGGCCCCTCCTGTACCCACGGCAACCGAGACTTTCATCGCCAGTCTGACACAGACGCTGAGAAGGTCAGCCTACCGATCCGACTCCCGCTGGGTCGTGAGCTCGTACAGTGAGCTCACTGAGCACGAGCAACGCCTTGTCGACCGATGGATGATGAGGCTCTACGAGCACAACACCGGGTGCCCGTCCCCGAGGGCAACGAGGCAATCGAGCAGGCGCCGAACCTCATGTGAGACTTGGTCTTCCCTGGAAACTGGGACTCCAACTCACCAATCCCTGCACCAAAGAAGGCTCGGGAGAGAACTGCCGATGAGTCGACCGTCCTGATCGGCACGCTTCTGCGCGATGCCGAAGTATCCCGCAAGAGATCAGCCAACGGCGATGTCCGGCCAGTGGCTCAACACCGACGACAAGGCGCCCCAGTCTACCTCAAGATCAACATAAATTGGCAGCTGGAAAACATCGTGTTCATGCTGTGCGACTGCAAGGGTGCCAACTTCGGCCCTCACATCGACTTCGAAATGAGGGAAGGATACCATCTCGGTCTGGCCAAAGGCCTGTGCACTGCCAACTGGGACGCATCAGAGAGGCGTCGAATTGGCGCACAGAACACCCAACAGGTCCCGTCGTTTATTGGGCCCGGAATGCCCTCAAACTCTCCCTGAAGCAGAATCTTGGGGGTAGAGAGACGGACGAAGTCAACTTACCAGGGCAGGCAGATCTTGCAGCAATCGCCGGTCAGCCCACAACCGCCATCGACGATAACGTCGACCTGACCCAGCTCATCCGCATCCGCTTCTGCCAGGACCTCTAGCTCTAAAGGAGTTTATGTTGGGGGGGGGGGGATCCCTTCCCTCGGCTGCCCTCGCAGGCTTACCCAATCGCCCGTAATGCAAAGTTGGATGAGGCAGTAGAGGTAGTAAGGCTCTAGATTGGAGAGGATAACAGGTTTTTCGAGGCTGCTAGACATTTCGCCATCACAATCCAAATGGATCGTGACGTGCGGCCGGCGGCCTCCCGGGCAGCGGCAGGACTGGTAGTACCAGCCCGGGCCGGGAACCAGGCCCTCTTGGATAAGGATGTTGCTGGGGCCGCGCTTGCGCGAGCTTCCGTAGAGGTTCTGAAAGACCTGATGATTGATCGTGTTCTCCATAAGCAGGAGTCGCGTGTCCTCCAGCACGACTCAAAAATAAACAGGTTCTCCGACTACCTGCAGCGGACACTGGCGGCAGTCCGCCACCACGTGGTCGCGCAGGACACTCGAGGCCGACTTCGATGGCATGGAGAGACCTCTGCGAAGTTTCTCTTCATCTACGGCACCTAGGAGGGTGTAGCAGGTGCGGCGATGAGCGAGAGGACCTCCCTACAGTCGTGGTTGGACACCAGCGTGGCCTCCCGGGGACCGATGCCTAGGTAGTCAGGGAACAACGGCTTTCCTAGATCATGCGGCTGCGGCGTTCGGGGTCTTTGACGGTCAGACTCTGAAAGCAATCCTCTTCGAGTATGCCTCGCGATGTCGCCCAGTTCACGGCGGACTCGATGGCTCCGTCCGCGATTTGGCCAGTGGGAGGAGTTGCAGACAAGGATCGACGCGGACGAATCTCGTGAGGCCACGGATTGTGTCGTAAACTCTAAGTGTTATGAGATATCTTGCGGAAACAACCCGCGGCACCACGTTGGCAGCCATGAGGGCCAACAACGGAATAAATGAAGTCAACGGACAGCTTGGACTAAGGGCCCACAACACACCCGAATTTCATGAGCATAAGGTACCTTAAGCTTAATAGCTTTTGCTGACTTGTCAATACAAAACCAGATGGCTAGTCTAGGCAGCCACGAATTACAGTAGGGAGTCATTTCAAGCATCGTGAAAACGGAGATGAAAAGAGGAGAGTCCCCAGGAAATATTGGTTTTGCTACCCAGGTGAGAAACGAAACAAGCCCCCCCGGCTCACCTTACCCAAGTCGCCGGGTGCCTAACCAACACTCCGGGGGCTTAGACGGGCGACCACCCCGGCGTTGGCCCCACCTTTCTAGCGGTGCTGCGGCGCCGGGGCCACACTGCAGTGTACTGCCACTTCCTTCCTCCTCTCCCCACAGGAATTTCTGCCCTTCCTTCTCACTGCATGTTGCTAACAATAGACCTTCCCGTCCCAAGGGATTGGGTTGACGGCGCGAAAAAGACGGTCACGATGATTTGGATAAGGCTTGGTTGGATGGATCTGCGAGGCAGGGCATTATCGCCAACAGGCCGACCAGGCTGTCCAACTCAGGCCAGAGATATAAGTATGCTACGGAACCCTGATGCAGCAAGTCCTGCAGTGCGACGATTCTCTTCCGACCGGTGCCTAGCAACTCCCGACGACATCGGCACCGTACATGACTCTAATATATACCGACAATTGATCCCATTATATTCCATTCAGACTTGAAAGAGTGTAGACCGCCAAAATGAGCTCTTCTCTTTGCACACTAACAACGTGCGACCCCTCCGAAAGCCCCTACGGCTACAGACCGAGCCAGGCGCCCAGCGCCGTCTTCATCACCGTCGCCTCCGCCTGCCTCATCGCCAACGCCGCCATCGCAGCCCGCACAAAACAGGCGAAACAAAAACAAGAACACGTCGCGACCCCGTTCACGATTATCATCACGCTGGCATGCGTCCTTGAGATCGTGGGCTGGGCGGACCGGCTCGCGGGTTGGAGGGAGCCGTGGGCCGTCTACCCGTTTCTGCAGGGTAAAGCGCTGCTTACCATGGCGCCCGTGTTCGTCACATCAAGGTGGGTTTCGAATTATCTACAAATCAATACAATGATGGTTTCTGACTTGTCTCTTGTAGTATCTACGTCTGCCTCGCGCCCATGATCCGAATCCTGGGAACAGAGCACTCCATCCTCAAACCACAACTCTACTCCGCCATCCTCCTGCCCCTCGACGGCCTCGCTCTGATCCTCCAAATCGCAGGCCTGGCAGTAGGATTTAAAGATGTCCCCCTCGTCCTCACCTCCAAAGAATCCTACGCGCCCAACAACACAGGCGCAAAGATCGTAATGGCAGGCCTGGTCCTCCAACTCGCCACCCTCGTCATCGCAGGCCTCCTCCTCGCCTCCGTCCTCGTGCGCGCGGCCGTCTCCTACCGCAAATACGGCTACACGACCTTCCACCGCGACGTCGGCTACGTCCCACTGCCCCGCCGCTTCCGCATCTTCGCCACGGCCGTGCCGAGCGCCATGGTCGTGCTCTTCGGGCGCCTGTGCTTCCGGGTCGCGGAGTACGCGGAGGGGTTCCGGGGCGGGCTGGCGACGGGCGACGAGGGTTTATTTGTAGGCCTCGATGGATTGTTGGTCGCGTACGCGATCGTGGTGTTGGTGGTGTGTCACCCCGCGCTGTTCCTGAGGGACGGGAAGTTTGTGTCGAGGATCGAGGCGGAGCCGTTTGTGGGCATTGACGGGCCCGGGGGCTCGATGAGGGAGAATGAGGCTGGGTTGGAGGAGTTGAGGAAGGTTTATCAGGCGCATACGGAGGAGGAGGAGAGGTTGTCGAGGTTTGAGAGGTAGGCGTGTGATGTGGTTGATGATACCCCAAAAGTAGCGATTTGTTTTTAGTTTATACCCTCGTTGTGTTGGATCAGTTGGTTCGTACATTCGTCTTGCTTTGAGAAAAGGAGCAATATTATATCGGTTTCTTGAAGCATGAAATTCTCGCCCTCTCTTTTCATGACTTCCAATAACCTGCAGCGGCAAGTCTGGTCGGGGTATAGCTTCGGCACAGGAAAATCGTCCTCGTGTCGCCATCCACATTTTACAGAGGGTTTATAAAAGTCGTGGCCGAGTCTGCCGATTCATGAGAAGTTTCTGATGCAAACTGCCCAGTCTTCCTTTCTTGTTTGATTCAGTGTCGGTGGCCGATCGATTGCTCCACGCGGTCCAAGACGGCACGAAAAGAGACAGAGTTGTGAGTTCTTCGATCTCATGGTGCTGATACCGATTTCAAACGGATGAATGGATTTCAGAACAATTTGTAGAGTATTTCGTCCGAATACCCGGCGGGTGACACTGAGAACAGACAGCAAGATCTCGTACATGAACGTCTGTATCTACAACCGTACTTCCAAGGACGAATCGAAAGTGGCTGGGGACCAATCGCTAAGCCATATTGACATCCCGCGGTATTAATCCAACAAATTGAACCAACGAATGGATTACTCTCGTGCTTGATAACTATCACCAGCCCAATCGACCACCTACCTTTTATGCGTGGTGAGCTGTGCTGTGATCGGGGAGGCAGATGGATGGCCTGGATCCTTCTTGCGTATTGACCTCGTCTCCGCGACCTTTTACTACTGTTTCCTTGAGATTCAATCTCAGAAGAGACTCAATGAGGCAACGTCAGAATTGATAGCTAGGTTTGAAAGGTAGGATTGATAGATAATAGCAGTTTACACCAGATCTGATCGGTATATAAGCCACATGTTATTCAGGGTCTCTCTCGACTACCGATGACGTCGCCGTCTTTCCAACTCATTTGGACACTAGAATTAGAAGATGCTCGTTTCGTTCTATCAAGTTTGCGTCGGAGGTAATTGAATATTTTTCTTTGAAACCTCGTGATTGCTTTTTCATTCTTGGACTCTGGCATGTTATACGTAGCCGAATACCGAGAAAGCCGCGAAGAATGACGACGGTTTCACACGGTCATTGCTACGAGCGTTGTGGATTCAGGGTGCTGTGGGATGTGATATATTGCCCACCTCACGACAGTTGTATCGAAAGAAACATACTCGTCATTACTACAACTTTAGATGTTCGCACGTCAAGATGACCTCCACGACTTTAAATGTGTCGTGAGATGGCACAAGTCACGTACCTAGACGAGATAACTGAACAAATCACGGGCTCTTAAATGCACCCAAGCTGCACAAGATGTCTCTTGGAAGTCCAAGGCTGGCGATAACGTCAAGACATGGCCCGGGGCTGTGCCTCTGGCGAGGAGGAATACCTCTTCTGATTCCCCAAACCGATGTCGAGAATGTTGCAAATTGGGGGGTTAGAAAGTCTACGACTACTACAATGGTGATGGCACAGTTGCCGCCAGTGTCGCTCACTATCGCCAACTTATTCTGGCTCGTATACCAAGGTGAGAAACGGAACCATGGGTTGTCCTACTAAGCCATCGCGACGCAGATATCCGAGGATAGTCGCAACAGCATACCATCTTATATCTGTTGTTCTCATCACCAACCCAGTATTCAAGGACGGCCAGAAAGTGGTTTCTCGGTCTTCGAAACTGTCGGTGCTGCTTTCTTGGGGGAAACCTTTTTATCTTGATGGTCAGCTCGGACTATTCACTATTGGCATCGTGCTGCAGCCGCAGGTCAAGCTCTGAATAGCGCTAGCTGCGGAAAGAAGTGGCTCACTTCTCTCGGTCAGCCATAACAAATATCATGATCTTATGCAGTCATCGTTTTATGTTCGTGATTCAAACCGCCGAGTACGCGGCAGGCCGATTCTGGTTACTGACTTGGAAGTAGATGTCGAGAAGGACCCATTGCCGCTTTTGTTCCGATACTAATAGCACGTTAGCATTGGACTTCAAAGAAAGTTGGTGGCACAATCGATCCTTTTCTCCTCTGTCATCGATTCCTTTGCATCGGGTTCAGAGACTGAACGACCGCCTGCGATGTAAGCAACCCTCACGGAACCTGTGTTTTGAGACCGCGATTGAGTACAGCCAAGAGTTTCTGAATTCGGTGGTGGTACTTCTCACCTTTTCTGGTTTAAACGCCGCGTATTTTTGTTTAGCTTCCAATATGTAACCAGTGCACTGTGCAGAACTGATGTGTGTCTCTATGCTTACGATAAACAGTTTAACTTCGCAGAGCGAACCCACGAAGAAGCTCCAGACCTCGGAACGGGCGTCGATTACTACATGGTTTGTTATGGAAAAGAATCAAACTGAAACAGTCAATATATGTACTCACACATCATACAGAAAGCCAGAAGCTGGACCTGTGAAGTCAATGTTCAACGCGCCGTATTTGTGTCCGCAGCTTGTTGAGGAGTTACCAACGGCGTTCTTCAGTCCTAGCTAGGTATTCGCGCCCAAATAATGCTCAGTTGACGGATAGAACTCTGCGTCATGCCTCTGTCTGACTGTGTCTTGAGACCTGAAGCAATAGCCTGCAATTGAGGCTGACCTGGCACATGACCTGTCGTAGAGAGCTTTCTGTGTGCTTAGCTTAGGGCTACCAAGAAGGCAAATGTTGTCCATGGAGCCATTTGCAGGTAATTTACAGTTCATTTATATGTACTGTTGTGCAGAGTTTGATTGGGACACTTCCCCTGCGAAGTTACACACACGGCGGCGGCAGGCTGTACCAAACGAAGTCCTAACATCACAAGACAACTCCCGAATAAGAACTTTTTCCTAAATGAAGTTCTGTCGTCCCTCCCCTCCACATTCAAAAAGTCCTCACTAGATGATTCTATTTTCCCGGCTTCCGTCCAACCAAGAAGTACCTGGAAACCCTAGTCAGTAACCTCACCAACGCAACCGACCCTCAAGAAGAGGCCTCGACCGGAGCAAGTACTCACATGGGGACATAGGTATGATACGACCGATTCCTGATATCCTTGCGCACATCCGTCAGGAACACCTCGACCTCCTCCCTCGACCAGTCGAAAGCCCGCGTCAGCGGCGCCATGGCCAGGCCGTCGGCCGCCATCATGGCGTTCTCGTAGCTCCACGTGCCGATCTCCTTGAACTTGGGGTCTTTGGGCCAGTCGTTGATGGGCCACTTGTACCGGGCCAGCGTGACGTCCTCGAAGCCCACCTCGGTCATGAGGGTCTTCAGCTGGGAGGCCACGACGAAGTTGCGCCCGAACTTGGTGCCCGCCTGGGTGAGCAGGTCGGCGAAGCGGACGATCGCAGCGTCGGAGGGGAGGGAGCCGTCGTCGGAGAGGAACGACATCTCGGCTTCCTGGAGCTCGAGGTAGCCGCCGGGGGTGATGTTACTGCTGATATGTAAGTCGGAGGATACTTCGCTCGTTTCCTAGTTGAATGGGGCTCATGAAACTGTGTGTATGGAGCCCGATTTCTGGAAGTATACGGGAACTCGAATGGCTTACTCGTAACATTTGGTGAGATAGTCCTTCCAATTCGCGAGACTCGAGGTCATATGACGACTGTGGATGTAGTCGAAAGGCTGTGAGTACGTCCACTCCTCCTCTATGTCGTCAACTTGAAACTTGATGTTAGGAGCCACGCTAATAATCATTATCAGCCTCTATCACACAGAAGCTATTTTAAGCCTAAGTATGCGCAGGAAACTACGCACAAGTCTGGCTGTGTCGGGGACAGGTCGACGCCGTACACCTGAGAGGAAATATCGTGAGCCGCCCTTCCAGCACATCTTATGGACATCAACTTGGTAGTTGGCCCCACGTACCTCGGTTTCAGGATGGTCGTCGGCGTATTGGATGGCCCAGAGACCAGTTCCCGTGCCGACGTCGAGGGCTCTATCGACTTGAAAGTCGGGATCGCACGGCGGTGCAAGACCAAGCTTGCCGCCGATTGTCAACAGTGCCAAGTGGTGTTGGAGGTCTGCAGATCAGGTCAGAAAATGAGATGACCGGGTGAAGAGAACGAGAGGTGATTCGGGGCGTGTTGAGAAAGGAGTCCATACCCAGTCTGTCGTTCTCTTTTTCGTCGTTGGGGAAGTGGTACTCTGCCAATTCGGAACCGTGATCAGCAATGGGTTGAACATCACAAACTGCCAGAGCCGTGTGGCCTTACTTCCCGCCTTGTACCTGTGGTACGTCCGGCCGTTCTCATGCTGATAATCACGGATAGAGTCCGCCAAGCTGGTACTCGACGACGCAATGCTCTATAAAGTAACGCCATGAGTATACTGTACGATTCAGAGACGTGATTGAAGCAACACTCACGACCAGCTCCGACCGCTCGTCGTCCTCGATCTATAAATCACGGTCAGAATCGTCATTCATCTCAATACCGGGACCGTTTCTCAAATACCTGATCCGGGGCAATCTGAGCCTCTTGGTCGCCGGTTTCTGGACACATGACGACTTGTTCTTCTTCTTCGAAAGCGAAACGTGACGAATTTAATGACAAGACGATTCGAATCTGTGTTCTTCGCGGGAATTCAATCTAGAAACAACCATGCGGTCGCGGGCGAACATCGCTTTTTGTGACACCAAGACACCGCGGGTAGCCAACCCCTCCTTCTCGGCCAAGGGGGGAACAGCGAGGAGCGAGAGCCAAAAGAACCAACAGAAGCAAACCTGCATATGCGCGACCACGGCGAAGTTGCCTCGAGCTCCACAATAGACGACCGAGAGGCAACTTCGCGACGAATGAGAAAGACCAAGTCGCAAAACCGGGAGGCAGGTAACCGACCGGAAAAGGTGATGCAGTCCGCTCGCTTCCATTGACGTTCTCTCATTCGGTTTCAATCCCACCTAATCTGTCAGATATCATGGCCTTTTTCAGTATCCTAATCTGTCCTTCGACATGTTCCTTCCGCTCCTGCCATTGAAATGCATGCGAGTTTCCAACGAAGTGTTCTCCCCATTTATACTAGTATGATAATGCGTATGGATCCTGTCCCGGAAGAAGTGAAAGTCGTGAGGTTCGTTATTCGTAGCGCCGTCTCTATATCGGCCTGAATGACACTGGGCTAATCATCGACAATTCAATCGCCCGGGCGGGGTTTGTAGTCGTCCCGCCAATGGAGAACTCGAAGTGACGCATCGTGCATCGCTGTGCCTCAGTTCAATAGAACCGTCCCTTCAAGCCGCGATCTGCTGAGGCCCAGTCATCATCTCCGCCCCAACATCAACATCCATCTCATACGGCAGCTCAGGCACGCCGACCTCGCTCATGACCCTCGCGACAACACTCTCAAACGCGTCCCTCTCGATAATGGCCCCGAAGTGAATACAATCCACCACCCCGCAGAACTCCCTCTTGAGCGCCTCGATCACCCGGTCCTCCATCAGCGCCGCGGCGCCGTACCGTCCCGCGAGCTCGAACCACGCCTGCACGGGCGTGAGCTCGATGTCGCCCGGGTTCAGCGCCTTGGCGAGCGACAGCAGCGACTTGAGCGACAGCGCGCTGCCGGCGCCCGAGGTCGCGTCCCAGCTGTGCTGCGTCTCGGTCTCCTTGCGCCGGATGGAGCGGTAGACGCGCTCGGGCGCGCTGGACATGCACATCGTCGAGGCCATCATCGTGTGGCCGGACGCCGCCTTGCAGGGGTCGGCGTGGCGGGGGTACTGGCGCGGGTGGAAGTGGTTCCAGCAGATGTGTTCCATGCTGGGTGGGTCATGTCAGTATGCACCGGTCTGGATGTTGACGACGGGGTGAAGATGAGGAATGACTTACGCCAGGATGAGGTTGATGGCAATGATCTCTTGCTCTACCGACAGCTGATCGGGAGTAGCGGGTCGTGGCGGAGAAGACAGACTGCTCGATGTTGTCGAAGAGCTGATCTGGAAACACGGCGTGCCGAGCGTGTCGTCTTTGCGCATCGTGACGGTGATATCGCCCATGCTGACGTCCCCGAACATATCGACGGGCGGATACGGGTCGTAATCCAACGGCTGTGCCACCGAGGTCTCGTACGGGAGCATCTGCTGCTCCTCCTCGCTGAAGACCTGCGCGTCCGTCTGCCCTTGCTGCAATTGCTGATGCGGTTCCGGGATGTGTGCTTGAGGCTGCTCGTAGATCTCGACGGGCTGGTGGACGACCTCGTCGTACGAAGGCGCATCTTCCTCGGCAGACACTTCGTCGGCGATTCTGACCTCCCCAACCAGAACTTCCTTCTCCTTCCCCTTCAACTGCCCGGGAACCCTCAGGCCGCGGGCCTTGAGCGCGCCTCTCATCCCCTCGTTCTCCCGGCGGTAGGCGAGGACCTCCTTCTCAGCGGCCGCAATCATGTCTCGAAACTTGCAGACGTCGAGCTCGAGCTGCTTGATGTAGTTGGCCTTGCGGGTGCGGTGCTGGATCTGGGCTTTTCGGACCTGCTGTCGTCGAAGTTTGGCCTTCTCCTTGGCTTTATCGGCCGAGGTGGCTGAATCCGCTATTCGGTGTTAGACCGTCTCGTTTTCCACGGCGAAATCACCGAAGTCTTCTGGGCCAACTAAGTAAGAGATCGACAACTGCCAAAGGAGAGGGGGGTATATAACGTGATGTATCAAGAACCAAAGACACGACAGACCCCATTTTGAAATTACAGGAGAGAAATAGACGTGTAAGTGAAGGATTGGGTCATTTGCGAGTAGCCAGCAGCAAGTTCCGAATACAGAAAGAATGATTCCAGAAGCCGAGAAACGTCTAGACAAATGATCTTCAGGATCGGACAGCGGTGTGCGCATCGGGGTCACCGGGATGGGGCCGGGGGTGGTGGTCGCATTGGAATCAAAATCGAAAACGGCACCAGAATCCCATGCAGGGACGCACACGCGTGTGGTGGTCGTTGCGGTCCCAGCAGAAGAGATCTGAGAGGTGTGTGTGTGTGTGTGCGGCCACCATCTTTCCCGCGCCATCTCCCGGTCTAGCGGCGGGAGACGCCACCCGGTGCTGCGATGATTCCTCATCGCACGTTGCGGCGTGCTCAAGTCGCTTTGGAATCCGGGGGATTTCCGTGACAAATCAGAAAGCACTGAGACATTAGAAAAAGCAGGATCGCCCGCGACCGCCAGATAAGAGAGCCTCCACTTGGGAATCTTCCGAAACCTGGACTCCTGCGAGTTCTCGTGTGGGCAACCTCAGAGCCGCGAATGAGGACGCACGATGGAATCATGATATCCAAACGGGGTATGCTCGTCGAAAAGGATGAACGGCGGGGGTTGAAAAAAGCAGACAGAACTCACCAGATCCCTGCTGCTGCTGCTGTTGATCTGGCACCGGCGGAGGCGCCATCGGCACCATCCCCGTCGTCGACGACGATGATATATGAGGTTGCCCCTCATTCACGAACTGCAGCCGTCCCGCCATCTCAGTCTCTTTCTCGCCCTGCCAATAACCGGTGAAGGAGGGCCTGTTGAAGTCGTCGCCGATGGTGTCGGTGGTTCCCCTGTCAGAACGCTGCTGCTGCTGCTGCCCCTCCCCCGCTGAAGCCTCACCCGACAGCCGCAGCTGATGATCCGCCATATCCGCTCACCGTGATGAGGAATCAAACGTGCCGAAAATGGTTCGAAGAGGAGCCAAGAAAAAAAAAGGACGACGGTAAGACGGTCCAATCGACTGGTCCGACCAACCAAACGTCACGGGAAAAAATAACGAATGAAGTTAAGAAGTTCGTCCAAACGTCTAGACACCTTCTTGTCTCTCCGAACTCAGTCGCTGCACAAGACAATCGTCAACCCACGCGGTGAGGGGAAAAAAAGGGTGCCGTGGTGAACTGGGGAATTGGCAAGACTTAAGTGATGGGCGATTCCAAATTCCCATAGGATGTTCGGCCACCAAGGATCCTAGGTCTAGGGGAAAGCCGCTAGCCGATTGAGAGAAACAGGCCCCTCCAAATGCACCCTCAGGTAACTAAACCCCCAGGATGCGTCGGCGCTTGACAGATATCAGGGTCCGGTCGGGGGGGCTGAGTTGTGCCTCTACTCAGCAGAATGGATCATTACGCGCTGGCTGTTAAAAGGGCGGAGAGAAAAACAGCGCGCTTATCCAATTGTAGAGACAAGAGGCGCTGGAGAGCTGATCGCACGTGCTTGGCGCTTGAAGCTGCAGAGGGCGTGTTACCTCAGCTGCGCACTCTGAAAGATTTGTGTTTGATAAACGGACAAATCTCCCTTTTCAGCCCCAAAGGACCGTGTCAACGACGATTTGTCAAATAGGTATGAATCGAACTCATTCGTACACTCATTGGTAATCCGCTGCTGAGCAAGGGATCGGAGGGATGTCGATTGAATTGAAATTATGATCGAATTGACTGTTCATTTCTTCAGATACGAGATGGCTCTCGCGGACCGACTGCTACTCTGTCTCTCCTCGGGTCTCCTCCGAGGGTGGTGAAATTGTCATCAACATCTCCCTTCATCTTTTTCGTCGAGCTGCAAGACCTGAACACGCCCAACGCCTTGCGGAAATGATATATCCTCCATGCCAAATTGGCCTCCGAATCGCTTTTTAGTTTGCCGCCCAACGCCTTAATGATGCAGTTTTCCGGTGTTCTTGTGACACTTCAATCGTCGTCCTCGTCTTCACTTGCCGTAGCAGTATCCTCATCGATGTCCGTCTCTGGAATATGATCCTCCTCCTCGTCGCTGTCGTCTTCTGCCGTCGCGTTGAGACCCACGGTAGCCTCGTACTGAACGTAATCTGACTGAATCCATCTCTTGCTCACCGGCAGCGAGTACGGATCGAAAGGGAAGTAAGGGTCGAGCTGGTACGCGTCCTCGTCTTGGGCCCCGGCGCCCGTATCTCTGAGAGCGCCTCCCGTGCCGTACGTGTCTGACACAAATTGTGACAGTCTGATGCGCTTGTTGTCCTCGACGCGAGGGAAGATGTACATTAAGTTGAGCTTGTGCGCCAAGGTTGCGAATTCTTCGACGATCGCTGGCGCGCAGATCTTCAGCGGGTTCATCTTGCAGTAGACGCTCGCAGACAATTCTTCCCTCATCCCTTGCATCCACTCTAGCTCGTGACCCAGATACGATGCAGGGTCATCTCGGTCGACGTACTCAGGCACGTCCACGATGAGGTCGCGCCAACGGAAGCAGAACATGTACAGAGCGGCTTGAACTTGCGCATAGTAAATCTGATGCCGTCTCAAGTCGGGTCCCCTCGCGTCCGGGTCGTGCTTTAGACGGTAAATCTGCATCTGCTTGAGCAGCAGGTGAAATACTGTGCGGACCAGATCGGACGGGACATGGGCGCCTCTGGCCATGAAGCCAGCCAGATACGTAGCTGCCGCCTGTCGTACAAAGCTTGGGCGATTCTGAGAACTGAAGATGTGCAGCAAACTGCCGACGAAGGTATCGCGCAGACGAGCAGACATCTGACCAAAGTGGAAGAGGAGGAATTGTGTGTGGCGACATTTGTGCGTCGGCAGGACAATCTTTCCGAATGATTGTACGAGCAGGGCATATAGGTCGTATGCTTCATCCGAGTCGGGATTCTCGAACAGGGGCGTGTAGTGGTCGAAGAGGGTATCGAGAATGGCGTCCAGCTTCTCGACGTTGCCCTTTGCGACGCGAACCCTTTCCTCGTGATCGTCAAAGTCCGAATCGTCACTGTCAACAGACTCATCGTCGCTGTCGTCTTCCTCAGCCTCTTCGTCACCCTCCCAGGACCCGGTGTTGAAATCCTTTCCTAGCGCGGAGACGACCGATTTCGAGATTTTGTCGTCGGGGTCCTCGAGGTCCGTCGTCATCTGAACGTCGATCTTCACCAGACGTGACAGGATCACATCCACAATGTCGAGATCCAGGTCCTTGGCGTAGTCTGAAAGCTTCAGGAGGTTGTTGACATAGGCAACGAACATTCTCTTCGGGTCGTCATCGAAGGGGAACTTGCTGTCGAGAAGGCTGCGGAGGACGGGAGTGGCGGCCGGGAACATTTGGAGCAGGTACTGAAGACCAGTGTGCAGACGCTCGCGCATCGTGGAACGAGTGACAGGAGCGAAGTCGGCAACGCTCCATTCGGATTGCCTGGAGTGGCCGAACTTCTCGACAATCATGGACAGCACATGCGTCAGGTAGGAACCCTGGGCGCTAATCAGGGCGGCGAGGAACTGGATGTAGACCTTGAAAAAGTCCTCATCGCGCCCAAGCCACGAGACTTGGAGGACAGTCCGCACCAGTCCGTTGCAGGCCTTGTTCTTCAACAACGGAACGCAGCTAGTGAGAGCCAGAACGTAGCCCTTTAGCTCCTGGGGTTTGAGGGTATCTTCGTCCTCCCCCACCACAGGAGGCAGGTATCGCTGCTTATCGTTGGCGAAAATCTCCTTCAGATTATCGTACCCCTCGTCCTCGCCCATGAGATGCTCCTCCAGAGCCTTCCGTACTTCTGCGTTGACTTCGTCCATCGACCTGCTGCCGAACTCGAAAACACTATTGTTCATTTCGTTGATGCAGACCTTCCGGCGCTTAGTCGGGCTTGATGGTGGATCAGAGGCAATAGAATCGAGCCCCGCGTCGTCAGCTTTCCTGCGACCCAAAATAGATGGACGCAAAATGCTCTTGATGGGAGTCGCCGTTCTCGGTGGCGGGCCAGACCGATGTCTGGAGATGGGCGTGAAAGGTCGCATGAGGATGGTCGTGTGCGGTGGTCAAGGCTGTTTTCTAGGCGCTTGGGGATGCTCACAGGGCGGCGGGGCGTCGGGCTTTCGTGAAAGACTTGAGAATGTATGGCTCAAAGATATGCAGAAAGATGCCATGCATATCTATGTTCTGGGAACCGACTTGGTCGAGTGTATTGTCTTCGAGAGGTCGTTGGATTGAAGTGGCGGCCGACCGATTGTTCCTTCGGCGGTTTGTTGCCTGGAAGGTTTGACGGCAAGAGCCCGGTACTCTTTTTTTTTTTTCCACTTCAGTCTGCTCAGCCTGCAATCCACCTTCTGGGGAAAATTTTGAGACTGGAGGGGCCGGGCACGTGCCGCACTCAAGACCCCTGGAGCGATGCTGGACCGTGCGTAATTGGTCACAACGCTCTACTGAATTCTAAGTGGTGGGCAGGAGACTGGGGAAATGTTATGATGAAATGTTTTCTCATTGGATATCAGGTCCAAAATGATATGGCAAATCGCCTTACATGATCAGCTCGGTGTAAGTAGGACTTTGGTACATCATAAAGACTCGCAGCACTGTTATCAGCTGGCGAAACTCCTTGTGGTCGAGAAATGGAGAAGACAATGGTAGGCAACTGAACTGGAATTAAGAAGCTATCTAAGAGTGCTGTAGCTGACTTTGCCACGGAAATACGGCCCGGGTCCGTTCCGATAGCTTTGATGCTTGCTGAACTGCTCTCTGCCGATGTCGCGAGACCGCTTGGGCCGAGACATGGCTGACTGAATCGCAACGCGAAAAGGGGGAATCTATCAACACTCATAGTCAAAGGAAAAGAAAACCCCTTCCAGTCCACTTTTGGGTAAACCCATCTGCTCCCCGATCCTAGCATGACTCCTGGGGCCCTTCATATACACCTGTTTGCCCCGTCCCGTCCTGTCCACGGGAGAATACATCTCCCAGCCCAGTACTTATACACACTTGAAGGTATGTCCACACATCGTTGTTGGTCAAAGCTGGGCATCTTTAAGCCGCGACCTGTACATATATGTCAAGAGGAAAAGACGCCTCAATCTCGTCCAAAACACGCGTTGGGTGAGCCGAAGCTTAGTAGCCGTCGGCGCCACCGGTGCCATTATGACCGGTCTGCGCGCCGTACATATAGTTCTGGTCGGCACTGCCGTCTTGCTGAGCTCCGAGGACATTGTTCTGGGGCTCGGCCTGGAAGCTTCCGGCTCCAGTCGGCGGGTTGGCGCCGTATCCACTGCTGCCGGGGCGGTGGGAGCTCTCTCCTCTGTTAGACTGGGATTGCTGCTGATTCCGTTAGCTTTCTACCAACCACGAACTGTGACTATGCAGCGCTGTGACTGAGTCGGACTGAGGGTATACGTACTTCACGGTACTTGGAGAGATAGATCTTCAGCGCCTCAGCGTAGTTCTCGAACCCGAGAGATGTCATGGCGAATAAGATGTCTTCGCCGTTGACCGTCTTTCGCTTCTCTTGGTGGCATTTCTCCGAAGCTTGTGATAGGTTAGGTTTCTCTTCTGTCAAGACACTCCAGCCCCGGGGAAATAATAATGGAGAAGACAAGCATACCTTCGCTGGTGATGAATGAGATGAACTCGCTGACGCACTCTTGCATGCATTCCTTGGCTTCTTTCGCAATCTTCGCGTTCTCAGGGAGAGCATTCTTCATGATGCGGGCGACTGGAGCAAAGTTTCTTATGTTAGCGTCAAGCTCGTCATATTTTTCGCCGCTAGAAGCCCCGGCCGCTTCTGGCGACTTCGGTGAAGAGTCGTCAGACATGACAACTCGAGAGGACGTAACGACGGCTCGTCTCGTCGCCTCAACCACGAACAACCACGAGAACCCAACGAAGGCGATTTCGAACAATCAGACCAATCCGGTTGACAGAAGACGCTCACAAAGGTAGCTGGCGCGCGCGAACCAGGAATCCAAACATCGTCGTCGTCGTCGGTGAGAAAGGGGAATATGGCTTACCATTGGCTATGGGCAACCATCTGTCCTGCTCTTTGACTTCGAACTCGGCATAGCCCAGGCCACCGGACTGTGGGTCTTGAGCTTCGTTCATTTGTTCCTCTTCCGGTGATTGTACACCTTGCTCGACATCCTTGGTAGGAGATTGGGGGGAGTCCGACATATTTGGCTACCTGCAGCGGCTGCTGGCTTCTTGTAATTTGCTTGGGTTCTTGCAGCACGCACACACGGGCTTGGAATGATGTGTTCCCTGACACGTTGCAGGTCCGTAGGGCTTGCAAGTATCGCGGCTTAGCTGCAGAAGCGTGCGTCAATCCTGCCCTGGACCCCTCGGCTTGTCCTTGGGATGGATTATTTTTACTCGCGATCCCCTGGCAGGCCCTGTCTTGACTTCAGGCTATGACGGACTGTCCTGGGGTTGGCCTGTCTGCTGCCTTGTCTGGGCAGACTTGGGAACAGAGACTGGGAAAAAAGCGGGAAGGGTGGCTGCGTCTGCGGGTCCCACAGGAGTGGCCGTCCTATCGAGTCCTGATGAGGGTAGCGTTGATGCTTCGTGATCGCCCTGCTGCAGCTGTGGGTATACGCGCTCCTCCGGGTTGGTGCTCGAAACTCGGCGCGCGCGCGGGTTGAGCTGTTGGGTTCGAGAGTAGAAGGCACGGGTTCGCGAGTCGCAAACGGGGGGTGAGATCAGGTCGAATCAGTGAGCTTGAGGCGAAGGAGGTACTTTGTTGCCGGTAGGCGGAGGTGCGGAGTGCTGCGTCGAAGAGGCGCGTGGGCAGCCGGGCTGGTACCAGTATCAGTATGGATGCGTACGGTCGTCGTGACTTGAGCGGAGCTTTGGGCGCGCAAGAATCGACCCGTGGTTACACACCGAAGTATCGCACGGGAAGGCCGTTGTAGCGGATTCGAGAGGTAACAGCTGCAAAAGCGCGTCAGAGAAAGCTTCGCTTGACCCGAAAGGGACAGACAACGACGGGACCAGAACTGCGACGGCGACTGGTGGGAGAGGGCAAGCAGAGAGGCCAACGGCGCGTTTCTGGCGTATGGACGGGGCAAGATGAAGAGGGGGGCCCAGCTCAAGTGCCGTTCGACAGGGTCTGATGGTATTGTTCCTTACAAGATTCGGGGTGTCTGAGTTGTTCGATCGAGGTCGCAATAGAGCCTAACGATGCGCCTGGTTCTGGCGGATGCACCTGTACGTGTTGATGGCTGCAAGAACGTGGGGTTGGTGCAGAAGGGAGAAGTGGAAGGAAGTGGGCAAGAAAGGTGCGGTCAACAAGACCAGCGCATTAAACACAATAACAAGGTCCAAGTCCCTCAAAGTCGCGAAGCCCATCACCCATTTGATCCACAACGTGGGCGATACCTGGAAATTGCCGGCGTGACCATCAAAATTCAAAGTACCTGTCAGCGCGAGGGGCACACCCTGGGATTAGCGCGGTACCTCCAACCCCCCATCATCCGATCCTCCTTCCTAACAGACGCGGCTGAGATGCGCTGCGAGACTTGCGACTGCTTTCGCATTCTCCATTCTCGCTCGCTCGGATGTCCTTCGGCCGTCAGTTCGGGGGTCTGACGACATATTTTCATCCTGGAACAGATCAAGCAAAGAAAAACCATCAACAATTAGCAGTTTGACGACACGCTACGGAGACTCGAAGTCTCCACCATAAGATCAACGACTACGATCCTCCCGACGTTCCCATCCACCAAAGTTTAATGTGTCATTCCATGCCGTTCAAGCTGTATCAACACGGACTTCTTCTGTCCTTGCCCATGCTCCGGCATATAAGCGGTGTAGGCCACACGAAGACACTAAGCTCGGAGGAGGGTAGCAAACACAACTGCCTTGCCTTACACCGGCTGGCGGACGCCAAGAAGGACATGCGAGGTGGTACAACGGACGAGACCGGGACGGCAAGGTACGGTACTGTTTCCTGCGTGCTTGCTGACAGAGGAAACCACGCAGTGGCAGTCATCGCGATGTGCTTAGCCGTCACCCGCGACGGGCGTCATCAACGCAGCGAAGCGATGCGGGCTTCGTCGCAAAGAGAAGCAAGCCCGTTGTCGTTGCTCGTCGGCGGTTTGATCTTCTAACAGATTGGGTCGTCCGTCACAGGATCAACAAGGAGGGCGACGGCGCAGATTGATTTGACAATGGCCGTCTGGAGTAAACAAGCCGTTTAGCCTGTCAGCTGTCTTGATCGAGTCCGCGCCCCCGACCTAACCGTCTCGGTCAGGCACGAGAAGGCTGACAGCAGCCTAAGGAGCGCCCCGGGTGACGATGGATGACCGTTTAGGCCGAAACATGCACCTTGGTTGGTGGCCGCCGTTGTCACTCCGTGACTGCTCGAAGCAATGACTTCCCGCCCCCAGTCTACGACTAGAGCTTAGGACGGGAGCTTGGGAGCTTGGGCACAAGGCTGCGTGACACCAGCTTCGAGCTTCCTGGGCCAATGAAAAAAAGTCTTGACGGCTGTTCGTCTTCTTGATTCGTTCAAAATCCGCCAGGTACGTCACAAGCCTTTATTATGGCTGTTTGTGCCAACGAGGACACGGAGAAATTCTTCCAATGCCCGTGAGGAAGCGCCGGTCACCTATCGGCGGCCCACCGCCTTACGTCTGACCCTGCATGCAGTAATGAACAGACAACCCGCTCACCCCAACTTCAGCCAGTGCTGTAAGTCCGGTTGGGCTCTTTTGTTCAGTCGGGAGCCAATAGCCCTATTGTTGGGTTGGGCTTGGATTGGACGACTTTTACGGTATTTTGCGTCGACTTTCTACATCCAAAAAGACCACCATATCCGATGCGCCGACTTCTTCTTTCGTTTTCCACTACCCTGGCCCGGATGATGCAGTTCCCACCCCTCCAACATCTTTCCTGCGAGAGGGGTACAGTGGCCGGGCTTCTCTCGTAGCTGCGGCGGGTGAATTCGATCCTGTCACTGTCGACCGTAATGGTTGCATGAGCTGGCTGCGCTTCTCTCATCCTGGAGACATTGACAACTCAGAGCCACATCTTCACAAACCCTAGTCGTCTACCAGTTCGCCGAGAGGCACCGGTGTGCCTCGCCCTGCCTATCCTCAAACGGCGTCAAGCAGCGAACACCCGACATCATCGTCATGAGATGCGAGAGGATGGAACAGTTCCCATTGCTTCTCGGAACATCTCGCTAGGTGTGATCTCCATTCCATATCAAAGACCATGCTGCGCGACATGCAGACATGATCTTGCCTGCCGGATGACAGCCAGCCTCTATTCGGCTGTCCCGCGACTTGGGCCAAATTAGGCATCGCATAATGCATCAATTCGCTCACCAGCGCGAACCTCATTCTGTGTGCTGGACACGTCTCGTCAACGGCATCGGGGGAGTCGGCGGGGTGGAAACAGTCCACGGGATGCCTCCCACACTTTGCTCCATTCCAGATGTCGCATGCTGCATGTTGGGCACCAGTCAAGAGGACTCAGCCGCGGCTTCCAGAAAACGCACGATATCACATCTAAGGGAACCTAGGGCAATGTCAGTCGATCGTCGCAGATATCACGTTTCATCCTCGGCAGACGCGAATCGGATGCCTCCGCTTTGCCGGTGACCAAGCATCTTACGTATCGGAGGGCAAAGGCTCGGTCGGCCGGGTGGCCCGGTCCGTCGCTTCCCCACTCCCCCGGTGGTATAATCATAGCATCTATTCGCGAGCAGAGAGTCCGGTCTCACGTGGCTGGCGGACGCGAGCATCTTGCCGTGCAGGCTAAACAGCGCTGGACAAATTGCCGTTCCAGGAGTTGTCAGCACACCCCCGTCCTCCCAGGCCGCATTGCCAGCAGCCAGTCAGCACGCCTCGTCAATCGGATCATTGTCAGCCAGCCATACCAACCACACTGGTGCCATCACCTTTAAGTGTGTGGTGTGTTCGTCTGACGACTTTGAGGTGACGATTTCGTTGGGCACTGAAACGCTCTTGCCGCCGGGCTGTATTTGTTGCGTATGCGTGCCTAGAGCGCTGTACAACGCATCACTACCACTACACCATCAACACGGCCTCCATCGCGATGACTTCTTTTGAGTATCATCATACTTGCACCGCAACCTCGCTGCTGCTGAGTGCGTGTGATGCAGCCTCGCTTTTCTTCCTCTGCATGGACTTCAAGAAACCTGACGTCTCATGATTCCCGTGGCATGCAGAGACGTGTCATTATCCGTAGCCCGGATACGACAATAGAGACATAGTCTCCGGCCCGAGAAGCCCCGGGCCCAGTCTCCTTCCGGCGGCTGGGCGGCGGTCATCAGACATACGAGATATGGTCCCGAGCCACATCGATCCACCAAAGCCCTTCAAACGATGAGACTTTACCCTTTAGTTCTGAACAACCTGGACATTGTTCTTCTTCTGTAAATCCCAACGTGTTAGCAGTCGCCCCTCAATGACGTTATCCTGTGGGCTCCGGTTCACAAACCTTCCACTTCTCCAGCTCGTCCTGCTTGGTCTTGTACTGCTTCACCAGATCCTCCAGAACCTTCTTCAGACCCTCCGAGTTCGTCGTCAGCGCCGGCATGACGTCCTTGACCGTCTGCTCCATCAGCACCCCGTTGATCAAACGAAAGCACTTGCGGTCTGCGGACAAGGGCTGCAACGTCTCCAGCACGAGCCTGCTCTCAGTCATAAGTCAGTCATATCTTTCCGGGTTTTATCGAGAAAAATGAGCGGTGTGAAGACGCAAAGTGTATCCTCGTGGGAGTTCTTGAAGAGCGGTGAGTCGAAACCGGGAGCAGGCTTCCAAGAGAGTTCATGCCCCTGGGTGGCGTGGTTCGGCGCTCTGCCCCGCGAAACCCGTCGAAGAGAACACCGTCATAACCCCGTCAGGCGATGAGACGGGGAGGAAACTTTTGAGAGAACGTGAGAAAAACAACGCACTTGTGCTCCTCGGCTTCCTGCTCTACGTCGCCGATTTTCTGCGCAATTTGCTGCAGCGTGTTCTTATAAATGCCATATTGGTTTTGCAGATCTGGAAATAGGTTAGCATTGAATTTGGCGGGGTTTTTCTTTTGGTCTGTTTGCCGAAGGGGAGGGGGGGTCCAACTCACCTTGCTGCTTACGCTGGCTCGCCGCTGGCGCCGACATCTTGACTTCCAAACCGATTCGTGAGACGGTCGATGTGTGTGTATCGAGTGAGGGTGCTGAGGTTGTCGTGAGATGAAAGCAAACAGACCAGGGCAATGAGATATGAGATTGAGTGAGAGCCTGACTGGGGACCAGTGACCGACCCAAACTGCGATGGAAGTTCTAGAAGGCAGTGGTCCGAGCGTCTTTTTTGCCCGCGCCCTCACCCCTGCTGAACCCATTAACCAAAGCCCGGGCGCAGAGCACGCTCCCCACTGTCGGTGGTCTCATCCAATCCCTCGCCGTCCATTTCGTCTTCTGCATTGAATCGCCGGAATCTTTTTCTCTGAGCCTCTGGCAGAACAACACGAACGCCCGAACGAAATCCGTCTCTCTGCACTTTGTATTTTCACTTCGTTTCTATTTCTAAAAAGACATCTGCCCGCCATGCATCCCCATCTCCACACCAAGGACAACTTCGGTCAGTGACCTATCCCACTCAACCCCACGCCACCTCGCCGAGACAAGGAAGACAGACAGACCGCAGCGGGCTCCGCTAACATGTGACGGACAGAGTGCGAGGAGGTCATGGTCGCCCTCGAGGAGTGCCACGCCAAGGGGTTCCTGCACAAGTCCATGGGCGGCTGCAACGACGCCAAGGTGAAGCTCACCGAGTGCCTCAAGGGCGCGCGCGCGAGGCGGACCGAGGCCAACCGCGCGGCGGCGAGGGCCAAGAGGGAGGAGCGCGAGAACAGGATAAAGGAGCTGAACAAGTCTCTCGGTCTTGACTGAGGGCTTTGCGAAACGAGCGAGCGGACGACGACGGCTTCCCGAGACGGCATCGACGATGGGGTGGCGAGGAGGCGCGATTGTATGATACGACGACGAAAAAATCACAGCTTAATTCGGATTCGGCGGACGAACGGATACATTGGTGTACCGAAGAGATATTGGGGGCCGGGGATCAAAAGTTCTTGTAAGGGAACATTGTACAATACGATATCAGGACCCGGCACGTCCGGACAGGAACTGGAAGGAAACATTATTTTTCTTCTGTGGTTCTACAACTACTCCGCCGCGTCCCGATCTCGCGTGCGAACATTCTATTCCAACCATCGGTCCTCCCCTCAAAGACTGCGACTGAACTCCTTGCCGAACGTAAACAGACCGAACACGGACAGCACGCTGAGAAGAATAGGGACGGGCTTGCGGAGGCGGATGGCGCGGGGGATGGCGGAGCCGCCGAGGACCGCGGAGGCGAGGAGGCTCAGCTCGACGCCGTAGGGCTCGTTGTTCTGGATGCGGTAGCCGCCGAGGCCGTCTGTTGCGGTCAGTCTGGATGTTCAATTGGGAAGGGCGAATTGTCGAGACGACGAGAGGGATGGAGATAATCGTACAGAGGAGACCGACTGCGCATCCGGCGACGATGGACGGGACGGAGCGCGTCCTGGCGTACCCGGCGATGCCGCCGCCGGCCGTCAAGACGGCGAGGGCGTAGGAGGGGATCTGGAGGTCCTGAGATGATGCCTGCGCATTGTCAGCGCCTCAATGCTTCTTCTGCTTCGATTCCTGTAGAACGCTGCCGCACCATGTTATCTGATATCGTATGTGATTTAGCAAAGATTTGAAGTAATGGTAGAAACGCAATTGGTTATATATCGAAATGCAGGTTCGCGGTACAGAAGATGGGGGAAACTTCCGACATGGCTCGGTGCCTCGGGAGTCCAAGCTTTCGGTCTCCCACCCACCAAAAGGGGACAAGCCGGGAGGGATGATCTCATACATCGTGCTCGAACCTGACTAATCAGAGCACGTCCTCCAATCCAGGGACCACATGCTACCCCGGATTCGTGGCTTGACCCCTTGCAAGAATTCGAGCTCACCAGCCACAATCACCTGATAACGTGGCTTCAAGCTGTCGTGTCCTCCAACACCTAGCTCCAAGCTCCCAGTGCCAATTCCAATCGCATCGCCAGCGCCGTCGTCGTAACGCTCGACCAAAAAAAGTTCCACCCCCCAATCCGAACCACCACGACAAAATCACCCTCCCACGAACCCTCCCACACGATCTCCTACAAACGAAGGAACGAATACCAAAAAAATGGCGCCCAAGAAGAACGCCCAAAAGGCCAACGCCGCCGCCGCCGCCGCCGAAGCACCGCCTGCTCCCCCCTTGTCGCCCGCTGGCCCGACCGCCGCCGCCGCGATCCCGGGCACCATGACCTCGCAGCCCAAGGCCGTCCCCGTCGGCAAGATCGCGGGCGGCGCCCAGAACTGGGACCGGGTCCTGGCCAACATCTACAACCACTACGTCAACAGCACCCCGCAGCGCACCAAGCTCATCGACGTCTTCATGGTCTTCCTCGTCGCCGTCGGCGCGCTGCAGTTCCTCTACTGCATCCTCGCCGGCAACTACGTATGTTGGACCTTTTCTCTTTTTCTGCGTATCTCTGGACCTAGAGTGGACATTCAGGAGGAGGCATTGGCCTAATTGTCGCTTTGGGGGTTCCTTGGAAGCTTCGTGCGGGATTGGCTCGTGAGATTGGCTCGTGAGATTGGCTTTGCTAACACAAATACAAATAGCCATTCAACGCTTTCCTCTCCGGCTTCTCCGCTACTGTTGGACAATTCGTCCTTACTGGTACGTCAAACCGCTTCCATCGCAAAGAGCCAATGCCTAACATACCTCCCAGCATCTCTCCGAATCCAGACCACCGAAGCCAACAAGGCCGACTTCCCCTCCGTATCACCCGAGCGGTATGGCCACCTAGCCCCTATACATCTTCCAGAGTACGCACTAACATGATCTCTAGAGCATTTGCCGACTATGTCGCGTGCAGCTTGATCCTCCACTTCTTCTGCGTCAACTTCATAAACTAAGGCCCCCATGCAACTGGGTTATACCACAAATACCACAAAATAGGGGTTGGACAAGCGGAGAGGAGCGTGTGGACGATAGAGAGAACAAGGCAGGCCGTCAAAGCCTCGCCAAGGCATGAGGATGGGCATGCACAAACGAACAAACCAAAGCTGTACATTACAGAAAGCAGGCGTTGCATCACGGCATTGTAGACCTCAAAGAGCAAAAAAGAAATGCAATTCTGGGAATCATCATGGCAAATCAGAAAGTCTAGTCTATAAACACCCCCCTGAGTCCTTCCTCAACTCACTCGCCGCCCTCCTCGGCCGTCTCTTTCGGCGGCGACGTCGTCCCGGCCCGAGGCGGCGGCGGCGGTCCCCCCGTCTTCGGAGGCGGCGCGACCGGCGTGCCCCTTCCCCCGCTAGACCCCCCGTCCAGCTCCTTGCTCTTCTTCTCCTGCTCCTTGAAGTAATCGTCCAGCTGGGCGCCGCCGTGGTGATGCCTCTCCTTCTTCTTCCGCGTCGTAGCCGTACCAGCGGGCGGCGGCGGCGGCGCACCACCCGCGTCCACCATCTGCGCGGGAACCAAGAAGTCGCCGCCCGTCGGGGGCAGCGGCGAGCCAGCTCCTCCTCCAATGTCGGCAGCGGGCACAAACGGCGCGTCCGCCGCGGGGAACTCGTACGATCCGGCGGGACCACCCTTCTCCCCGTCAAACATCATCTCCCCGGGCGCCGAGACGGGCTCGTTCAGCGGGGGCGGCAGCCGGTGCAGGGCGCCGTAGCCCAGCACGCACCCCAGCGCGCCCTCGCCGCCCCACTCGCGGCTCGGCTGGATCGTGACCTCGCGCGTGACGTCGTACTCATTGTTGTACACGTAGAGCCGTAGCGGCCTGCCGATGTGGTCCTCGACGAGCTCGCTCAGGCCGCCCTCGCCGTGCAGCGCGCCCTCGGGGCTGCCGAGGATGTAGTCGCCGTAGGGGAGCAGGCCCGCGGCGTCGGCGGGGGAGTTGGCGGCAACGTCGAGGACGTGCCAGATGTTGGCGGCGACGGCGAGCGGGGTGAACTGCAGCGAGAGGCCGAGGGAGGCGGTGTCGCGGGGCACGGGGGCGTGGAGTTCGCGGGTGCGCTGGCCCTTTGCGCTCCAGAGGCCGAGGAGGACGGAGCCGCCGGCGCAGTTGCGGACTTCCTGGGCGAAGAGGCTCGGGTCGGGGTTGTCCTGTTTGGGGGTTTTCGTGTTAGTGCTTGGTCTGTAAAGGGAGGTTTTGGGTGTGGAGTTGGGACCGAACGTACGATGGGTCGGCCATTAATACCGATGATGAAGTCGAACCAGGGTTCCACGTTGAGCTCCAGGTTCGTGTTCCTGAGGACCTGGAATCCGAAGGAGCCCTCGCGGTTGTTCTGTTGCGTGGGTTGCTGCCCGTCTAGGCGGGACATGAAGCGGTTTAGCGCATTGAACATGGTGTCGCGCTCAGCAAACTCGCTGAGATCTTTCCTATCTTTATTGAATCGCCGTGCTGTTTCGTAGACTTTCGTGGTTCGTATCGTGCGTGAAGGTCGCAGGTTGGATGTGTGAGGCTCCTTCGTCTTGTGTTCCCTTGGAGCAAGCTGTCATCCAAAGGGTACCTGAGCCAATCGTCAGCCTTGCAGGGGGTCCAAGCTCTTCCCGCTTTAATGGGGCGCATAATAGTGGAGCATCAAATGAGCTTTGCCAGCCTCGTTCATCTCATTTTCGACATTGGCCTCGAAGTCCCATCATCCCAGAAACCCAATATGTGATTTGGCCTCAGTAGCCGAGACTTGATTCTGCAGGTCTCTTTTTTTTTTTCAAGAATTATTTCTTCTGTCGACACTTAGTCTGGTAAACCAGCGCTTAATGCATCACCTCCAAAATGAAAGCAGCTCCCAGACTCCCCCTAACGGATGAGTGCCATCACTACGAGTCCAAGGCCGAGGTGCCATGGGACCTCCAAAAGTACGCATCCCCTCCCCCTTCCCCATCAATCCTCTCCCGCCGCACTTATACTGACTTCCCCTCCAGATACTTCTCCCAACGCCGCTCCATCTTCTCCTGGTACGACCACGGCGTCCACCTGACCGACGCGGCCTGGTACGGCGTGACCCCGGAGCCCGTCGCGAACCAGGTGGCCACCGACATGTCCTACACGGACCCGGCGAAGCGCTTCCTGATCGACATCTTCGGCGGCGCCGGCGGCAACACCATCGCCTTCGCCGCCTCGGGCCGCTGGGACCGCGTCGTCTCCGTCGAGCGCGACGCCGCCACCCTCGCCTGCGCCCAGCACAACGCCGAGCTCTACGAGGTCGGAGAGTACGTCACCTGGGTCCACGGCGACTGCTTCGAGTACCTCGACAAGGTCAAGAACGCGCCCCACGAGCTGGCCGAGGAGCTGCGCGTCCCGCTCGACGAGACCGTCATCTTCGCGTCGCCGCCGTGGGGCGGGCCGGGGTATCGCGACGCGCAGGTTTTCGACCTGAGCAAGATGGAGCCGTATAACCTGCGGCAGCTGCACGAGGCGTGCCTGCCGATGGACCACGCGCTCTTCCTGCCGCGGACGAGCGACCTCAGACAGATTGCCAAGTTGGCTCCCGAAGGGGAGAGGATCGAGGTGGTACAATATTGCATGGAGGGCGCGAGCAAGGCGATGGTGGCGTTCATGCCGGGCACACTGGGTCCGACAGAATCAACGTGAAGAGAAAATGGATTCGTTCCGGCTACGGCTCTTTCATGAGATAATAATAATAATGACATGCCAAACCTACTTTTACAACGCCCTGACCACGCTACGCTCGTCAAACAAATCCTTCAACAACCCCTGAACGCAGAATTCCCTGTCCAACGGCGCCATCGCGTACGTCGACTCGAAGGCGAAGATGCTGAGCTGGCCGAAGAAGGGGCGCATGATCTTGCCGACAAGCTCGTCTTTCCTGTCTATGCTGACCTCGTCGTTGATACCACCAGGTCCCAGGAGCGGCCGTCGGTGGGAGCTGCTTGCCGCAAGGTGCGCCGCCGGGGTAGTCTGTAGTGATGAGCTGATACCCATCGAGCCGAGCTCCTCCGAGAGTTCGTCCACGAGGGCCACAGGCTGGTAGTTCGTGGATCGGTATACCGCGTCGATGGTATCTGTGACGAAAAGCCACTCGTGCAGTTGGAAGTCGTCGGGAGCGACACACACAAGCAAGTCGAGTAGCTTGCAGGCTTGCAAGATGGACAGGTTGTTGTACGTGTCCGACGCGGTGCTGTGGTCAGCCGCAACAACAGATGCGATGGCCGCGTGAAGTTCGGCATTGATAACAGGCCAGATCATCGCCAAGTGGACCGCACTTGTCTTGAGGACTAGCGCACGAACGAGCATGTAAATCTCCGCCCGTGTTGTTGATGATGGAGAAGATGTTGCTGTGGCACCGAGAAGTTCAACCACCTTATCCAAGATGAGAGGAAGCTCCGTCACGTAGGCGTCTTCGTTGGAGGCGAGCACGAGAGTGGCCGTGCGACGTAGATTGAGCTGTGTCTTGCGGTCCGCTTCCAGACGGGCAGAAGTAGCACCAACGCCGAAAACGATGCCCGCCGTCGTGGGAGGGCTCATGCGGCTCAAAAGCTCAGGCATGCGCTCTTTGTCACTGATGGTCCATTGCCTCAACAGCGGCAGCCAATCGCTGCGCACGAGATCGATGCTTGAGCTGAAGAACCTAGCATCATTGAAAGCATCGCCGACATCTTTCTTCCAAGTCTTCTGGTTATTTGGTAGCCGAGATAGCTCCTGCAGAAGGTCGAGTGTGTTCTTGGATACAGTTTCAGGGAACGCCTTTGCCCTGAATGCTGGTCCAATAACATTTGTCGAGATGGTGCTTGCCGCGGACAAGACGCGATCTGTCTCCACCAAAATCTTTGGCAGGTTGGGAACGATTGAAGCGAGAATAGCCACCACGTCCTCGGCTCTATCAAGGACGCTAACCAGTGAAATCGTTGTGGTTCGACGGACACCATCACGGTTCTTTTCTGACTTCTCGTAGGACGGCGCGGCGTCAGCGAATGTCATGGGCTTGGTAGTGAAGATTGCGGTCAGAAGCCGAAGAAAGAGGTCCTGTGATTTGTTAGAAGCGTTTTCAATAATGAGCGCATTACTTACTCCGAGCTCCCGTCTCATCTTTCGTTGTTCCCCAAAGTTGGTATTGTCCACCTTCTCACCGAGAATCGCTGCAAACTCTAAGAGGCTCGGTAGTGTTTGTCGGTGCGGGAACGGGTTTGTCAACAGGTCACGCAAGAACGCCATACAGTCAAGCCAGATTTCGTCCATGGCATCGTCTTCGAGCGTTCGGGCATACTCAACCAAGAAGGTGACCAGATCAACGTCTTGTAGCGACGTTGTAAGAGTTGACTTGCGAGACGCATCCAAGGCGCCAGGATTTGTCCTGCTATAGATGGCATTGAATATGGCTGGAATCGTGTGCTTCGGTCGGGAACCGTCGAGCGCTGGCAACAAGTTGAACACCTCCGACTGGGGTACTGGTGTTGTGATATTGATGGAGCTCCGCCAGATGTCGATGACTGTTTCGAGGCATTCCAGAGTTTCGGCTGCGAAGAGATGTTCAAGCAGTCGCCTCGCCCGATTCCTCATTCGAAGGGAGGTGTAGTTGAGAGAGGCAATCGAAGTATTATCCTGCGCGTTCGCATCATTCCCTTGTCCCCAAGACCAAATCGTGAAGCAGATGCGTACTGCGTCCTGGAACGCAAGGTGGACCGTAAGCCTGTCGTTCGCAGTGGCGCTTCGCGTTTGCTGGGTATCAGAATTGAAAACACCAGACACCATGTTTCCAAAGAATCCCGGTTGTTGATCTGGCCCCTTGACCACTTGTGTTCTGGCTTCCTCGACCAAAAGGCGCTCGTGTGCCCGGGCCAGCACATGTTCAATCGCGTTGAGTAGGGATATAAGTGTTGATTCGGGGGCATTCCACTCGTCTTGTTTCGAGCCACCATTTTCTCTGAAGATATATTGCAAGTCTTGGAAGGTGTTGGAGATTTGCCGACACAATGTCTCAACAAGAGGGATGACAACTTGGAAGATGATATCCGAGTAGAATGGCAGGCATTCTGTCAGGAAGCTGACCCAGCTATCAAGCACACTCCGGCTGCTTGGAGAGCTGAGACCAGCCTGAAGGCACTTGAGCAGGTTGGGAGGCGGGGCCGTCGGCTTAGATTCTGATTGTGTAGATACCCTGATGTTTTTGGAAGGCTCCAGGCTTACTTTCCTCTTTTCAGAAATCGGAGATGCAGGCACGTCCGCAATGATGATGTCCCGAAGTTTTAGCGCATCGAAGACAACATCTAAGAGGAGGACTTGGACGTAGGGGTCTGTTCCGTTAAGAGATTGTAGCAACCGCTCGATGAGAACGTTTTCCAGGTGAAGACTTCCAAGCGGCTCGGCATATGGGTTCAGGAGGATTTGGTGCATGACGGTGAGGGCGTACCGATGGAGCTGCGTGGATCGGATTCGGAGGTGCTCTTCCGGTTCGTTGTTTCCAGCGATGCATCGCAGACAAACATGGATGAACACTTCTTGCATTGATACCTCGCCCTCATGGCCAACTAGAACAGGTCAGCGGGTATCCCCACGGATCAGATGACTTGACATACTCATTTGCGCGATTTCAGGGTGTTCTGAGTCAACTGTCAACGACGTCGATGCCAACACACCCCAGATCACATCTGGCGCCCAGCGGAAGACATTTGACAGTGTCCTCAAATAGTAGAGACAAAGGTCCAAATCATCGTCAGCTGTGAATGTCGTTGACGTGGTTGATGCAGCAGCCGAGGCGATGTCATGGGCTGCTCTTAGAAATGGCAGAGATGCGAACTTCCTTACGAATACCAAGAACAATCTAATTCTGGTCAGTATCCAAAAGGCAGAGTACGCATTCAGAAACTTACTTTTCAGTGTTGACCAATGTGTTCAGCCATCCCTTGACTGTCATGAAAAGCTGCGTTCGTTCATCAAGGAGCGCATCCAACATCAAAAACAGCGGCCGTGTCAACATGACATCGTAATTCTCTGAGCCTGCCAGACGGATTTGCGGCGGCTTCTCAATCATGGGTGTCTTCGATCCCCGTCTTTCTGCGGGTGAATCTTGTAATGAGTGGGACCACAGTACGCCAAAACGACGACCAGCGTCAGCTGGACGAGATGCAAAAGACCCCTTCACATCATTTTCAATTATCAGGCTCGCTAGGGCAGCCTCGATGTCTCGGTTCTGGATTGTGAGAGCTGTCTGGAGTTGCCACAAGGACCTAACCGTTTCAACGTGATACTTGGGCTCTGAGGCGGACAGAAATTCCCAAGCATGTTTGACCAAGGGAGTGACAAGCTCGGATAGGTCGGGCAACTCTATACGTTCCGCAGAGTAGAGGTGGGCGGATAGATGTAGAATCGAGTTGAAAGAAGTAAATGACAGTTTGTCCGAAGTCTGAAGGCGCTCATGGAGGCATTGAAGAAGATATGACCCATCGAGGTCGTACGACGATGGCGCCTTCAATAGTAGAGCCGTGAGTATCCTTCCCTTGGCGCCCAGATTCAAGTCCGATTCTGTGTTCTTGAGGCCGTCGCAGACTAGCTGGCCAGATTTTCGGAGAAGAAGTTCTCCAACTTCGACAGGCGAAAAAGGGATGTTGGCGTCAAGGTTACCTTGTTCGTCAACGTAAAATGACTTGATCTTTTTCAAGACTTCAACGGCCGTCAAGGAGGCCAAGACGCCGGCTTCTACAGTCCTCTTGGAATTCGCTTCGGCCGAGGGGAAGGCGCGGTCTGGTACAAGGTCCAACAGAGTGAGTGAGACGTTCAGCGCTTCTTCTGTGATTTTACGAGAAGTCCTTGTGGACGAAGCAGTGCTGCCTTTCTGTCTGTCTCTGGTGTCCTCCAGCATGGAGAGAACAGACAACGCAGTAAGCGGAGCATGGATGGTAATCATCTCTTCTTCGCGAACGTTGAAATTTGACAGGATGAAGTTGACCAGATCGAGTTTGTCCAGTCGCTCTTTATCCGCCAAAGTCCCAGGGCCAATGGCTTGAGCGAGTAAACTGACAATCTCGCCGTAGATCAGGCCACTTTCGACGCCGTCGAAGAACACACTCGCGCTTCGAAAAACTTCATTGAAGTCGGCTTTGCTAGGCGACTGGTCTCGATATTGACGGACGCTGTTGACGATGGGTAGGAATAATTCTGGAACGACCAGCCCACCGATCTCCCACCGGTCCATCAATGACAGACATATCCTGTAAGGTCTCGCCCTCTCTGCAGGACTTGAATCCCGATCCACATGGATCATGCTCAAGAGAGCTTTTGTTAAGGGACGAAGACCGTGATCCTCGAAATAGCTCGTCTTGGATGTGAAATACGAATGGTGCGGATCGGGAGACGATGGCGACTCCATGCCGCTTTCGCTCTCTGTCGGTGCTGGTTCGGGTCCAAGGAACCATACCCACAATCTACGGTTGAGACTCATGTCCCTTCGAATGACAACACCTGCTGCAGCACGCAGTAGAAGCTCCAAGTCGCCTGGTTTGACGCTATTCTGGAGAACTTTGGAATTCAGGGGAAGATGCGTGACGAGAAGATCCAGAAATCCCCGCTGAATGAGCAATTGCTCGTCAGTCAGACCAGCAGCAAAAGAACGCAAGAGCAGTCCAGGTTCAGGGGAGGTGACCATCTGGGCTAGCTGGGTGGAGTGCTCGTCCTCGGATACACCATTCTTGGCTGGCTTTCCTTGAGCGGCTGGCTCGCCCAGCTTGGGCAGATTTCGGACGAGATACGCCAACGCGCCGGACCTGCGGGTCGCACCCGTGATGGAAGCCAGGAAAAAGCATTGCCAAAAGAAGTCGTCGCCGGTGGAATGCGGGCCGTCCAAATCTTCACTTCCTGGTGGCCGTATTGATTTCTTGAAGCTCTCCATCAGACGCAAAGTCCTGTCGAAATCCTCACTAGTTTCGTCTTCCAGGCCCGGCAGAAGAGCTAGGACGATGGACTTCATTGCTGGTCGTAGGGATCGAGGGTCGAGTTTGAGGAAGTGGGTTTCCAAGATGTCGAGGAAGGGAGTCCTGACAGAGAGGGAGGCGAAGGACAGAGTCGAAGCTAGTCCGGGGAGGTAGAGTGGTAGGTCTTTGGATAATCCATCTTGTCCGATCGTGGAGAAAATGAAGTTATAGACTTCGAGGGCCTTCTGGTGTACGCCGGATGGCAGGGATGGATTGAGGCATTGCGACAGGCGCTTCGCAACGGTCGATTTCGCAGGGATCGTGGTGATGGACGGCTGTCTAGCTTGCAGCGCCTTTTCACAACGTCAGCGTTTGCGTATTTCAGAGTATGTTGGAGAGCCAGTCCTCACCTTCAGCAAGCGGTTCAGGAACGAGATGTAGTCTGCCCACTCCTGCAGGGCAGTCTCAAACAGAGTCAGGGCTCTTTCGACGCCCGATGCGTACTTGCGGTATTGCTTGTCTCTTGAAGGCGCCTCCTCTGACGAGAGTATTAGGGCATGCACTGTTGCATCTGAATCGGAAATGCTCACCAGCACCAAGTTGATTCCTCCATTGACGCGGCAGGGGAGAATCGCGGCCAGAGCTCTCCGGAGAGACAGAGCGTCGGCCAGAGCCCGGCTCAAGAGCCATGATCGCGGTATTCGATGGTTCGGTTCGTATGGGGGAACATCAGGTTGTTCCGTTCGGTCTGGTTTGGAGAGATCGAGGGCTCATCGCTTCGTAGCCTGTGAGTTTGTGATGTTCCCTCCTCTCATCACGACATATTTCCAAGGGTTCAAGTGCTGAGCTGCGCCCGAGAGGCTACCATGTCTCCTTCCAGGCCAGGTGTACAGTGGGGTACCCCCCTGTGAGCTCCCAAGCTTCCCATTGGACGAACTAAATTAGGTGCCGTTCCCGCCGGGCGAGGCTGGCGCAATCCTCACTATCGATTGTCGAGATAACAACGTCATCAGACATCGCTTCTTTAGTACCCATGATTTTAGACAGTTTCGTCTCATATGCCTTTGCATCTCTTCTTTTTTCGTCGGAAACATTAATCGTAAAATAAAAAACCGACGGAAAATTAGGAGCTGTGTTCTCACATCATATCCTAACTCTGTCCAAAGGCCAATTTCGCGAAGCTCCCTTGTTGGTGATCGTCATCCCTAGCATAGCTCTTATTCCTGTGCCCAATCCAATTAACTTGAGCGACCCAGAGTCTTGGTCGCATGCACGTTCTTGGGCCTAATCGATTTCCATGACATTTCTGACGCGTGAGAGCACGTGTTCCTCTGAATTCCCAAGCCTCATCTCCAATCAGATACGTCCTGCAGCTAAGGGTCATCCGGTGATTCAACTACGTGTTTGAGTAAGGTGTCTGCATGGGATTTGGCGATTCCCATGCAGTGATAGGCCCCCCCCGCGGAGCACACCAGCTTAACCTCTGCAGTGTGGTGAGGGGGTGGGCCTGAGTCGTTCGTCCTCAGCGGCACTTTCCCACTAATCAGGGCTGTCGGACCACACTAACACATCACCTCAACTCGGCCCCTCTCCGAGGCATCATCAGACTTCGGGCCTTCTTGGGTTCAACACCTCTTCAACCACAGTGCCAAACCCTATCACGACTCTGACGACCGTTACGGCATCATGAATTTCTTTCGTTGACCTACCTCAGAACGTATCACCGAGATTATCTCCTGCGCGTCGACGCGTCACTGAACCATACCACACCGCAACACAGCTGAAATGCCCTCGCCCGCGCCACGACCGCGATCATGGGCGAGGATAACGACAACAGCCCCGAGGAACAGCCTCCCCCTCTCCCTCCGCGCCCTTCCCTCGACTCGAACAACTCGATAGACGCGAGAATGGCCATGGCCGCCGCCACCACCGCCGTCACGCCCCTCGACATCCAAACCCTCTCCTTCCCCGATGGCTCGCGCGGTACTTTCTCGACCCCAGGCACGAGGCGGCCCTCGGCCTCTGGTGTCTCGTCCTCCCGGAGAGGGAGCGGCCAGGTGACACCGACCCGCACGGTGAACGAAGGGGAAGACTCGATGAGCATAGCCAGCTTCGCGCCCACGCTGCGCCCGCCCGGCGACATCGCAAGTCTGCTCGTGGGGGAGTTCAGCAAGCGGAGCCCTGCGTGGAACCTGCTCAGGTCGCAGTCCGCCACGGTGCCGCCGTTCGAGAGTTTGCGGATGGACGATACCACGCGAAACCTGGCCGGCTTCGAGAACGAGTTCGACGAGCTTCCCGATGAGGCCGATGAGGCCTTCCAAGACGAAGACCGGGTGACGATTTGGAAGTCCAAGTTGAAACATTACATGATCCTATCGTCCGCAGGGAAACCCATCTACAGTCGCCACGGAGATCTGGGCCTCATCAACTCGTCCATGGGCGTCATTCAAACCATCATATCCTTCTACGAAGGGGCTAAGAACCCCTTATCCGGCTTCACGGCTGGCCACACGCGGTTCGTCATTGCGACTCAGGGGCCGCTGTACTTTGTTGCCATCAGCCGTCTGGGAGAGAGCGACTCTCAGCTCAGAGCGCAACTTGAAGCTTTATATATGCAAATTCTCTCTACTCTCACCCTTCCAACCCTCAAGAACATCTTCGTTCACCGTCCGTCGACCGACCTGCGGAAACCCCTGGAGGGCACGGAGCCGCTCATCTCATCACTCGCCGACAACTTCACAAAAGGCTCGCCCTCCGCACTGCTCGGCGCCCTAGAGTGCCTCAAACTCCGCAAATCCCAAAGACATGCCATTAACAACGCGTTCCTCAAACAGCGCACAGAAAAGCTGCTCTACGGCCTCATCGTCGCCGGCGGCAAGCTCGTCAGCGTCATCCGCCCCCGCCGCCACTCCCTCCACCCCAGCGACCTCCAGCTCATCTTCAACATGCTCTTCGAGTCCGACGGCATCAAGTCCGGCGGCGGCGAGAACTGGGTGCCCCTCTGCCTCCCCGCCTTCAACAACCGCGGCTACCTCTACATGTACGTCAGCTTCTTCGACGGCGTCGACGGCGACCAGGCCACCACCACCCAGGACCCCGCCGCCAACAAGGACGAGGAGCTCGCCATCATCCTCATCAGCCCGGACAAGGAGTCCTTCTTCGAGCTCAAACAGATGCGCGACAACGTCGCCGCCTCCCTCGCCCAGTCGGGCCACCTCGCCATCATCCAGGCCGCCGCGCGCACCGGCCGCTCAAAGACCGTCGACATCGCCCCCGGCGGCCAGATCTCCCACTTCCTCTACAAGTCCCGCGCCAACGTCCAGTTCAGCATGTCCGCCCTCGACCCCGTCTTCTCCTCCCTCATCCCCCGCCGCCGCCTCATGACCCTCTACCACCAGCTCCACGCCGCCGTCCACGCGAAGCACTCCCACATGCGCGTCCTCCACTCCGTCTCCGAGGACGCCACCTCCCTCGCCTGGATCACCCCCATCTTCGAGTTCTACTGCGTCGCCGGCCCCAACATCAGCCGCGCCGTCGTCACCCAGGGCGCTAACAAGGTCATCCAGTGGGCGCGGCGCGAGGAGGAGAGGATCTTCATCATAGGCGGAGGTGTATTCTAAAGCGTCTCCCGAGGAGGAGAAAACAATCCTAAGCTCAAATCAAGTCCATCCCAGACGAGCATCTGATCTCGGGGGTGTTATAAGTTAAACATTATCTATTATAGAGGAGCGGAAGAGAAAAGGCCGCCTCTCATCCAGCAAATCCATTGCTGAGTCCAAAGTAACTACCAAGTCCCAAACGATTCCCAAATTAAATAAAACTTTTTTCCGCGTCCAAGAACAACTGCCAAGTCCAAATTGATTGCAGCCCAAAACCTGTTGTTGTCAATCCCCAAACAGTTCCTCAATAACTTTTGGGTATCCATCCATCCAAAAAAAAAGAGAGAAAAAAAAGAAGAAAAAAAAGAACCCCCCCCCCCCCATCACGGCCGCGTAGCCTTCCACCACGCCTCCGGAGTCTCCATGAACTTCCTAAACGACCTCTTCCGCTGCGGACAACACTCGCACGCGGCAACCCCCTTCCCCTTCCCCTTGCGATCCCTCTTGTGCACCATCTTCCGCAAGACCGCCACCACGTCCTCCACGAACCCCGGCTCCTTCTCCTCCTCCTCCTCCCGCCGCGCCTCCAGCTCCCGCCGCCTCTCCTCCTCCCACTGCTTCTCCCCCTCCGCAGTATGCACGATATTCACCCTCCAACTCTCAACCCTCTCCCTCTCGTCCCCACTCTCATCAGCTCCCCTCTTCACCCCCTCGTTCGTCGTCTCCCCCCCGACGAGGGTATTCTCCCCGTCCGTGAACGCGCTGCCCCTCCTCGCCGCCGCCGCCCCGACGGCCCCGTTGTCCTCGTGGAACCGGCTCCTCCTGGGGCTCAGGCTCGGGCCGGGGCTGCTGTTGCCGGGGTCGCTCCCGCGTTCCTCGGCCATGCGGCTGCTCTCGCCGACCTCGTCGTGCTCGGGCCACGACTTGGTCGTTCGCGTGGTCGTCGCCGGCGACGTGGGGCTGTTGTCGGTGGGCGGCGGTGACTGGTCCGGGTGCGAGGACGAGGACGAGGTGATGATCCTCTTGAGGGCGTCGAGCTTGGATTTAGGTGACGAAGTCATCTTTTGGGAAGTGATAATAATGACGATGATGATTACGATTATTGTTTTATTTATGTTGTTGTTGTTCTTTTGATGATTGTCGAGTACGGTTTTCTTCCTCTTCCTCTTTTTTCGAAAAAGGTGGAAGAGTAGCGATGTCGATGATACTGACGACGACAATGATGGCTGGGAAGTTGTCTGAAAATCAAAGTGCTCGGATCCGTAAACCTCGAAAGGCATCCAGAGGCCGAATCGAGATGGAACGAGTGTAATTCGTTTGCTGATTATGCTGCTCGTCGAACCGTCTTTTCCCCCTGGGAACGTCTGGGTTATGGGATAGAAGAGGAGGCCTTGATGTGCTCCACTCCAAATCTTCGCTGTATGGGTTGATTAAACGAATGTATGAGCGAGCGGACGCGATGTGAAGTCGCAGAACGATAGACGGAAGGGGTGTCAAACGATGGAAAGCGTGGTTGAACGAGTGATATGCAAGGGGAACAAGAGAAGCCGGAAGAGGTATGCTGGGACAACGTCGTTTTATGGACCATTTCATCGCTCAACAATATCAGATAGAGGCTGCTGCGGGAGAGGACCCTTACGGCCAAGCTACATCAAGCCATCATGCCTCTTCCTGGGCATCTCCTCAAAGCGAGACGCGGTGAAGAACGCCTCACCTGGACGATGCAGAAGATGCCATAAATAGACATAATACCGGCGTGTATACCATCAATTGAAGTACATATTGTATCGAATGTTCTGGTTCAGTAAGCCATCCGCGTCTCCCCAGACTCTAATTCCACCATTTGCGCTCTCAGGGCACACGATCATATACTTAAACCACAAGTAGGATGGAGCTACGGACATTGCTCCCCTCCAATCACTCATCATTAATCCTTTTCAAGAAGCCCAAGTTCTTGAAAGCCAATCAGAAGAACGCACCCAATGGTCGTAGCGATGATGGAGTGGCAAAAGTATGCTGGTTCGCTTAGATCACACGCAGAGAAAAGCATTGCTCCTTTCATCGTCTCTTGATGACGATGTGAACAGCGCGTCGAAACCACCCTTTCACTCTCCTGCCCATTCTCTTGGGCTGGCCAGGCCCGCTTGTAGCCGTACGGCCATGCGGCCCGATGGTAGCGCCAGAATCCGTTGAACCAATGCTCCTTCCTTTGAGGTTCATCCGTGATCGGGTCATCCGTATTTTGAGGTGCGATAGTTTCTTGCGAAGAATCCTGGGCCGAATAAAAGTCAGGTCAGAACTGAAGCTGCGTGAGTCGCTCAAGTCGTATCCCTCAATGGAACTGCTTGGCCGTAGGGTATCGTCCACCGGATGCGCCAGAGGAATATCGCGCTCGTGTATGTACGAATAGCTAGAGTTTGTGTCTGTAGGAGAAGGAAGTGGGTGCAATTTTCTCCCATCGGGAAGCGTAACGAGACGGAATCGCCTTCCCTTTCGCTGGTAAGCTCGGTTGACATGAGAATTTCTGCATTGCGCTGGAGTGAGTAGATCCTCAGACGAATCTTCCGCCAGGGATTTGAGAATGTTGTGCCTAGAAGATGTTTTGTTCCGTACCAAAGTCTCGTGGGCACTACCTTCGAGACATCCGCCAACACCCAAGACACCTGGTGACGTCTGTGTTCGAAGCCTCCTGCTTGGACTCTTCTTACTTGTATCGAATGTGACGTCTGAGTTTGCAAGTCGCGTCGGACACTCGTGGATTGCAGCTTGTCGAGTTTGATCCACCGCAGGGTCGATGGACTGTCGATCTGTTGATGGACGATCAGGTTCAACATCCAGCTCAATGCTTGCTTTCAAAGACTCATGGTCTTCCTCTTTCTGTTTTTTAGTAATTCTAGGACTTGATCGCGGAGTTGTGAGTATTTCGAGCTGGAAAGGCGCGAACTTGACTGGAAATTCAACGTCTTCTGCAGACGTCACCGAAACGGACGGAGACTGACGCCCCAAATCATCCGGAAGCGCTGGCAATGCTTTCATAAGCTGCGGGATGCTGTTTCTGACCCTCAACTGATGGGCTGGAGACACAGGCTCAGGACACAATATGGCAGTATTCGCGCTTCTGACGGACGTAGGCGTCGTTGATCGAAAGTTCGTCGTGCTGATGCGCGCAACCGCTCGATTTCGTCGATGACGTTTGGAAAAGGAATTTGTAGGACGTATCTTGATGTTAGCTTCGGGTTCAACGATGCCCTTATCGCCCACAGGGTGAGCAGCTCCAACATTCCCCTCTTCCTGGGGTGATGAAGAAGACAAATATTCGTAGGTATCCTCGAATTCAGTCAAAGTCTCCTTATCCTTCCTCATGAAAGGAGATTTCGCAATGCGCTCAAAAGAGGATACCAGAGCAGCTAGGTCAGACAAACCTGGATCAACAGAATACCTGAGACTCGATCGAAGTAGTGCCGCAAGGCCACCATGCGAGGAGGCTCTCTGGGACAAGACGTTGTTGGTAGCTGGCACACTGAGCGATTTCCGCAGTGTGCCATGAGCTGGGTCGGCTTTCATTGCAAGATTGCTTGTAGTACAGACAGCGTCCGGTTGAGCCCCCAGATCATGAGGCTCGACGTGCAACTGGTCCTGTTCGTGAAGGATTTCTTCCTTAGCTGCAGAATTATTGGCTCCGCAAGAAGCGACATCAGCAGAGCTCGGCTGGCGGTTTTGTAAGGTCGATTTGTTTCCTGATGCAGCTGGCAGCTGAAAATCCCCGTCTTCCGAAAAATAGGAGAACAAGTCTAAGGACCTCCTCTGACTGTCAGCACCAGTAGCTGAAGATACGGAATAGCTGCGTTCTTCGAATGGAAACGGAGCCAAAGTAGGTAAGATTTCTCGGGAGCCGTCGTCCTGGAATTGCGCTGGGGGAGAGCTACAACGAGCTTGATTCCCTTCCCCGGATGAATCGCTCGAGTCCTTCACGGATATGTCCACCACCGCATCGAGACGCGCTCTTGTCTCATCTCGGAGCACCAACGCCTTAACGAGACTCGAAGCCCGTTGGGGTATTGGGGCCAGAGGTGGAACCGGCGTTGAAACAGGGTCGTCAGGACTTCTTTCTGTGCTCTCAAACCCTTCGGTGTAATCATAATAAAAGGAACCTGCCGGACGAACAGCGAGTGCGGAACCTTTATCAGAACCCGAGGTCGATCGGTAGTACATGTCGATGACTGACGTTAGGCTGGCTGATCTCATGCTTTGGTCAATCGAAGGTCGCCGAGCTGTAACTGGTCGATCATTATTCCAGTTGCTGGTGAAAGTCCCCGATTGACTGTGACTGCGGCCATCTTGACCAAATTGTGCCGCTCTAAGGGCGCCATACGGCAATGATGGCATTGACTGATTCAAGTGAGAAGGTGCAAGGCGCGGGCTGAGGTAAGTTGGCTTGTATGATCCGTGGACAGTCCTCTTTTGGTCTGTTAGCAAGGTTGAAGGCCAAAAGTCTCTCCATATCGTGGGAAACAGAGGAGCGCATGATAGGTGTAAATAATACACCAGACGATATGAGGTAATGGGATGTTACTCACAAATGAAACTCGATCTAGTTCGACCATCCTACTGTAGTCAACACGCCCAGATTCGGTGACGGCGGGCGAGGACGGCCGTACACCAGGGCGCTTCAGTCGAGTTGGGTAAGGGAAAGGAGACCGCGGACGTTGTAGAGCACTACTGTAGTGACTCTGCAGTGTCTGGGAGGATCTTTGGCGTCGCGGCACACTCGAAGTCATGGAGTACGAGCGCCGGAAGGGGTCGGCTCGGTGAGCTGGAGACAGCGAACTTAGACCGGAAGGATTGCCCTCGGAGCCGTACAAGGAGAAGATCTCGGAATTCGTGTCTCGATCAGAGCCGCGTCTTCCACGACTGATTTGGCCTTCGGTTCTGATGCTGGCACGGGATTCGGACCTGAATATGGAACTAGCATCGATGCCTGGTCTCGACCTGGCGCAATGGTGGATGGTAGCTGCGGGGGCAATCGGTTTGATGGTGAATATGCCGATGTCACCCGTCTCGGTTGTGGTCTTGAGCATGCTCTCAAGGGGGCCCGGAGAGGGCAGCAGGTTATTGGCGCTCTCATTGACGCTTCTCAACGGACGGTGAGATAACCTACTGCCTGGCCGAGACTGCGCTCTGTGGCTACTGCGCAGCGACCCATGACTGACAGAACGCCTGACGTGATTGGTGTCCATTGGAACGGGATGAGGCTTGAGGTTGAACAGAGGCGAAATGCCGATACGGTTTATTACTGATGAGCAACTTCGAGAGCCACAAAGGCGACGGACGTAGATACCCCGACGGATGAAGCTATTGCGAACGCTGGCGAGGTCTCATGGCATCCCCATGGCGGGTGTTTCTGGGGAGAGACGCTTGATGTTGTCTTGGTTAAGGTAGCTTGACGTGAAGGGGAGGAAGTTCTTCAATACCAATCGAGCTTGGCATGACTCTTCTACAATAGTGGGAAAGAACATTTGATTAGGAAGATGGAATATACTTTCTTGGGTCGTAAGCCAGGAGCGACTTCCTCCCGTTCCTGTTGGAAAGCGCTTTCTTTCCTCTATGGGCTATGAATGTGCTTCCTACCTCTTTAGAGAGAGAAGAGAGTGTTTCTCGTGCGTTAATGGCCAGCCACGGCGGCAGTCGCACTTGCTATTCGTATGCCAGTGTTCCGGTTCTTGACAATCGAGAAATCATGATGACAGAAGCTTCCCCAAAAAGCTTGCTATTACCACTCTTGGCGTTGTTGCCAACTTTGCATCAACGAAGTCGCAGTTGATTTCCTACTGACCAGGAAGGCAGCTACGACCGTTGCCTGCGCTGCGGCTGTTGTCACCGCTGCCGGCTTAGCCATCTTCTTTCCTGTCGCCGTTTCCTGGTCACTCCGTATGTGACTCTCGCTTTACCCTCTCAGTTCCAGAGTTCATCTAGCCAGATATTGCTCCTTTGCATCGCCTTATCGAGGTGTTGACACAAAACACAGTAGACCATGTCCGAAGCGCTTCCGTTCTGGATGTTGAGCTTTTACATCCAGACCGCCCTTCAACAGACGGAAAACCAGACGACATACTGCCAATACTGAAGGGGAAGAAAGAGAAAGAAACCTCTAAGAGTACGCCATGAAGTGTTGATGAGCACGGCAATTCTGGTTCAAGTAGGTCTGTTTGTGCCACTAGGCAAAATATGAGCCGTAAACTATCCCCTTCGACGCTCCCTTAGCAATTCTAGTGTCTTCGGACGGCCAAGAAGTCATCTCGGGAGGCTTAACATCTGTGTTCCGCTTACACGCCGTGCAGACGAACCCAGAGACGAGAGCAAGGACGAGGGTAAGGATATCAGCGCAGTCCACCTGATTGGATGAACACCGTAGGCACTTTCCTACTTTGGCCAACACTAGTTGGGCCGTAAGCACATGTGGGTTGATCTACCCGCATCAGAGATCCTTCCAAAGGCCATCTTGGCATCTTTGGGAACATCTGTCCTTTTTGGCAAGTTCGGACTGTTTGAGCGATTCAGTCTGTGTGTGTGACTACCAAGATGAACACGAAGCCAATCTGGGGGAGATTTGAATGTGATACCGGCAACCGTCTAGCTCTGACAAGCATGCTATTTACATAGCACAGGATCCGAGACGGGACTCGAAAGCTTCCAGGAGACCCCACATTGTGGCCCGGATTGTTCGGGGGCGGAGGCAGAGAATTTGGGGCGACACGGAGCACATCAGCCGTTGCGCCCTTCTGGTTTAAGGTGACCTGGGAACAGGACACAGTTCCACTTTGTAGGCAGCGAGCAAGCAACCAGCTCCGGATATCCCTTGTCCTGTTGTTACCGTCAGGGCCCAGACAAGGAAGTTGAGGGTCCGACGGAGTCGAGAAGACAAAAGAGCCTTTTTGTCTGTCTAATTCCGGAAGACGGATGCCTTGCATCGATCCGCAGCTGCAGTTGGCCAGGTATTCCACTGTCCACCAACACAAACAAAAGTCCACAAGTGAGAGCGCAGCATCGCGAGGCAAACGCCGGCCGCCTTCCCGTTGGACCCTGGAACGACGGGTGAGGCTGGGAGGATTTTTACGTATCGAAGTCCCAGAGTCGCGCGGCATGTTGGGTGGCTGGAGCTGGAGAGCTGGACGGAAGCCACCTCCACCTTCACACAGGGTCCCATCGGACTCGTGAGCGAGCGCGCCAGATGCGGTCAATGATCAGCTCCACGGTAGCATCGCCGCTGGATCCCCCAGCCGGTAGGGTAGCTTGGCGGGTGGTGGAGAACCGGATCCTTAAAGGCGAAGACAGAAGATTGATGGGTCCATGGATGCACCTTGTGGCCAGAACGGCAGGCAGAGAGCTTTTGGAACGGTGTCCTCAGGAAAGCTTGCCCCCGAACAGATGCGGAGCCATGGAAGCCCATTGTTAGTTGTGTCTGGAGAGTGTAAGCGATAGAATGAGAAAGGCAAGAGCAGATGACACAGCGAGATCACAAATCAACTCAACACATATTTTGTCAGCGCTGTTGGTTTGGTCTCTGGGCCTGGGTGAAGAAGCCCCCAGAGACACACACTGCGCAAAGTTGGGACGGGCTGAGGGGAAGCTGTGCCATCCAACGATGCGTGTCTCAGAGAAAACCGCCCAGACGCAAGGCGGAATGTGCAGAATAGGGGCCCAGCCAACATTCAAAGGCATGGCAATGGCAGTGGCCACGCATAACAGTGTGGGTTCGAGCGTTTGTCTTTGGATGAAGCACGCGGTCGACTTGATTGACAATCAACTCCAACAGAGCTTAGCGTCGACTTACCCACTACTAAGGCAGACGGCCCGGAAGCAGGACAGGCACGGAGGTATTGAATAATTTGCCGAGCAGCTGGCGTCTATTCGTAGTTTAGCGAGTTGGATACCTACTTGCGTTCCTTCGGCAGTGACGCAACTCCTCAGCTCACCTCAGGCCAGGCTGGCTTGATAATGATTACCTACCGACTTTCAGGGGGGGTCTCTACTCGGCTTTCGAGCAACACCGTGCAACTAGCAAGCAAGGATGTTTTTATGTTCCGAGCCTTTTTTGGTTTATTTAGGTAACTTAGTAATAGTACAACTCTATGTATACAACCGTCTTCCATCAGCAGGTATCTATCTTCTAACATCCAGTGTAAAAGTCTCTCCAGGCCCTCAGACTCAGAATCCGAGTCTCTTGGAGAGCTCAGAGCGGGTCTTGGCGTACACATCCGTCGGCGACGGCGTGGCATCGAGCTTGACGACACGGCCCTCCTTCTCGAAGTAATCGACGACCGGCATCGAAGTCTCGACAAAGGTGCGGAAACGCTTGCGAATGCTCTCGGCATTGTCGTCGGCGCGGCCGCTCGTCTTGCCGCGCTCCAGCAGGCGGCTTTCCATGACGGCCTCGGGGCAGTCGTAGAAGAGGACCAGCTTGGCCGGGCACACCGTCTCCTCGAACTTGACGGCCTGGTCCATCTTGCGCGGGAAGCCGTCGATCAGGAAACGCTTGTTGCCGGACTCCTTGATGGTGGCCGTCATGGCGTTCTCGAGCAGCTGGACCGTGACCTCCATGGGCACGATCAGGCCGTCCTTGATGTAGTCCTTGATCAGCTGGCCGAACTGGGAGCCGGGGCGGTCCTGCTCGGCGCGCAGTAGGTCACCGGCCGAGAGGTGGGTGAAGCCGTAGTCGGAGACGAGCTTGGCGCATTGCGTGCCCTTGCCGGCGCCGGGGCCGCCGAGGACAAAGAGGACGGTGACTTCATCGGGGGAGAAGGTCGGGGTGGATTTCGTAGGGGAGGGGAGCTGCTTGGAAGCTTCGGGGGCTGGGAGGGATGCCATATCTGTAAGGGAAAGCGATTATCAGTATACTTGATGTTTTCTTGGTAGGTTTCGAAGTGAAGATGACAGAAGTTGCAGCTGTCGTTGGGCTGTGGTCGTTGCATAATAAAGGACGCATAATTGTTAGGGACGATAATTGGCGGCTGCTATAACTCACCGGCTCTCTGGTCAACAAGAAGCTTGTAAGCACCGGATCCGACGGCGACGACGGCAAGGAAGGGCCAGAACTTGACACCGGAGGGCTTCTTCGGGGGTTCGGTAGAGTAAGCACGACGCGCCGGGAATCGCTGCTGGAACTTGGAAACAACAGATCGCGAAGAGAAAGCGCGGGTGGAAGCCCGAGAGAGCAGGCGCGGTGTGATTGGATGCATGATGGTGACGTTCTCTGGTGTTCTTCCTTCCGAAACCTGGTGACGGGACCTTTGAAAGGTAGGCGCGTGTATTCGTCCTAAAGTTTTTGGGGGACACGGCAACGGGAGAGAGAGCCAGCACGCACTTCGGTCGCGGTAGGTATCCAATTCCTCAAGGCACTCCCAGGTCCTGCTAGCCAGCTGGATGTGGATACCTATTCGGTTACTCTGAATGGTCGGTTTCGCCAATCAATTGAAGCGGGCAGAAAAGAACGTTGGGGGAGTACCTGAATAGGTAGGGAGTGGCCGGTTTGCCCCTCACGCAATGGAGGGAGAGCACGGGTTGCTTATGGGTTGGGGTAAGTACCGAGAAACCCCCAATCCGTACCTTTTGGACCTTTTCGCCGTTACATCATGCTTCAGGTACATTGCCGATACCAAGTTAAACACCAAAAGGAGGGGCGTCCCCTAATACGCCAATCCACACAGACACTGCAGCCGCCTTAGTGAATGCATGAGCTGACTGCTGCGGTTCCTGGAAAAAGGGACACCTGTTCTCAATTGCCCTTGGTTTAGAAATCCGAAATCTTTCTCCAGAACCTCCACCTCCTACTTAAGAGAGAGCCTTTCCCATTCACTAACCGCTGGAGCTCGACTTGTCCACCTCTCCTCCTCAAGCGTGAATTTTTCTTTCTTCACTGTTCAAGGATATTTCTTCCGGTCAAGAAAGGTAAGACCCTCCTTCTGCCATCCCAAGCTCAACACCTGAAGCCCCCCACTATCGTCGACACCAGAGCAAACGGTCGCAGACAACAGCTATCGCGAAGCTGCCGACTGCCTTGCCCATTTCGCCACATTTCTTTTATCTGTCGTCAACCGACTCGCCATTCACAGAAAGCTAACATCACCTGCCGCAGGGTCAAAATGTTCTGCAAGCGCGTTGCCATGGGCCTGTTGGCCGCCGCTGCCGCGGTTTCCGCCAGCGATGTCACCCAGTTGAAGAAGGATGACTTCAACGACTTCATCAAGACCAACGACCTTGTCCTTGCTGAGTGTAAGCACCTTCCTGCCATCACATCTTTTAGATCCCACAGAAGCTAACTCCTCGCCACCAGTCTTCGCTCCCTGGTGCGGTCACTGCAAGGCCCTCGCCCCCGAATACGAGGAGGCCGCCACCTCCCTCAAGGAGAAGAACATCAAGCTCGTCAAGGTCGACTGCACTGAGGAGGCCGACCTCTGCCAGGAGTACGGCGTTGAGGGCTACCCCACCCTCAAGGTCTTCCGTGGCCCCGAGAGCGTCTCCCCCTACTCCGGCCAGCGCAAGGCTGCTGCCATCACTTCCTACATGGTCAAGCAGTCCCTGCCTGCCGTCTCTCTCCTGACCAAGGACACCCTCGAGGAGTTCAAGACCGCCGACAAGGTCGTTCTCGTTGCCTACATCGACGCCTCTGACAAGGCCTCCAACGAGACCTTCACCAAGGTCGCCGACAAGCTCCGCGACACCTACCTCTTCGGTGGCATCAACGATGCCGCTGTTGCCGAGGCTGAGGGCGTCAAGGCCCCCGCCATCGTCCTCTACAAGTCTTTCGACGAGGGCAAGGCCACCTTCACTGACAAGTTCGACGCTGAGGCCATTGAGACCTTCGCTCAGACCGCCGCCACCCCCTTGATCGGTGAGGTCGGCCCCGAGACCTACTCCGGCTACATGTCTGCCGGCATTCCCCTCGCCTACATCTTCGCCGAGACCCCCGAGGAGCGTGAGGAGCTTGGCAAGGACCTCAAGCCCATCGCCGAGAAGTACCGCGGCAAGATCAACTTCGCCACCATCGACGCTAAGGCGTTCGGTGCCCACGCCGGCAACCTCAACCTCAAGACCGACAAGTTCCCGTCGTTCGCCATCCAGGAGACTGTTAAGAACCAGAAGTTCCCCTTCGACCAGGACAAGAAGATTACTCACGACGGCATCGCCAAGTTCGTCGAGGACTTCTCCAGCGGCAAGATCGAGCCCAGCATCAAGTCTGAGCCCATCCCTGAGTCTCAGGACGGCCCCGTCACCATCGTTGTCGCCAAGAACTACGAGGAGATTGTCCTTGATGACAAGAAGGATGTCTTGATCGAGTTCTACGCTCCCTGGTGCGGTCACTGCAAGGCTCTGGCCCCCAAGTACGACCAGCTTGGTGAGCTCTACGCCAAGTCCGAGTTCAAGGACAAGGTTGTCATCGCCAAGGTTGACGCCACTACCAACGATGTTCCCGATGAGATCCAGGGCTTCCCCACCATCAAGCTCTACCCCGCCGGTGCCAAGAAGGACGCCGTCACCTACTCCGGCTCCCGCTCTATTGAGGACCTCATTGAGTTCGTCAAGGAGAACGGCAAGTACAAGGCTGAGGTCTCCGTCAAGGAGGAGGGCGCCGAGGAGAGCCAGGCCGCTCCTGCTGCCACCGAGTCTGAGAAGAAGGAGAAGGCCAAGGAGACCAAGGAGGCCAAGAAGGATGACGACCACGATGAGTTGTAAAAGGTTTTTCTGGGTTCACAAATGAAATGATACTTTGGGACATCCCTCGGGATTGGGATTATATACCTCTTGCGCGTTAGGTCTACTCTTTGCATTACGGATGCGGGTAAATTGAAGTTATGACATTTATGTAAACGAACGTCACTGTCCTTCGTGTGTACACCCCTGAACCTTTCTACTAAAGGTATCTTTTATGAACCTTTACTAAGTAAGCTAACGCGACTTAACACATGCAGGATCATCAACGTGCCCTTTGCTAACCTTGTGTCTAATGAGACTAGATTCTTGATAGGCTATGGCATGGAGGAATACCGAGTCGTACACTGACAGCACCCGGAGTATCGCATCGTCCGCATGGAGATGAAAAGAGTCGGTCTTGGTAATTGACTATGGAATAAAACGAACGATCTACGTCTAACAATTCTACTTCACTTATACGACCTATCGTCATACGTCATTCGTAAAGAGCGTCCAGCATTTCTCAAATATCCTCCTTCGTAAACCAATTTGCTGATCTTATCCAGATACCCAGTTTCACACCGCCCACGAGACAATGCCAGTATCTCAAGAGTCAAAGATGGCACCATAAGCTGGGATTCCTCGCGACATCATCCCAAACACAACCATCTCGGTCACCTTGGGGTTCGAAATCACATACACCGCCTCGGCATTGGACGCCCGAACAAGCTTGTATGTCTCAAGGACGATGTCCGGGTGCCCGCGCTCCGTCGTATTCCAGATGACGGCCTCCGGGTCGGCCTTGCGCACCGCCGCGACGACCTTGTCGCCGTAAGTCTTCTGCGGGTTCCTCGTGCTCCAGAGGACCCGCCGCGGCGTCACGTCCGCGAACAGCAGCGACAGGCACGGCCCGATGCCCGACCCCGTGGCCACGACGACGATCTGCCGGAAGACGCGCGAGGTGTACAGCAGGCCGTGCAGGGGCGCGCCGCGGATCCAGAGCCTGCGCTCCGCGGGCTTGGAGATCTGCTTCTTGGTCCAGTCGCCCGCGTTGCTGACGACGATGCTGAAGCCGTTGATCTCGCCCGACTCGGCGTCCACGTCCGGCACCGTCGCGAAGGCGTGCCACTCCGTCAGCGGCCTGTCGCTGATCTTGAGCCCGTAGAAGGGCTGCATCGTCCGGTACTTGAAGTGCAGCCGCGTCGCGTGGTCGCTCAGCTTCTCCGGGTAGACCTTGACGCGGCGGAGGCGGGACCAGGAGGCGACGGAGCACGAGGTCGAGACGCAGATGAACCAGAAGTTGGGGGATGTGAGGAGGACGCGGCCGACGGTGGTGGAGTCCTCGCGGGCGGTGACGCGGGCGGCGAAGATGTTGTGCGTCCAGAAGTTGGCGAGGGCGACCCAGCCGGCGAAGCGGTGGAAGGCCTCGAAGTAGTCGTGGAAGCGGCGGCGGATGTTGGGGTGGGCGGAGGTGAGGATGACGAGGAACATGCCGACGAGGACCCAGCTGCAGATCATGTCGACCCTGATGTCGTTGTGGGGGTCCGCGACGTACTCCTTGGTCACCAGGACGGTGTAGAGGATGTACCAGACGACGGCGGCGGTGCCGGCGCCGCTGTGGCAGCCGCCGTAGTGGAAGACCTTTGCGAGGCGCTTGCGGACGGAGAGGGGCCAGGAGTGCGGGACGAGTGTGAAGATCTCGTAGACCAGGTTGACCCATTCTTCCTGGCGGAAGAGGAGGGAGGTCATGAGGTTTGCGGAGGCGGCGTTGCCGACAGTCTTTGGTCTGGGGTTGCCGTCGGCTTGGGCGACGAGGGCGACGAAGACGGCGAGGTTGATTGTGAAGATTGTTGCGAAGGTCTTTCTGTATGAAGAGGCGTACTTGTCTGTGGACATGTGTGAGTATCGTTCTTGGTGTGTTGGGTGGAATTCAGCACTTACACCGGAACTTGCGACTGAACTCGCTGCCGGTCTGGTCTGGAAGTTTCCAGCGGTCTGATGGTGAGGTAGAGCGAGACGTCTCCGAGGTTGATGCCACTGTTGAGGGAGACAAGACGCCCTCGGATTTGACGACACTCTTCTCTTCAGGTTTGCCTTGCGGGCTCTCCATCGAGACACTCTTCTCGTCTTGTGAAGTCATGATGAAAGGCTCAGTATCTTGTACCGTAAGCTTGATATGCTCAGAAAGATGCTGACAGTATACAGACTCAGTTGTATCCGAACTCAACTCAGGGTGTCTTATATATCCCTTTTCAAGCTGTCTTCAAGCTGTCAACTCCAAGCCAGACGATACAGCCATCGAAACTGCCGGCCTTCCTCAACACTCCAGGTCGATCTTCAACTTCTTGCGGAAGGCCATCTGCAAAGAGTCGATCCCAGATGCCTTCCGCTCTCGAATACTACGTCTGTCGTGATAACAAGGTCGACTTCGGGGCCTTGGTGCATGTCTAAGCCCGCTTTAACATGCACACTGATGAAGAAAGGGGGTCAACGACGGGCTGGCGAGAGCTGCCCTCGAGGCCGTGGTCGTGGCCACTATTCTCGTTCCAGTGTGAGCCTCCGATGCAAAAGGACGGTGACCATGGCAGACGTACAGCTAGGTGTTACGGCATTATCTCCATGTGCTCGACTTCCTAAAGAGGACCCTGATGCCAAGAATGACGACAGCAGCTGTAGTGCAACTCATCTGGAGGATCTGATAATCAGTTACAGGCATGTTCACTATGGATGTTGAGTCGTTACTCACATAGTGAAATATGTTTTCTTGCGATGAGATCCTGCTTAATGCTGTAATTTGGGTATCATGATGCCGGGCAGTCCTGTCGTCGTTGTGCTTCCATGGCGCAAGACGGTGGTCGAAATTGATGATTTGGAATTTATGCAACTCTTTCGTGATCTTTGATAATTCTTGTACAATATGAAGAAAACAGAGTTGCCAAGTTGCCTTCCTCAAAAGAATGGTTGAGATAGGAACTTTTTTTTGGCCTGTTGCAACGCCATATGCGGAAGGTGGGTAGGTGGCCGGCCGCTTGAAACGCGGCGAAGGGCCGGCCAGGTCCGCAGGTCTGCCGTCTCCAGGCCGAAGAGGTACGTATTCTTGCTTTTTTACATTACAAAAAGCACGCGGCGATATTTCCGTTCTGGTTGAAATGTCCTTTGGAGATCCACCTCCCAGCCATCGTGGTGTGCAGGGTGAGTTCACGATGGTTTGCACATGTCAACAACACATCCCACGCCCAAAGTGGGGGTCTCATGCGGCTGGAGATGCGTTGTCGTTTTTGACGGCCATCTTCATCACGATTGGAAGGTCATAGTCGTCCTGGATGGTCGTTGACGTGCCTCTTCTGCCAGTATGTTCTGGGATGTTGGGGACCAGGGAAGCTCGCGACTCAACTTTGGTAGAGCCACTGGCTGCGTCCGAACTTATCATGTACTCAGACTCCTTCTCTTTCATTGTGCTCAATGACAAGATATGGCAACCCTCTTGCCTCATTCTCTTCTGCTCTACTTCTGACTTTTGTTGGGACCGGATGCCCCCCGCAGGACGAGGAAGCCCTGTCGGTGCACCCACGGACATGTCCTCGCGCAGACTCTCGACTGACGTGCTATCCGACGATGACGTCCGATGTTGCAGTCAAATGGAGCCTATAGTATCACATCCACGATCATGTCCTGACCAAAGAAATGAAGCAGTGTATCCTGAGATTCTGTTGTCGAGAAGCCTTCTTACATCGCCGAGTCTGCTGTCCACCACCGTTCAAGCGGGTAGCCCAGCATCAACTCATGTAATGAACTTTGTGTTGGGCTGTCAGAAGAAAGCTCAGCCCAAAGATCTGAGCTTCAGATCCGGCGGCTGACAGAATCAGCCCTAAGAAGCTTACTCACATTTACATGATCCAAGCTAGCCGTCTTCCCGGTTAAGCTTGATTCGTAGTCTGGAGCTTAGACACCAATACCCGCTTTCATGTTAGATCTAGGCCGTGACTTTCTCGCAATGGCCTGCCACTTAAACCAGGCACACCACATATTGCCTTAGCTTCCCACACTTCGCGGTAGCCTGAAGCTATTCACATGGTGTTGGATCTTAAGAGCCCGTCAGCCCACAACCCACGACGCAACGACCCACTCGTGGACCCTGGCAAACCTTCAGCGTTCTTCAAGCAACACCGCATTATTGGAAGCAAATGCTTCTTATTCGTGCGTGAGTTTACGACTGGAGCCTTTCAGGGGTCTACGTTCGGTTAAGTGCTTACCTTAGGTCTGACTGTACCCTCAGATTTTATGGATTATGAATACAGGAGCAGAGAATTGTTGATTTGTCAACTCGGACTTTGATCTTATATAAAATTACCACAAGACCCTGTGATCTTAATCACGAAGATTCCCACTGAGCCCATCCCGCAAGCAATCTTCCACAAGCATTTTCCCGAGGACAACTGCTATCTACCAACTCGATTTCAAGACGTTCAACAACCTCGCCATATAACCCACAACTATGTCTTCCAAGCCCGTCATCGTGCTTACGCCCGGAGCATGGCACTCTCCGGAATGCTTCAAGGTGATCCGGGAGGAGCTGCATCGGAGAGGATGGGAAACCAGAGCCACGACGAATGTGTCGGTCGGTTCCGAGCCTCCGACGAAGGGCATGTATGACGATGCCGCCTCCGCTCGTGCGGTCATAGAGGAGCTCGCGGACCAGGGCAGACAAGTTGTCCTCGTCGCGCATTCGTACGGCGGCGTCGTCGGTGCCGAGGCCGTGAAGGGTCTCGGATACAAGCAGCGCGCCGCAGAGGGCAATACCGGCGGCGTCATTGTGATGCTGTACGTGGCTGCGTTCGTTGCTCCGGTTGGAGCCAGTATCTGGAACTTGACCAGGAACGAGAAACAGTCGTGGATGAGAATCGAGGTAGGATCCCGAGCTTGTCCCGAAGACAAACTCTCTGATAGAACTCTGAAATTTCTAACCTCAAAAATTTCAGGACGGCAAGATCCTCGTCGAGAATCCCGAGGAGGTGTTCTACGCGGACGTCGCCCCTGAAATCACGGCCAGCTGCCTTGAGATTCTCCAGCACACAACCACCAAGTCCTTCGAGGAGGGCGTGACGTACGAGCCGTGGCACGACATTCCCTGCGCATACCTCGCCTGCGAGGACGACCAGGCGATCCCGTTCTTTGCTCAGGAGATGATGTCGCAGGCGTTGGGACCGGATGCGCTGAAGGTTACTTTTAAGTCTTCGCACTCGCCGTTTTTATCGCAGGTCTCGGAGACGGCTGATGTTATTGAGCGGGTTGTGAAGAACGGGCTTGAGGCCATCGAGGCCAAGGTATAGGACATAACAGTATGATGTCTCTGTTCCTTGGAGAATGGCATTTAGCGGTAGTCAGCCTCAAAGCCTATTGATGGTATTGGAAAGGTATATGTCGTCTTATACCTCCTTAACAGCTTCTGGGCAAGTCAATACAAGCGGAAGAAGCTACTCAAAGATTACAAGTATTCAGTATCAATTCAAATCTTGTTTCCCAATGTCACTGCTTCCACCGGAAAAACTTGCTGAATCGAGCAACGCCGGAGCTCCTCACACACCCGCCGGAACAGTTAGACAAGCCTATTGATTCAGATATTCGGTGATTCGAAACTTGGCCACAGGCTCAAATGGGTCGAAGTTTCTATGATCATAATACGGAGGAATTGAGGGGGCGGGGTGCCTCCTTAACGCAACTCCGACTTCTTCCTGGGAGTGCTGATCATACACGGTGAGGATCCTTTCCGGCGGGAATATGTATCTTGCTCGATTATTTAAATACGTTTTTATCATGCTTTGAATTACAATCTTTCGTTGGAAATCATCCAAATGTAAGTTAATTTTGAGACTGGTTATTCTCAGTAACCTGTGCAAACCCAAGCAAGACTTTCGTCGACCACAGAAATGTATCCAACACTACCTAAAGACTTCATCTGGGGCTTCGGCACCGCAAGCTACCAAGTCGAGGGTGCCGTCGAAGAAGATAGAAGAGGTCTTTCTACCTGGGACGTCTTCTGCGAGAAGTCCGGCAAAATTGCAGACGGTTCTTCCGGAGAGTTCGCCTGCGACACTTATCATCGGACCACAGAAGATATCGCCCTGCTCAAGTCTTACAACGTCAAAGCCTACAGGTTTTCTGTTTCTTGGTAAGCATTGATGGCAACAAGTACGGAATTTCCGAACAAACGTTCATCTGAATCACAGGTCAAGAGTCATTCCGTCGGGAGGCCGCGACGACCCCGTCAACGAAAAGGGGTTGCGATACTACATTGATCTCGTCGACCAACTCGTCGCAGCCGGTATCCAGCCCGTCGTCACGCTTCATCAGTGGGATCCTCCGCAAGCCCTTCACGAAAGATACGGAGGCCCCTTGAACAAGCATGAATTCGTCGCCGACTTTGCCCGCTATGCCAGGCTCATGTTCACCTCGCTCGGGTCCAAGGTCAAGATCTGGATGACCATCACTGAGCCACTGCAGATAGCCATCAACGGCTACAACAAGGGCATACATGCGCCTGGCAGGTCCAGTGACAGATCTGTCTCGGAAGAAGGAGACAGTAGTCGCGAGTGCTGGATCGTGGGTCACAGCCTGCTCTTGGCGCATGCGACGGCTGTCAAGATCTACAGGGAAGAGTTCCAAGAAGAGGACGGTGGTGAGATAGGCATCACTCTCTATGGTTCGTGATATTATTCACTGGTGAGGCAAACGTTTGAGCCAGAGAAGCTGACTACCCTCCAGGTGAATGGGGCGAACCTTGGGACTCCGATGACGAACGGGATCACCATGCCAGAGACCGCTTTCTCGACTTTGGCCTGCCGTGGTTCGCCGACCCTATATACCACGGCCATTATCCGCAGTCGATGAGAGACCAGCTAGGAAACCGTTTGCCTTCCTTCACACCCGAAGAGGTCGACCTCGTCAAGGGAAGCAACGACTTCTTCGGCCTCGACTACTACACCTCCGCTTTCGTGAAGCACCGAGACGCTCCGCCTACCCCTGAAGACTACAGCGGGAATGTTGAACGGCTCCAGGAGAACAGCAAGGGAGAGTCCATTGGTCCCGAGACGGAGAGTCCCTGGCTGCGGTCTCATCCGGATGGTCTCCGGAAGCTTTTGAACTTCATCAGCGACAGGTACGGTCACTGCAAGATCTATGTGGCTGAGAATGGGACCAGCGTCAAGGGGGAGGATGATTTGCCGTTGGAGGAAGCGTTGGAGGACGACTTCAGGTGCGAATTTTACCGTGCGCACGTTGACGCGCTTGTGAAGGCGAGGGTGGAGGATAGCGTTGATGTGAGGATGTATATGGCTTGGAGCTTTCTGGACAACTTTGAGTGGGCTGACGGGTATCGGGTCCGGTTTGGAGTGACGTATGTTGACTTCAAGAACGGGAGGACGAGGTACCCCAAGAAGAGCGCCAAGGTTCTGCGAGAGCTCTTCGCAGGACTTTTAGCTGGTGGCTCCAGCAACGACTAGAAGATAGAGCTCAGTATCACACGCGGTTGACGTATTATGCATTCAGATGCTAGCTCATGGAAGAAGCCCTTCATGATATTGCCTGATACCGCTGCTTGTCGCTTTGTTGAGGGCCTCGAGATATGGGTCATAGATCTCTATGGACTTGATGTCTAGCTTTATTTTTCTCCCTTCATCGATATCTTTCTGGGTTTACTGAGTACAGATTTGTAGGCCAACTTCCATTCAGTAGTCCTTGTCTGACAGAACGCTTATTCCCAATTTATCCGATTCCTATGTTCGTGCGGTGAACCCGGGTGTCACCAGTGTTCACGCAGAATAAGTCCAGGGTTCTCACGCCGTTGAAACGTCAAGCCGCAGACCACTCGTGGTAGCATCGGCTACACTTGTTGTGGGAGAGACGCCAGACCTCCGGGAGTCAAGCTCCACACCGGACCCTGTGGAGTCTTGAGCCCGGACAACGCCGTGGTGACGGGGCTTCAGCCGTTGTAGATAATGGCCCAAGCCCTTCAACGGAGGGCGATGGAAGGCTTCTTGAATGTTCTCCAATGACCGGCCGCGCGTCTCAGGCATGTAAGCTGCGAGAACGGCGGTTGTTCCAAAGGCCAGACCGCCAAAGAGGAAGTACGCTCCGAACGCGGACTTGTCGAGGAGAATGGGCGTAATCATAGCAACAAGCCAGTTGCAGAGCTAGGTTCGTTTATTAGTAAGACCCGGTCGAACTGTGTCACAAGGATTGGGACCTACAAAGCTAACGCCAGTGGCGAGGCAGTTTGCCGCGGCTCGAGTGTTGCCTGGCTGGATCTCGCTCGCATATATCTTGCCGACAATGCCCCACGTTGCGCAGTATGTAAGGCCAAACGTGAAGACAGACACGATGACGATCCATCGGGCAGCGCCGTAGGGGTGGACAACCCCAGCCGCGTACAATATGCCCATCAAGAGCATGCAGCTTGTGAGACCTACTCCTCCCGAGATGGCCGAAGTTCGTCGACCCCACTTGTCAGCGAACAAGAATGCAGGGACGGAAATGGCCAGCATTAGAATCGCGGATAGCCCCGAGGCCAAGAAGGCAGCCGTTTCCCCGGGAAGTCCAGCTCGTGAGAACAAAATGGGTGCGTACTGTATAGGTAGTCTTAGCATGTGACTGGAGAATGGTGATGGGGTAGTCTTACGTATATAACGCCATCAATTCCAGACAGTTGAACCATTCCGAGGATGAAGAGAGCCAAGACCGTTCTCGCGCGATAGCCTCTTCTGAACAAGAGTGTGAAGCTTTGCCAATGCGACAAACTTAGGCGCTGCTCTGATTGTGATGAGGATAGGAAGTCTCTCTCAGCTTCGGCCGTGGAGAACTCGAGCCTCTCCAGAGCACGCATAGCATCCGCTCTTCTACCATGAAGCAGCAGCCATCTCGGTGACTCGGGTAGGACGAGGCAGGTCAGGCTGAACATGACAGCACAGACGCCCTGGACAACGTATGGCAATCGCCATGCCAAGCTCGAGTCAACGTAGACGGTGCCGTACGCGACAAAGTAACCAAGGCAGACCCCCGCCGTCGACATGAATTGCGGCAGCCCAGCCAGCGTTCCTCTTGATTTGGCGGGGGCAATCTCACAGATGTAGACACTCATGTTGCCCAAGAACACACCCTCGCCGAGACCCGCCAGGGCCCGGCCGAAGAGGAAGTGAGGTAGAGTATAGGCGCTTCCTTGCAGCAGCACTCCGATTCCGAATAGAACAGCGCCGGCGAGGTTCATTTTCAACCGACCGAACTTGTCTGCGAGATGACCCGTGAGCATGGACGGGACCGCGCCCGTCAGCATGATGAGCGAGACGGTGAAACCGACAAGAAAGGGACTCAGGGAGCCGATTGACTTCTCGAACTGGGACATTGCCATGATGGCACCGATGGAACCGGTGTCGAGGCCATTCGCCAGCCCACCGAGTGAGATGGACACTGAGGCGATGACATATTTCGGGATGTGCTTTCGGAACATTGCTGGAAACAGCAAACAACAACTTGTTTCCCAATAATTTTAGTTGTTGGAACCAAGTTCGAGTGACCCAGTAGACAGGACAAAAACCCGCCTCTTTATACCATGCAAGTTGGTTTGCTAGCCATGTGCAGACTTCTGCAAGGCAAATGCAGTGTATGCGACTCGGTTCACTTGAATGGCCGATATGCCAGTACCCCGCAGGTCAACGGGCGTTTTCTAGAAGAACCGAAGTCCCATCAGCCATTGAAATGGTGGTCAGAAAGGCTCTCCAAGCCAGCAGCCACCGCCGATCTGGAGGGTTATCATGCAGGATCGAGATGGGGGTTGACAGCTTGGTAAGCGTCGGTGAGCCTCGGTGAAGCTCCTCCACATTGCGTATCCCACGCCTGTATGGAACATCTTTTGCGCCTGTTGTTACTCCAGCTCAATACCTGAGACATGGCAGACTGTGTTAAATCCAGGAGCGGTTTCAGTTCTGGAAAGACTGGGCATCATTCAACAGCTTCAATCGTCGTTGACGAGTCAAAATTAGATTGAAATTAAGTTGTTGCACATAGCAAATGATTACCCAACGCTAATTAATTGAGTGGACGTCATCCAGCAGAGGTACGTAAGATCTCATCTGCACGGACCATGTGCCACGATAAGATAAGCCGGGGGACAATTCTACTCCTGAACTGGACACGGCGCAGTCTCTCTCCCTCAGCTCGGAGTTGAAGCCCTCGTGATACACTTCCCACCGAGGAGAACCATTTTTTTTTCAAGACGTATGAAGTTTTCTTGAGTTCCCGTCGTTCCTTTTGATCTACTTTTGGCTCCCTAGAGCCCGCCCTTCCTTCCCGTTTTTCGATGCCTTTTCTCTTTCTCACCAAACGCCATGGACGGTGATCCGAAAGTCGAGTCGGAGCTCGACTCCTTCAGCTTGACTTTTCCTCTTCCCTATCGCATTGGCTTCATTATTGTACTGGGTAGGTCGCCAACAAACCGTGATCAAGAAACGAAGCTGATAATAGGATAGCCGTTTGGGGCTGGGGTGCCAACCTCCACTACCTTCACAAGGTCAAAATCGACGTGCCGACCTTGATTCGATACCCTACTCGATCCTCCCCGACAGAAGCGGCGCACCACCTCTCGACGTACCGCCTTGCGACCGTCCTCTCCACCGTCTTCTTCCTCTCGATCTCGACGTTCTGGATCTTCACCCGCCACACCCCCTCCCTCGTCATCGAGTATGACTGGCTACCGATGACCTACTTCGTCGCCCTCGCAGCCATATTCTTCGTTCCGATTCGCAGCTTCTCCCACGGCGGACGGTCGCGGTTTCTCGCGACACTGAAGCGCGTGAGCATCGGAGGCCTGGCGCAAGCTCAGGATGGCAAGTTTGGGGACATCCTGCTTGCCGATGTGTTGACGAGTTACTCGAAGATCTTGGGAGACCTCTACGTCGTCCTCTGCATGTTCTTCACCCCGTCTGGTTCGTCTACCGCACGACCAGACCGCAACTGCGGTGGCACGGTTCTTGTACCCCTCATCATGGCTGTACCTTTCGCCATCCGATTCCGCCAGTGTATCATCGAATATCTGCGAGTACGAAACGCGCCCTACAAGGAGTCGGTCGGTTGGGGAGGACAGCATCTGGCCAACGCTGGCAAGTATGCGACGGCGTTCCCCGTCATTATACTCAGCGCACTGCAAAGAAGTGTGCCGACCGACAAACCCGCGCCCGGCCTGAACAGAGCGTGGTTGGTCGCAGTGATGGTCAATTCTTTCTACTCGTGGTACTGGGATGTGGCCAAGGATTGGGACTTGACGCTCTTCTCATCGGCGCGCGAACGTAACAACCCTGAACATCCTTTTGGACTGCGCCGACGACTCGTATTCCAGCAGCCTATCATCTACTACGGCGTCATTGTGATGGACTTGATGCTACGATGCACGTGGACTGTCAAGCTGAGTGCGAACTTGGACAAGTTCACAGATTTTGAGAGCTCCATTTTCTTGCTTCAGTCTCTTGAGGTGTTCCGAAGATGGGTGTGGATCTTCTTCCGAGTCGAGACCGAATGGCTTAGGAACAACACGTCGGGACTCGCGGTTGATGACATCTTGCTGGGAGATTACCAGGGCAAGTACGATTCCGACGAAGATTAGGGGCCGGGCGAGCCCCTTTGATGAGAAAGATATTGTAATGTACGTGTGTGATTAGGGATGTCTGGAGTTATTGGCCTAGACGGAAGAGCGGTTAAAACCAGCGATCTGGTGCAGGTTCTGTTGGAGTTTGGCTCAATTGACTGAGTCTATAGATTTCTTCGACCAAATTCAATATGTCTACATATGGACATGTATGCCTTATGTTACATGGGGTATCTTCCTCTGAGCCTTTTTTACCGATGACTCCGGATATTGCAATGTTATCAATCCAAGCACCGGCCTTCTCTCACCTCAAGTCTCGCGTCACAACGACCATGACAGCCATGGGCGTCTTACTGTATTTGGCGCCTTCAACTTGTTTAAGCAGTATCCGTTGTAGTTGCTTCTTTTCCTGCCGTCGCACTCGCATCGGCACCCAATTCCACCATCCATTGGTGGAGAGTATGTAGCATTACCAAGTGCGTGTGAACCTGTCAGCTGGCCTTCGGGCGCATTGGCAGGACACTGGTAGACAATGTCATGTCTGTAGCCAAAGTCTTCGAAATGATGCACTTGGCTGGGGTCGAGAAGCATGCCAACGGCCAGCGAGTGTACAGCGGCGTCACCCCACTAAACGCAACATCAAATCCCTGTTAGCGATCTTGTCCGCTGCGACCTGGGCAATTTGCACTTTGCAGGGGTTTAGAGAGAGAAGCATGAGGAAGGGTAAGTTTCTCCCGCCTTCCAGTCTCAACTCATACTCCTTCCTGCCCACAAGTGCTTGGGAGGATTCTAACGTTCACTCGTCCACTTACCCTCTCGAAGTAAAATCCTCCCACGCTGTCCAGCACCTTGAAGAACGCTTGGTATCGTTTGCCGCGGAAAAAGTCAAGATCTGCTATTTCGAAATTACTCCAGTAATGGCAGCCGCTCCAAGAGTCGCCGTACCGATCGCGGTACGGTAGTAGGCTCATGAACGACCTCAGAGGATATGGCAGCCACGATGGCTCCATCATCGCGGTCCACAGCGACGTCGATGCGATATCGAATGCCTCCTTGAACTCAGCGGTGTGTCGGAACAGCGACGGCACCGTGGCCCATTCCTCCCAAAGAGAAATGGTGAAGCCATACACCTTGTTCCGCCGCGCCATCTCGACGAACGGGTCGTATGTTATCGAGCAGTAGAAATCGACATCCGGTTCGAGTCGCCAGTACCACTTGTACTTTCGAAGCACCTCAAGCTGGTAGAAGTTGCTGTCAACCTCCACGTCAGTTTTGTTTCCTCTAATGTCCCGAATAGCTTTACTGACCCTGAATAGAAGCGACACATGTGGTGATAACCTTCCGACCCAGCGTGCATTGTGCCACGCGCCCCTTGCTCGGCAATGCTCTCCTTTGCGGCGGTCTGATTGACCCACGCAGGGAACGTCCAATCTTCATGTGGTATCGTCTCGAACGTCACATCCCCGCTAGCTGTGCTCCCAAGCACCTCAATGAACCTGTCATCGAAGGGCTCGTCGTTGAGGAACACAATCGGATAGTGGAACCATCGGTTGAAGTGTCGCTCGAGAGATGCGACTGTATGGTTTGCTGCCTCAAGCTCGGAATTTCTCGCCAGCATCACGAGTACTCCGTTCTCGCGATCTCCACTCACGTCTGGCTCACGACATGATGTGTAGAAGGGCTCGTCTTGTTCTTCGGTTGGTACTGGCACCCTGAAGCTGCTGCAATGGTAGATCGACTCGAGCAAGCCCACAACAAGTAGCACCCAGACCCAGATTGGCAGGCGATAGGACGTTGGCCGTCGTCGCGGACTCACGTATCGGAGCATGTCCTTTTGTGGGAGGTCGTCAGCGGCTGCATGAGCTTGCTGTTCTCGATTCACGAGCGGACGGGAAATTGAAATCGAGAGGAATGCTTGAAATAAAGCTCTTTGCGCAGCCCAGTGTCAACCAGGGCCACGCAGCTCCGGTGTCTGGATCAAAAGCTACAAGACATACGTACACTATCGGGAGCTGGCGCACGCGGAATGTTATGCCACAAACGCGATCGACTGCAACGGCAAAGCCAATCTCTCCATTGCACATGGTGTAGCTCACGCCATCTCGACTTAGGAAAGCCTGAGGCAGGTCAGAGACAAGATTGACACCAATCTGGAACTTCGACTGTTCTGGTATGTCTAATCCGCATGATTGCCCAAGGGAGAGAATTGAACGGGGGAACTTACCCCTTGGCTAGCTTGGCGATCGTCTCAACGCCATCAGCTCTAACCATGCGATGGCATTGGCTCGTCCCTCTCCAATCTACCCAGTAGTTGACTGGCCATCGGTTTTCAACACGGGTGGCCACGTAACCAACCAAGGTGGAACTGACAGCTTATGCCACTCACAAAAAGGAGGCACTCTTGATCATGTTATTTCGCAATCTTGTTTTAGCCCTCGAGGGAAACCCGTACCGCGTCGTGGTCTCAACCAAGACAGGCCACTTATGATGGAGGGCCAAGGCAGTGAGTGGCTGGCCGTGAAGATAATCATTCAAAGATCCTAGACCATTTCGAATCTCCAAGAACTCACTGCTATGAATAATAGCTGGCCTGGGAAATTGTGGGCGAGTCGGCTGTCCAGACATGCGTCGGACGTGCTGCGCCTTGGACCATGTTCTCCGACATCCGCCTCTACCTAAACACTCAACCGAGACCCGCCAGCAGGAATACCAGGTTCAAGTCTCAGCTTGCGCAGTGGCTGTTCCACATTCCCAATCGGACACGTTATGAGGCGTATCAGTCACGTGGTCCGCCAAAGAGCTCACACGAGGATTCGTTCTTTGGCACGCCCGCCGCAGAAGCCACATCAGAGCTTGACACCTGCCACTCGTCTCAATTCCAGCCTCAGGGATGCCGCCTATCCACACTAAGCTCGCCCTACAGGATCAGTATGGCTTCAGCTAGATTACAAGCGCAAGTCGATCAGGGGGTTAGCCGGCGGAAGCTGAAGCAGGAAAAAGAAAACTCCACACATTTGTTCGCCAGCGGCTAGACTTAGACTGCGCATCCACCCAAAACCCAACATCAAGCAATCATCGATTTTCTAACCGGTGGATGACGGTCCTGACATCGATTTGGGACCACAATATGGTCCCCTGATTTCGGTGCAGAACATGCTGGGTGAGTTCCTATGTTGAGGGCACATCCGCTCAGCACGGCCCATGGGCTTGTCACCGAACCGCTCTGAAAGAAAACGTCACTAGTCGTTCGTAGCGAGCCGCCGAAGTTCGCGAAGAGGGAACAGCTGCGGTGCCAGCGTCCGCTTGCGGCTAGAGTGACGTGGTTTTCTCAACAACTCCAAAGAGGCTTGTCAGGCCATGTGCTATCGGCGATACTGAGTGCGTAGCCCGTACAGCTTCTCAACGGCTGTTCCGACCTTCAATGGTGCGTTCTTCCATCTGTCCGATCCGCCGCAGTTATTACAGAAAGAAGTTATCTAAGTTAGGTCGTTTGGTGTGTTTATTGTAGTTTGAAATAGTAATTAGGCTGAATAATTATAAAACGAACGCCTATATTTATAGTGATATATGAAGATGAACTGGTGCCCGGCTCTAAATGAGCTTTACGGCGGTTTACGAGTGCGAGGTTGTACAACACATTTACCATGAAATTAGCACTTTAGCCCGTGCTATCTCTTAATAGAAACCAGATGTCTTCTTATTGCTAAATTAAACACTTTAATACTAATGCAAGCTGACCCTAACCTGGCGCCATAACCAACTCGGCCACCCTTCCAATTGGAGCAGTTCAGTTCGCAGAGTCGACTTTTCGAAGCTTGCGCTTCGTTAGACTCTTGTTGTCTTCTCCATCTTGCTCCAGCGTGCCTTTCGAGCCTTGGGCATTGATTATGACATCGTTGGAGTATACCACGCCATCAAAGACCTCGTCAATTTCTTCCAACGTTCTGCCTTTAGTCTCAACAAACAAACAGTATATGGCGGCTAGAATCCCCAGGTTCCAACCACCATTTATCGCGTAGTACCGCCAGGAGATTCGTTCGATAGCTAAAGGAGCGGTGTAGAGATTAAGGAAGCTGAACGCGTAGCCGATGGCTTGGGCGACCACCACACCCTTCGCTCGCTGCGAGTACCGCAGTATTTCGGGAGGATAGGTGTATGCCAAGATCATCCTGCACTAGAGTTAGTAACAAACAAAAATGTCAAGGCCAAGACGCTATCTTACCAACTGGTAGAGACTGCAAGCAAGAAAAGTGCAACGACGACAATTGAACCAATGGCGTAAGAGTTGGTTTCTTGATGGACTTCCGTGAGGTAAGATAAGCCAGATAAGAGACCAAACAAAATCACAGTTGCTGATGTGCCGGCAACTGGAATCGCATGTTAGCTCTGCGAGAAGACTTTGTCGGTACTCTGAATACGTACGCAATGGCTTCCGCGCGCCGACCCGGTCGATGAGGAATACGCCAAGGATACTGCAAAAGGCCTTCCACAGCAGGAGAGCCATGTTGATAGTAATAATCGATCTTCTGCTGGAAACACCTAGGCTCGAGATGATGTACGACGAGAAGTACCTGAGCAGAAGGTGTGAGCCATTTTGTCCATGTTGCGAAGACGCCGAGGAACCTACAGAATCATGTTCCCTCCGAGTATTTGATAGAATATGTTTGTCAAAACAGCGATAGTGAATCGTTTCATGTTGGAGGCTGCAGAAAACGTCGGGTAAGCTAACATTTGGAGAATGTTGTTTGTGAACTGCTCACCGGGTGTAATGAGTTCGCACCATGCCCCTTGACCGTCCTTCTCCTGATTGAGAGAAGCTACAATCTCCTGCGCTTCGGCAAGTACATCAACGTTATGAACGTCCCCATCAGCATGCAGGCGGGCGAGAACCTCGGTCGCCTATGACTGGTTAGCAGTTGATATGGCTATGCATCTACTGAACCTGACCTCCTCAACGCGTCCTTTGGAAAATAACCATCGAGGGCTCTCATCAACGAATGGCAAGAGACAGAGTGAGAAGATGGAAGGGACTGCCTCGCCCTGGACATGAAAAGTCAGATATGCCAACTTAGTTGGGGAACTGTCGGGGACACTCACCAACATGATGCCTCTCCATACCCAGTTAGAATCCTTGTCGAAGATTCCTAGTACGATACAAGCAACCAAGAAAGATGTGAATGGCACAGAAACGAGTACCGTGCTAGAGCAGATGGTTCTGTGCTTTGGCGAAGCCAGCTCCATCACCCACATAGGGGCAATGGAGCCGTTGACTAACGAAGCGAATCCGATAATGAACCGACCGACAAGGAGTTGCGGCACTGTTTGACGCTGTTGTCAGTTCTCAATCTGAAAGCTTCTCGGCCAACGCCACGTACCACCTGATGCTGAAGCTTGTAGGATAACTCCAACAATGATGCAGATGGAGCCAGCGGCAAGGCCCATCTTCCGCCCCCAACGATCAACTGCCGGTCCCACCACCGGAGCTCCCAAGACCGAACCAGCGCTGATAATCGCAACGTTGAGACCTATCAGATCGCTGTTGAGGTTGAAGTCTGCATCGAGGCATTAGAAGAGCAACTCAGGTCAAGAAGGAGACCAACAATCATTGTACGGCTTGACCGCGTTCAAATTATTGATCATGCCGGCGTCATAAGAAATAATACAAATATTTAGCATGGCAACTAAAACAATGAGAATATGTGAAAAGACGGGCCCAAGACTAAGCACCGCCATGGTGAAATCGGGTTCAAGGCGGATAAGGTACTGGCTATGTGACAATGTGTTGATGATGCAACTATCTATGTCGCTGCCTCACCGAAACTGATAGCAATCCAGTTGAAGACTGACGACTTCTTGGACACGCCTGCGTTCAATTATATCTCGGTGAGCTGTGCGTTGGATAGATGCTCGCCTCAACCTCCGTGCGATAGCACTGCAACTATCTCGAGGCACTACCGGGATGAGATAAGACGCGTTGGGTTAGATCGCTGAATCTTGACCATCTGCTATCGCATATTTTCTCCGGGCCATTCCACTCCGACCAGAGTTGATTCAGGCAATGTCACAGTGACAGCACAGAATTGCATGGCGAGTCCAAATCGACGCGCGTGTTTCCCGAGCATGCCGAGCCCCTCGGAAAACTTCGGCCGGGCCTTTTGGAGGACGTCCCATCAAGTTTCATGTTGCCGCCAAGTCAACCCGAGATGTGAACGACATTTTCGGGCTATCCTGTTCACCAGCCGGGAAATGATGAGGGCTTCTGACTAGAGCATTATGGTATTTGCCACCGTTGCCCGTAAGAATACAGGTGCGCAAAGGCTGCGCCCTCTCAGTCGGCATGCACGCAAGGTTACCGACGGGTTTTGAGGACCAGTGACGCTAATAGAAAATGCAAGAGGATTGCAAATCGACTTCATTACGACTAAGGGCCTAACTGTTGGACAACTGTAGGAAATATTCATGTTTCAGTGTCAAGGACGAGATCTGCTGGACACAGAACTTTGGAGGATAGTCATTTGCAACGAAAGGCTACATGGGCTGAATTGAAGGCTCACCGCGTGAATATGTTCCACTGCATCTTCGGTATCCATATCATGCTTCCTCCCATGCGCTTTCTAAACTCTCATTGTGTTGAGTGCTGGGTATTACCGTATTGCACTTATATCGCGTTATGTGGAAAGTTGTTTTCAAGGTGTTGCTTGATACGAGCTTTTTTCTTTTTTCGTAGCTCGCGATGTCCTCACTTCTTCTAGCATGCTTCCTCTCGACAGGGTTAGGCTACTTTAAATTATTGTATTTCATGATAATAAAATTCCACTGGTGTATAGGTTTGGATTGAAGCAGCCGTGTTCACGAAGTCAACAGTACATATAATAAGATATATCGAAACGTTCTACTCTAATAATCCATGAGTCTCTGCACCAACTGAAACATCTACATCCACAGACAAGTTAAAATGAAAAGCATCACCAGTATCCGCCCGGGGGTGGAGGCACAGCTACGTCCTTCAGGTGTCCAGTCACCCCGTTCTTGATATCCTTCGCCACCTTGCCAAAGTTGTTCTTGGCGAAATCCAGCGGATCCCATGGCTTCAGCTTCGGGAACCTCTTCTGCGCCCATTCCTCCGGGGCCGCTTCGATGTCGTCCCAGGGAATCTTGTAAAATGCGTCGCGGTTCTTCTGGCCGCTTTCGTGTACCGCGTTGGAACGGTGAAATCGAATCCGCTGGGCAGCTTCTAAGGCCAGCTTGACGTCACCCTTGGACAACTCAAGACACTCGGCCACCGTCACGGCATCCTCGAGTGCTTGAGATGCTCCTTGACCAGCGGTTGGTAGGTTGGCGTGAGCTGCGTCTCCGATGAGGATGGTGCGGCCTCCTTTGCTGACCCAGTTGTCTATGGTTGGTCGGTAAACAAGTTTGAAATCGATGGTTTTACCAATTGGCGTCACATCGAGAAGCGCTTGGGCATCCTTTCCAGGAAAGTAGTCCATCCACTTGACTACATGCTCCCTTTCAGCAATGTTTGACCAAGATTCGGAGGATTCTTTGTCGTCCTGATGTTGTAAATCACGTCAGCAGTCTAGTCCATGCCAATCAAAGGAGTGGAAGCTGCTTACCGGATGAATCAATACCCAAGCAATGTCCTGACCCTTATTCCAGACAAATGCCATGAGGCTCAAGTTGTCATACATCCAGAACCTCACAGTATCCCTGTCCTCGCGGTAGAGATCCTTCAATCCAGGGTGGCTTCTCATGGCCTCGTCGGTTTTGAAGAAGCTTCTGAACACAGCCCATCCACTACTGGTGCCATCTATCTTCTCATCGTCCAGTTGCAGAACCTGTGCACGAGCAATAGACCGAGGGCCGTCGGCTGCTATGACACAATCGGCCCACAATGTTTTTCCCGTGGACAGCCTCACACCAGCACGACGATCCTCCTCCAGGTATTCGCTGACAGCGACGCCGATTCTGATGTCCTTGACAAGAGTCTTCGCATAGCTCAGGAAAATAGAGTGGATCTTGCCACGGTGACCGGCATATGTAATGTTGTGCTCTTTTTCATCTCTTGCCCACGGAACGTTGACGATGAATTTGCCGTCGAATTTGTGGAGCTCCATGGTTCGGATGCGACTACATCCAGTGTCGTGAATCTGCTGGCCAATCTTGCCATCATCCCAACGATGAATGATTCGTCCGGCATTCGGGAAAAAGTCCAGAATATCTTTGCATTATGAAACTTTTGTTATAATGTGAGAAAAGGGCGTGGCGAAGGAGCTGACTTACCTCCTTGGCTGTTGGAGTCAGGATACTTCTCAATGACGGTAACATTCATGCCGCGTTGAGCACATTCGATAGCGGCACCAAGCCCGCCAAAGCCGGCACCAACAATGATCACTTCCAACTTGCTGTTAACTGTCATATTGTTCGTGGGTATTGGATCTGTGTAGAGTCGAGATGAGTGAGGTAGTTCCACCTTCGATAGCGTTGGATCTTACGCTTGAATGATCAAGGGATACAAGAATTCTCTTTTTCACGCCGGCCATAAGGCCATATTTGCCTATCTAGACACGGTTCTGTAAAGACGCCAAGCCTGGCTTACTCCGGAAAAGAAGGAAGGTTGTGGCCGAGGTCCAATTTGCTCTTCTTTCGGGATCCCCCCCGAAAAGCCGAGCATGCAGCCTAGCAGGCACTTGGCGCCATCCTTGTTGAATGTCAATGCCAATTTGCAGAAGTAACAGTTCGCTATGCCCAAAACCCGTCTTCTTATGGAATATAGCTTCAAGACCTAGTATTGTGCCATCATCCATCGACCTCCTTCCTACGCATCTTTGTCAAACCTCGATTCGAAGATACCGCCACATTCATGCCACCAAATCCAGCCACAGCGCCCGCTAGGATGTCAAATACCACTCCAAACCAGGATACAGAGATAGCTTCGTCTAAATCGACGGCTCATGTCACGAAGCACGTATCACGCTTTGAAACTCTGCAGGTGCATGCAGGTCAAACCCCTGACTCTGCGACGTTGGCTCGCGGTGTGCCGATATACCAAACCTACGTCTTCAACTTCCGCAGTTCAGCCCATGCTGCGAGACTTTTCAACCTAGAGGAAGAGGGCGAGATTGCCACACGCACTGGTAACCCTACCACCGCCGTTGTTGAGCGTCGGGTGGCGGCGCTTGAGGGCGGCGTCGCGGCTGTAGCAGTGTCATCCGGCCAGTCAGCAGTCTTCATGACTATGGTTGCCTTAGCCGGGCAAGGGGACAACATTGTAGCAACCAAGCATTATTATCATGGTGCTTACAACCAGTTCTCCTTCCTGCTGCCGGAGTTTGGTGTCGAGACCAGGGTGGTGGAGGAGACGGCCGAAGCCTTTCGAGCCGCCATTGACGGGCGCACGAAGGCCGTCTACATCGAAACTGTCGGGCATCCAAACTTCAATGTACCCGACATCCAAGCAATTGCAAAAGTAGCACACGATAACGGCGTGCCCCTTGTGGTTGAAAATACGGTCGGGTGTGCTTACTTCTGCCAACCCATCCAACACGGGGCCGATATCGTTGTTGCCAGCATGAGCAAATGGATTGGAGGCCACGGAAGCGCCACGGGTGGCATCATTGTCGACTCCGGAAACTTCGACTGGAAAAGCTCTACACGTTTTCCACAGTTCAACAAGCCCTGTCCGGGATTTCACGGACTGAACTTCTCTGAGAGGTTTGGCAGAGAAGCCTTCATTATGCGCATCAGAGGCCAGATTCTGCGGGACGTGGGCTCATGCCTCTCTCCATTTAACAGCCAGCAGTTCGTCCTGGGAATTGAGACGCTCAGCCTACGTTGCGAGAGACACGCACAGAATACCATTGCCCTGGCCAGGTGGCTGGAGAAGCACGACAACGTTCTCTGGGTTTCCTACCCTGGACTCCCTAGTCACCCGCACTACGACCTTGCTCAAAAGTATTTGCCCAGAGGAGCGGGCGCGGTGCTCATGTTTGGAGTTAAAGGTGGTGCGGACGCAGGAGAGCAGCTTGTTGACAATTTCAAAATGATCTCGAACAATCCAGGGTAAAATACTCCGCACTTTGTCTCTCACACATCGTTGCCCTGCTGACTTCTCCAGATACGGCGATGCCAAAACAACTGCGATGCACCCATGGTCTACTACACACAAGCCAATGTTAGCTCATGAAAAGATTGATCTGGGTGTTGCACCTGAGATGGTTCGAGTCTCCGTGGGGATTGAACACTTGGACGACATCACGTATGATATTGAACAGAGCATGCGGGCTAGCCCTGCCGTGGCAAAGGGCGATATATGATCAAGAGGCAATTGAATTAGGATTAACATAAATGATTTATCTGTTTTTTCATATAGACATTTTCCAAACCAAGCGGTGGCATTGTCTGACAAAAAATATAGTATCATGCTATAACGAAATTCATCTCTGTCACACATCATTGAGGGCGCCGACGGCTTCATGGTTTTTTCCCCGGCTATAAGGTTGTCACATGCCACCATATACACTGCAGAACCCGAGATCCCGTCCGCTCTTCCATAGATAAGCCGGTGAGGAATGGAGTGGTAGTCAGATCGTTGTATGTTTCTTGCTCTTTTTGTGTCTCGAAGGCGGACTGTTGCTTAACATCAACCGGCCAGAGGAGAAGGTCAAACGACTTGCAGTGGGAAAAGTAATCTTAAATTTCCAACCATGTAGAGACCACCTCTGTAACATCTTGATCCAAATCGTTATTCCAAATCCAGTTCATCCTACTCTGCAGGTTCTCTTTGATCTTTTCAAGATCATCCCCAGCCGCTTCAAAATGCCATAGATGTCCAGCCTCTCTGCTTGTAGATACTACTCTTTGGGTGCGGTCTACTCTAGCAGCACTGAATGCCGCAAAAGCCGCGGGCAAATCGCCTGCTTTCTCAACGTGTCGAAGGATCCTTCCCAGGACGTATGCGTCCTCTACTGCCATACCGGCGCCTGCTCCCTGAAAAGGGGTAGAAGCATGTGCAGCATCTCCGAGGAGACACAGTCGACCTTTGTGATAGGCACTGGTAGGTGGCATGTCGAAAAGGGCCCAAATGTCTGACTGCCCCATTAGCCGGACGATGTTAAGCACATCCTCGCCCCAGCCATCGAAGCTATTCAACATCTCTGTCTTGGTGGCTGGAATAACCATGGTGTTGTGTTTCCATTCTTGGCGTGACTGGAATGCGACAACGTTCATCATCCTACCTCCTGCCACCGGAAATGTGAGCATGTGGCCGTGGTACCCAAGGTAGGCTTGACAGTTCTTCGCCTTCTCTTCGCCGAGAAGCTCCACTGCCTTATCCATTGGTACCATGCCCCTATAACAGTATTTGCCGGTGTAAGCTGGTTTGGCGAAGGCGTGGTCCTTATCGAAGATGACACTCCGGACTCGACTCTTGATACCATCACACCCAATGGCGGCACTATGGTGGGCTGTCGATCCATCCGCAAATCTGAGAACAACACCTCCTTTCTCCTTATCCTCAACATCAACGACAGTCTTTCCGAATTCCGCGATTCCCGGTGGAAGAAGCTTTTCCAACTCTTCAACGAGATGAGAGCGATTGACCATCCAGCTGCCGGGGTCGGGATGCTCAATTGAGCAGAGATAAGCTCCGGCAACAACACCACGAGCCTTCGCTGCTACATCGGGACCGTCCATGCCAACTCGGAAATCAAACCAAGTGTTTCGTTTCTCTTTGAAAATGTTTTTGTTCGCGCGGGCTTCAACTGCAGAAGCCAACGGCTTTGAAATTTGCCGAAGCGCTCTTACTACATTCGGCCCAAAGGCGACACCTGCACCAACTTCACCGAACATCGGGGCATTTTCGTATATGGTGACTGGAATACTGGTTTCGCTGGTAATACAGAGAGCCAAGCAAAGGCCGCCGATACCGCCACCGACAATTGCGAGATTGAAGTCGCTTGAGGTCATGTCGTTCAAAGTAATCGTGAATTGGTGGGTTGAGATTGGGTGTTCAGGGTTCATAGTTGGCCAGCACGAGCAGTCTTGCTTGAAGGCCTGATAAAGGACGGAAGTTTGATCTCTTGGCTCGGTAAACGCTATTCGGAAAATGATGGAAAGTATACGGCGTTCGCTATTGGTATTCTTAGATCAGATAACGCATCATGTATCCCATCAACATGTGTCCATTCCGATACTTGGGCATGGCCATGCCGCGAAAGTGAGAAGACCGATTCGCCCGAGGGCAGGTTGCACTCATCGGCCGAAAGTCCGCTTCTTAGTACACACACCGGCGTACACCGACCACTCACAGCGTTGGGTGTGTTTGACGACTTTTTGGCATCAATGCTACATCCCTTTCATGGAACTGACGGAAGACTCTGAATCATGTTACTCTGATCTTTTACCAGCATCTGACTCACTCACCTTCCAATCTTCGACGCAGGATCAAGACACTGCAGCTTTCGATGGCTTCAATGGCGGTTGAATTTGAGATTTACTACTCTATCGTGTGGGCAAAGCTGCAGCAAAATGCCATCACTGTGGCAGGATGGACTTTGCTTAGCGCCGTGACCTTAGCAGCCTTGCTGATTTGGTCTCTGGCGGTGGGCAGCAAGATGCCAAAGCTTCCGATTGCGATGGGAGACGAATTACCGAATCAACAGGAAAGAATCGACATGTTCATAAAAGACACCCGGAACTTGTTGATCAGCAGCTACAACAAGGTGAAGCGAGCTTCTTGTCGGCGACAGCAATCCAAAGCTGACAGTTCAACCACATTAGTTTCGAAACCAGGTTTTTGGAATAACAACAACAGAAGGCTGGTTCGACCATAATCGATCACTATCATGCATCTATTCTAACCGAGGCCTAGGCACCAACATCATGATCCCCCTCGACCTTCTCCCTGGGCTCGGAAGCACGAAGTCGTTAAGTTTCGCAGCGTTTCTTGAGGAAGAGGTTAGTGTTACAATTACTTTGAAGACCATTGTGTTCTGACTAGCCAAAGTTCAGCATGAAAAGGTACACCAAAGTCGGGAACCTTGACGAAAAGCAGATTGTCATCTTAAACAAAAAGCTCAACCCTAGTCTAAGTGAGTTGGAACGAACCACACTGTTAAAGAGGATCAAGTCGGGCTGATCTGAAGTTTCCTAGATGAATACGTTCCGGTGTTTGTCAATCTTATCAGACACCACTGGCCTTTGGATGACTATGACGGTAGGTGAAATAAAAGAGCGACCGATATCAGCAACAGTGCAGTGGGTATAGCTTAATGGACACTACAACAATACTGATTCTTTTGCAATAACGTCTGAACACAACTGTACTAATCATTATTGAAAACAGGCCCTGTCGCAGTCAAGCCCTGGTCGCATGTGATGCGTCAAGTATCGCGCGTTTCTGCTCGAATCTTTCACAGTTCTGACGCAGCCGAAGATGACCATTGGCTGGATATTGCCAGTGAACATGTTCACTCCACGGTCGTATGGACAGAGAACCTTAAAAGGTGGCCTGCGATACTTCGTCCCTGGATCTATCGATTCGTTCAAGGTCGAGGAATAATGACGCAGCGCTTTAGCGAAGGTGAAGCTGTGGTAGCTCAAACGCTCAGAAAGAGGAAGGAGAGGAAGGGCGGCCATCTAAGCAATCCTCCCTCGCTTCTGGATTACCTTGCCGATGGTGAACTGGGTGGGGACGATGTCGAAGCACACACTGTCGCGCAGATCAACCTCTGTGTCGCTGCCATCCAGTCCATGGCCTCGACAGTGACTCAATGTCTCATGGACCTTGCGACGTATCCACAGTATCTGCCCGAGCTTCGTGAAGAGATCACCTCAATGCTTTCTCAGAAGAATGGAGTCCTTGACAGACAATCTCTGGCAGATATGATGAAGTTGGACAGTTTCATCAAAGAGACCCAGAGATTGAATCCTCCAGATCTCGGTGAGTGCTCACCTGCATGATGGAGGCTCGAGACGAGTTTTGGTTTAGTAACATACGATTCTACCCGCAGCAAGCTTCCAGCGCAAGGTTATGTCGGACATCACTTTGGCGAATGGTCTTCGAATCCCAAAAGGAGCGCGGATCGCTCTGCCGACGGGGGCAATCAACATGGACAGCCAGTTCTTCGAAGACCCGGAAACCTTTGATGGCTTCCGGTACTACAGGCTCCGAATGGAGAGTGAGGAGGCCCGGAAAAGCAGCCAGATGGTGACAGTGGGAAAGAAAGATTTGACATGGGGCTACGGCAGGCACGCCTGTCCGGGTCGGTATATTGCTGAGGTAGCTATGAAGCTGCTCATCATCGAGTACATCGTGCGTTATGACATCAGTCTTCCCGATGGCATCAAAGAGCGTCCGAAGAACATCGAATTCGAAGGGCTGGTAAGTTTCTAATTACCTTGATAGTTATTTTACTTGCTAATATACGGCAGGTCATACCAGACCCTAATTGGGAGCTGGTTTTCCAAAGTCGGTAAATGCACGGGCGGCGGAAGGCGAGGTTCGACTGAACTATTCTTCGCGGAAACGAGGAAGGACTTATCCTATGCAGATGGAAGTGCGTGATATTTACCGGGTTGAAAAGCCGCATTATTCTAGATAAAGCGGAAACAATGAGACTTTGATATTGGCCGTAACCGCTTACACCACAAGACCCCATCACATCTGCAAACAGTAACTATGACATCGAAAGAATGGCATGGTAGATAACTATGGCGTTCAGTCATCACTTTCAAACAGATTTGAAGATTACGAATTGGCTACCAAATCCAAGATGTGAGATTTACAAGTCTACCTGCCCGAGAGGCGCGCAACAGTCCATGACATCTCACGTGACGATTGGGCTTCTATCTATTTCATGGAAACACCACCATTCACAAACATGTATTCGCCATTGATGTACCTGGAGCGTTCTTCAGCCAAGAATGCCACTGACCATGCGACATCTTCAACAGATGCTGCACCACCCTCCACGGGCGTCTGCCGAATCAGAGCTTCTCTTATCGTCTCCCATTCATCAGGAGTAAAATGATCCAGAAAGCTTTCCGTAAGTACTGGACCGGGCGCCACCACGTTGACCGTACAGCCATACTTGGGCGGTAGCTCCTGTGCCCAAACCCGCGAAATGGCATCGAGAGCGCCTTTCGTAGCTGCATAGATACCCTGCGTCGGCTTTGGCACTCGCGATGCGACTGACCCCACCATAATGATCCTAGAGCCGCCAATCGTGCCTGACATATTTGGAGGCTCCGAGGGATGGTAGGGTGTAAGATGTGGTAGGGCGGCTTGGACCAGAGCGAAAGCCCCGCGGGCGTTCAGATTCATTGCTTGATCCCATGCACTTAACTCGGCGTCCCACACATACGCAATAGGAACTAAGCCCGCGTTGCTGATAAGGATATCGATGTGCCCAAATCTCTCAACAGCCTGGCGGACAAGTTCGGCAGGCCCATCGCCCGACGCGATATCTGCAAGAACAGCGATCCATTCAGTGTCGAGTTTCGATCCGACGTTCTCGCATTCATCCTTCAGCGATGCCGAAGAATAGTTGAGAACGATGTTTGCACCCCGAGCTGATAGCTCCGTAGCAATACCGGCTCCAATGCCCCTCGAGGAACCCGAAATTACTGCTGTTTTGCCATGCATGCTTCCTCGAGGCTGAAGAATCTCGACCATGGCCGTGAGGAGACCACAAAGGTGGTCAATTGTGATGGAGGCGATGCAGATGACGGTGGTGTTTGGGGTGGAGGGATGGATGATAGCTTTGATCTAACTGAAGCCACGGTAATAATTAGATTGAGAAGATGAAACATAGAGAAGTTTAAACATTGAAACTAGAGCCGGAGTTCCATCTCATTTTATTGTTACGTGCATGTTCTGATGTATGTTTTGCCGTCACTGAGTCGACTCTTACACATCCCGCAGGATCTCAAGCTCGGCAAATTATCGCCGAACACCACCGAAACGCACTGAAGCCATGTGCCTCTGCACAATCTTAGAGTACCGCCTTCTTGGTAATCAGACGCAAATTTTACTATTCAATGCAAATAATAGCTATCTTTTCCCTTTCGGCTATCTGGCCCCTATTGGCCCTGTGCGGTTCCAGCCCGGGAGACAATTCGGAGGACAATGATCACGCCTCAATTGGCATCTCGGGAGCGTTCTTCAGACCTGGAAGGTCCTCATACTTCTTTGTGAAAAAGGCACGCGGGATATCTGGGCCCCAGCTCGAGACCGTGGCCGCAACCGCCGGTTCATTGCTGTGTTTGGAATCCTCATTGACCAAGTCCCCATCAACATAATGTTCAACTACAAACCCAGAAGGATCAAACCTGAAGAATAATTAGCAACTGACGCTTTCACTCCATTATCGCTGCGCCTATTTTCTCACCAATAATCAAAGATCTGACTGCCAAGAACATGTCGTCCGACGCCAAAGACGTTGATATGGCCTTGGCGAATGAGATAGTGATGTCCAACCACTTGACTATCGACATCATCAACTTCGAAGCTGCTGTGGTGCGCTTTGATTCCGTCGGTGACCTCTGGAGATCCTGCGATGAAGATGTTCTAGGAACGTACCCGTTCATTAGCAATCTCAAAAGGCTCGGGCGGTGGTGGTGACGAACATGATGGTCTACAAACTCTTTGCCCTTGTCGAGGTGGATGAAAATCATGATCGTCTTGTTGTTTTGGGGGTGGTACAGGCAGTCCGTCTTCTTGAGGTTGAAGGTTTTGCTGTACCAGTCGAACACTTCGTGAAGTCTATCGACATTCACTTCGAACCCGTAGTGACCTAGCTTGTGGACCTTCGACGGCTGGTCCCTGTCCGGTCGCTGGAACTCTCCGAGCCGTCGCTTGTCTTCCCAAGTGTTCCACATCACCGGTTTTGGTACCTCCCTTGGCTCTGGGACCCGGTCCTGCTGCCCGTAAATGAGAGTGATCTCCTCCCCAACAAGATCCTTCAAGATCACCACTTTCCCTCCGCCTGGGGCATCGTAATCAGTTATGGGCGTGGATCCCGGAAGCCTGGCCGCTTTCTCCAGCTCAGACATAGACTGCACAATCCAGGCCCCTCCTCTGAACTTTCTCTTCCCATCGCTGGTCTTCTCCGCCACGTAACAAAATTGATCAATACCAAAACCACGGAAGTAAATTTTGGTTTCCGTCTCGTGCACAGGCGTCAGGCCGAAGTCGATGAAGAACTCCTTAGCTTTCTGCAGATCGGGGTGACCGTATCGCACATGCGACAATCGATCAAGAAGGATTCTGGGGTCCATTGCAGGTGGTATAACTGGTAAAATGATATCAGAATTCCCGGGGCGCAACCAAAGCAGCCTGGACAAGGTACGGTTAAGAACAACGAAAAAATCGTGATAATACCAGGCTGCGTAGAGAACTAGCTCTCCGCATATAACATTATAAATGCCATATCTGAAAATGTCGGGGTCGTCCGAGATCTGCTCGGCATCTCTCGGTGTAGCTGGTTTCATCACGGAACCCTCGGCCGACTGTCCCACCGGACCTTCGCATTGAGAGGCATACCTTCTGCCATGGCCTTTGAGGGCAGACTTATATTTCTAGCAGGCTTCATCGAGACTAGATCCAAGACTGCAAATATACGGACGTAAACCTTTCTCAGAGACAACCACAACCTTATCACAACACAGCTGATATCCACTGACAATGTCGTTTCGTCGACTCGTTCGATTTCTTGACGAAGATGGGAAGGAGATGTACGGGGATGTCACGGATGAAACGCCAGTAGAGCATTTGGAAGGTAGCATCGTGCCGCTCTTGACTGGCAATATCAAGTCCGGGTTTCATGAGTCTGGTCAGAAATCGAAGGTTGCAAAGGTACTGGTATGCGCTTGATGAATACTTTTGGGCGAAGCTGAACATGGTATTCTAGCTGCTGTCACCACTGCCAGAAACGCCCATCATAATATGTGCTGGTGTCAACTACAAGTCCCACGCCAAAGAGACGAAGGTGAGTATTTACACGAAGTGATAAAGTTGCTTCCGACAATTCTCATACTTACACAAGCTACAGTTTCCCCCGCCTAAGAAGCCCGTCATCTTCGCCACCCCTCCTGACCGGCTTGCGGGCCCCTTTGATGATATCCACATTCATCCGGATGCACAAGAACTCCTTGACTACGAAGGAGAACTTAGTGTTATTATTGGAAAGGACGCATATGACGTAAGCGAAGAAGAAGCGTTGGACTACGTCCTCGGATACACCGTCAGCAACGACGTTTCCGCACGCAGTCTACACGCTCCCGATGTTTCTGGCTACCAGATGGGCTATGCCAAGTCCTTCGACAAGTTTGGACCGATAGGACCTTATGTGGTGTCTCCAACTCTCGTATCAGACCCTCAGAATCTGAAGTTGACGACCTATGTAAATGGCGACGTCCGACAGAGTAGTGACACGTCGCAGATGATATGGTCATGTCGGCAGCTAATCTCTTTTGCTTCTCGTGGCCGAACGCTTCGCCAAGGTACTATCATCATGACTGGGACGCCGGAGGGGGTCGGGTGGCATACAAATGGCTGCCTCAAGGATGGGGATGTTGTGAAGGTAGAGATCGGACAACTCGGTTACATTGAGAACAAAATGGTGTTCCAGAAGGAGTAATTCAGATCTGAGAATGCTCATCTACCCACCTCATTCTTTCAAGGGGGTTGCGGAAACACTTTTGCCATATCATAGAGAAGTTTCGTTTCTATCTTGGCAGTCCCTGACAGTCAACATCATCACAAGAATCAAGAACATGTCTCTGTAAATGAATGCAATCATTGAACTCCACACATTTGTTCCAAATGTCTTACTGTATGCTGGTTCACGCCTGGATACCTAGACCGCATTTGTAAGGGACTGCACTGACGTGGAAGCCTGACATCTCAATCATGGGCAGCAAGAGAATCCGAGACGATGGGCAAGGGCCAGAAGACCTCCGCGGCCCAAGCACTATGTAAAGCTCATCGTATGTTGCATATTCGGGTCAATGGCAATTAAAGGGTTCGGGCGTGTCGGCCGAAATTCCCGTCACCGTAGAACGACCCCTGTCAGGGGTGGTCCGATTGGGCTAATTCAATTGTATCTCCTCTCATCGCCTTAAAAGACAACCGAGGAAGACTTCCTGGTGCGTACACTGTAGCATCTTCATCACATTGGTCAATTCCCGTGGCGCGAAATTATGTCCCGAGGACTCACAGCCGCCGCTAGTGGTGCCATCCTCCTAAGAGGTGGCACTGTCCTCTATCATGGTGACCAAGACCATGTGAAACCGTTACGGGATACCGATATCCTTGTAAGAAACAACCGGATCGCCAAGATTGGAAAAAGCATTACCGCCCCAGTTGATGCGGAACTCGTTGATTGCAGAGGGAAGATCATCACACCCGGCTTCGTCGACACACACCACCATCTTTGGCAGACGCAGTTGAAGGGTTCCCACGCAGACCAATCAGTGTTCGATTACATACCGACCGGTACGTTGGTATATCTGTGAATATATCGGGATCATGAATCAGTTGACTGACAGAGGCGTTCGTTTGCACCATGATAGGTTTCTGGCAAAGCTATGTGTACACCCCTAAGGATATGTTCTGGGGTCAGCTAGGAGGCGCGTTGGAGGCCATCGACTCAGGCACGACCTTTGTCCTAGATCATGCTCATGGAAATCAGTCTAATGATCATGGTAAGCGCTCAATGCCAGTGAGGAGTGGCAGCTTAGAGACCGATTTGATCGTTTGTCTGATGCGTTGTATAGCCCGTCAAGCCTTGTCCGCAACCATAGCGTCTGGGATCCGCTCCATATTTGCATATTCTCACGCCCCTTACTTCACCAAATGGGATGCAGAGAGCTGTGAGCTCTCTCGAGACATCATGCCGGAGTTCAGTATGGCTTATATCTTCGAGCTTGCCCAGCAGCAGCCGTTCGGCAACGGGAGAGTCCATATCGGATTCGGCTTCGACTACTGGTTCTTGCCTAAGGAAGCTGTCGTCGGCATCTTTTCCCAGCTTCGTGGTGCAGGCATCAAGCTTTTCACATCTCATTACGCCAAAAACCCCACATTTGGTACATCGAGCCCGATTTTGTTTTTACGTGTCTGCGAGGGCGTCTGAATGTGATCTAATCGTCTTCCAGGAAACCATCCACTCATTCACACACTGGCCGCGTATAACCTCATCAAGACACCAAGTGACATCCTATTGTCGCACGCTACAGGCCTCGATGAACTTGAGAAGGCCAAGCTAGCAGAGACCCAGGTTCCCGTATCCAGCACACCAGATACAGAGGCACAGATGGGATTCGGCTGGCCACTGGCCTTCACACCCGGTATCAACTACACACTGGGCGTTGACTGTCACACTAACAACACCTCCTCCATTTTGTCTCTCGCCCGAACTGCGCTGCAGCTCGCACGTCAGAAGAACACTGTGAAGGAGATGAACGGCGGAGAGGGCGCTCCTCAGCGCATGGACCTGCGTCCAACGGGCAGTACTGAAGATGCATTCAATGCAGCTACCATCAGAGGAGCACGTGCAGTTCTCCTGGGCAATGACATCGGGTCGATTAGGGAGGGGAAACTGGCTGATCTCGTCATCTTCGATGCCGTGGGAAGCGTGGGCATGAGCTGTGTCTCTGAATCAGATCCTCTAACTGCAGTTGTTCGCCACAGCGACAATCGTGATATTGAGGCCGTCATGATTGACGGAGTCTGGAGGAAGAGGGACAGCAAGTTGTGTCCAGTGATCATTGAAGAGACGGGGGCTAGCCTGACATGGCCGGCTATCAGGGAAAAGCTACTGGCAAGCCAACGCGACATTCAGCAGAGGCAAAATAACCTGAATGTCGACAAAGCAAAGGAAGCGCTTATTTCCATGTTTCAGATTGATAAAAGCAAGCTTGTAAAATCTTGACTTGGAAGTTGGACATCTCAACCACAGTTACCACTAGTTGTCAAGTAGTTAGGCAGAATAAAGTAACGGGAATTTCAGACCCAGGCTGATTTTGCGACTGGCCACCGTCTCATCCTCCCGACTCGGGATGAGGGTTTGAAAGTCACGAAGTCCATAGACGGGCTTCCCTTGCGGCGAGAGGGGTTCGGAAAGGTCTCCGAGGGTATATAAGACCTGTCATGCCTAGGTGCCATCGTCTCTGCATCAAATTGCATTATAGCGGTATGAAATTCTTTGCTCAGTCATTAAATTTTGCAGATTTCTGCTGGATACTCTGCAGAATCAATCAAGTATCACGAACATGGCCAACCCGATTCCGCCACTGATCACACTCGAAGAGCACTTCGTCTCGCAGGAGAACTTCAGTGCTCTTTCTGAGCTATATGCCGAACAACTCAAGCACCTCCCCGATGTTGCTGAAAAACTCCTAGATGTCAGCCAGCTTCGACTGACAAGTATGGACAATAATGGTATTTCCACCCAGGTCATATCGCATGCGCCAGGTCTAGGGCCCAAGCCAGCGAGACACAGCTCCTCGGCCAATGACGAGCTTGCTCGGGCAGTAAAAGCCCATCCGGACCGGTTCGCCGCATTTGCCGTGCTTCCAATGGCGGAGCCCCAGGCGGCCGCTGCAGAGCTTCGGAGATGCGTCGGGATGGGTTTTGTTGGCGCTCTTGTGGATGCCCACGTCAACGGCGTTCACTATGACGATAGAAGGTTTTGGCCGGTGTTCAAAGCCGCCGCCGACCTTGATGTGCCGATTTACCTTCATCCGACCTATCCAACACCGACACAGTCGTCTGCCTATGATGGTCAATACGAGCAAGGTGCGGCGCGAAGCCTTGGCAGCAGTGGTTTCGGCTGGCATCAGGAGACAGGGTTAGCAGTGCTCAAATTGTTCGCTGCCGGGCTTTTTGACGAGCTCCCGTCCCTCAAAATCATCATCGGTCATTTCGGAGAGATGCTGCCGTTTATGATTGAGCGGATAGCGAAGCTCTCCGTTCGATGGGGGAACCGGTCGCGACCCTGGCGACAGGTATGGAGGGAGAACATCTGGATTACTACCAGCGGGGTGTGGGATCTAGCTCCTATGGCTTGCATTCTTAGAAACACATCGTTGAGTCACATTCTCTATAGTGTTGACTACCCATTCGAGAAGAACGAGACCGGCTCGTCCTGGATGAGGGAACTGCAGGAAAGTGGGCTCGTTACCCCGGATCAGCTCGAGATGATCGCGCACCGAAATGCCGAGCAGCTCTTAAAGCTCAGAATTCCTCCACGTGAATCTATGGTGTGATGAGGACACCGGGAGCCCCTAGCTAGTTTCAAAGCTTCAAGAATCGCCGCAGAGGTCCGCGTTAAATATCAAATATTCCTTTCCCATTGCCTTTCCCATTGCCTTTATATATCCTGCCGTGGCTCCTATGTTTGCTTTCCAGCCTTGAGTCCCAAATCTCACTGTTTTGTTGGCTTGCTTACATGACCCAATCACTCAAAATTGTTCCAACCGCAATGACAACCTCTGAAAAGTCCACTGTGAAGGCAGTAGCCTTGGCTGGGGTAATGATGCGCAGGGCCTTATTCATTCCCTGTACCAGACCTCTTTGCTGATCAATCCTTCAATCTTAGGCTGGCGGAAAGCTTGGTAGACGTGTTCTTGATGCTCTTGTCGATGCAGGCTTCGACGTGACGGTTTTGGTACGCCGCGAGAGCATTCCTTCTGACTACCCACCTGGTGTTCGCGTCTGCAACATAGACTACGACTCAGTTGACTCCCTACGAGGGGCTCTTCGCGGCATCAATGCCGTCATCTCCACGGTCGGCAAACGGAACGGGCTCGAGAGCCAATATCGGCTCATCGATGCAGCGGTCATGGAGGGTGTGAATCGGTTCATTCCATCCGAGTTCGGCGCCGATCTTCAGCACAAAGAGGTTCGCACATTTCCGACGTACCAAACCAAGATCGAAATCGAAGGATATCTCGAGAAGAGGGCCCGGGAAACCAATCTCACCTACACTTTCATATCCTGCAGCGCGCTATTCGACGAGGGCCTGGATTTGGGTGCATTTGCAGACTTTCAGGCCAGAAAGGTCAACTTCTTTGATGGGGGTGCAACAACATTTAACGCAACGAGAAGCGTTACGGTCGCCCGCGCTGTTGTGGCTGTTTTAAACAATCTCGACGCCACCAAAAACAAAGCCGTCCGCATTCGAGATGTCTCCATGACGCCAAAGGAACTGTTGAATGTCATCCAAGGACTCGACAGAAATGCTGACTGGGGTTCTGTCGCCATTGACACTGGGAAGCTCGTCCAAGAAGCGCACGTTGAGCTAGCTTCGGGGAAATTCAGTCCGAAGGCTTTCGCCGCTTTTGCAATGAGAGCCACCTTTGCGCCAGGATTGGCTGGCCAGTACGGCGATGACAACGATCTTCTCGGAATCAAGGACATTGCGAAGGAGGACCTCGAGAACGCTTTGAAGTCTAGACTCGTAGTTTAAAGTTGAGTTAGGATGAAGGCGACGGAAATATTGTATAGTTTCATTTGTACAATTGAGAATGTGCATCTCTCCTTCCTCCTTCCCCTCGGCATCAATCTTGGCATCTACCCACACGTATTCAGCATTAGCTCTCAGCGAAATATAATCTGCCGTCTTCGCTAGTGAAGTCGCACATGTCCTCAGCTTCTTCCAACTGCCTCAACATCTGGTCGGCCTGAGACATCGCACTCTGGAACTCCTGCAGCTGCGGGCCAGTACCAGAGAAAGTCTCAAGCTGGGCTTGGTTGCCTTGGGTGTAGATGGAATTCCGCCGTGTCGAGAGACCCCCTGCCCTTGTCGGCCCTCCAATGGTGGGGTCTCCTCCTCTGTATGAAGCAGGGTGAGAATGCTTGGCTGACAGAAATGACGACTTCCGACGTCTCATCCCATTCTTTCTTCGTCTTCGAGCTATCTCGATGGTTTTCATGACAGAGCGCCACTGGTGCAGTCGACTATGCTTCGTTGAAGAGTCCCAGCGGAGCACCGCACTCTGTTCTACGACTCTCCAGGCCTTATCGGCGTCCCTACTCAATGGCTGGTTGCACAGTTCAGATAGTAGGATGGCAAAAGCATGCCACTCATTGTAGCACTTGGTCAACCATGACCAATTTGCCAGCACAGGGTCAGTTCGTAATCTGTACGAATGCATCATGCACTCAATAGCCCCCTGGAAGGTTTGGCGCTTTTGTTCCTCGGTTAAGGATACTCCAGTCCCTAACGGGTTGAGTACCATGATTCGAAGATTCGCGATGATGGTTCCGATAAAGGTCATTGTAAGCTGGAAGTATTGTGTTAGTAACTGAATCACTCTCATGAAACATGGACAGCGCGCTTACACAGTAAAGAGGCTCCCGAGATGTTGGGTCTTCAGGGAAGCGACCATATATGATCTTCTGCTGCTTCTCAACCCACGCTTCTTTTTCAGTCGTTGTCATTGACGCAAAGCTTAATCCTGTATCCGGGTCGATGTGGCGTGTGTCGATCATGGTTCGCCACAGATTTGACGCCCAGCTGCGAGCAGCGGTGAAGGACATGTCCGTGATGCCAACTTGTTCCTCTGGGTATTCTGTCATGCCTGGGTACAAAGCGGAGTCGTTCACGTTCATTGGCCGCCTAGAGTTGAAGCTACTGAGCTCTAGGCTTAAGCATCGTTCTAGGTTAGTGAGAACAATTCGATGAGGGCTGAGGATTAACTTACAGTCCAGAGGAACACGAATAGTCCTCCGACGCTGGAGTGTCTAGAACGCAGAGGTTCCACCAAAGACGACGGCGCATCTCTGCTTCAAACGGCGGAAGATTAAGCGTGCTCCCGTCTCGGTGCATACCGAGAGACTGTGATAGACGGACAGCCAAACCTGTCATAGTCCAGGAGTACGTGGGGTCGCGGCAACGAAGTAAAATCAGATAGACAACAAATGTTTGCAGGGTGAGCATGTCGTCCGTTTCCATCAATCTAGACCGGGTGAAGGCTGCGTCTGCATCGCGCCTAAACCTAGCCAGTAACACCGACTGCTCCTCTCCAAAGTGAAGTGGGGTGTCATCCTCTGGCAAGCTGTTCACGGCGCCAAAGTAAATGACGAACATCAATGCTTCCACGCTGGGAGCTAAGTCCTTCGGGTTTTGTATGGCTCCCTGCACCATCGGTTCGATAGACGGTATATGTAAAACAGTAGCGACGGGGTGAATGTTTGACTTGAAAAGGTGCCAGGCCTTGAGTCTGTAATGGTGCGGGGGATGTGCTGCAGAATTTTCCGTCTCTTGAGTGCTGGTACTAAAGATGAAAGAATACTGGGAGATATTTGATGCCAAGGCTGCGCGCGTCTCCTCGTAATCTGATTCTTCTTCGCTCATCATACCGTCACTCATGTCGTCCTGTCATCGAAATATGAGCAACACGAACCGCAAGTGCGATGACATGATAACTTACCTCAGTATGTAAGGCTTCCCAGAAAGTTCCACTCACGTATCTATTTCGACCATCATCCTTGACCAACTTGCCCGTCGAAACGCCGTATGGTGACCAAGACAGGTTCGATTCGGCTTCGACTCTGTCTCCATTTGTTCTAGATGCATGAGTGCTAGAGGATGTGCTGGCTAGAGACTCTGCTTCTTTCGGCGGTGATTGTCCAGCCAAGGCGGTTGCATTGTCTGGCGCGCTGAACGTTGTCGCTGGTACCTGCTGTTCACGACGGACGGCGCCTGTAGATCCTACGGAATAGGGAGGCGTTGGGGGCGCCGGAGATGGATGCTCAGCAACGGTCCCTGACCGTTGGTCTTGAGTTTGGGCTGAAGATACGTCGGTGGAAAGGGTGGTATCGCGAGCTGTGGTAGACGAAGATAAGATGGAAGAGAAAGGCAAGAAAGATCCTCGTTGCACACAATCGGCCAGCGTCTTGAACATGGGCTCCAGGCGATGGAGCTGTTCCCAAAGTTGAGAATCCGTCAACATCTGACGCTCAGCCGATGCGCTGTCAGATGGATAAATGCATTCGGCGCCGAACTTCTTGCAATTATGACATGGTTGCTTCTTATCGCATCCAACCTTTCGACGACGACATGCCATACAGACCCGACGTGGAAGTGCCTGAGTGCGAGGTTGGGTGGCATCTTGTCCTGCTGTATGTTGTTGTGACTGGCTTTGGTCTCCTAATTGTGCAGGGTTCCAAGCAGACACGATGGAATCTGCGGTCTCGTGATTGCCGCGGTATGGTCGGGATTGAATGGTATCTGGTGAATTCATGATTGCTCCCAATTTGCAAATCACAGGAACGAATTTGCGAGCCTCGAACGACGGTATTTGGGATGGAGGGAAGAGCGAGACAGTCAAGCAAGTCTAGCTTGCACCCCAAAAGCATTAAGAGGGGTCGTTCGTCGTCACCTACACGGCTCTGGTGGATAAGGGAGCAATCGGATGGTTGGGATGTTGACAAAGATAACACTGAGGAACCCCCTCCAAGAAAGGGGTCTCATTATCACCAGCCATGTGCAAGGAGCTCGACGGCAGATAGGGAACGCGGGGGAGTGGAGCAGACATGATGCGGGGGTGGACGAATCGACGTACACCTGATTACCACCTCACCCTCCTATCGTTGTGTTGATGAGCCGTCGTCGATCTGTCTGGTTGTTCTACACAATTTGGAGCAAGGCGAGTCGGATGTGGGCCGTGTAGCCGAGTTGAGACATAGGTAGACGGGATGATTTCAGAGGAACATGGTTCACGCCTACGAGTACATTCGGAAAGCAATCAAGAGCAGGGACGAGCCAAAGTCTTAGTAATTAGGTTCCTCGAAACAATGCTGATCTTGTGACCAAGACTTGAATTCAAACGAACAGCACTTGACCCAGTGGAGGCGTCTGACCCCTGTCCATCTTGGCGGTGATGGCTAGCCGCGTAGCTCGGCCGACAGCTCCGGTCCAGGCATTCCGTGGCCAGAGTTTAAGAAAACGAACTGTAGCCTATTTTTGTTGCCGGACAAGATAAGAAATGATGACCTTTTCTCGAATCTTTGATACAACACTTCCTCCCTCCACGATTCATTCGACATAACCTCACTTGTACATCAAGCTATGGCTAGATCTTCAAGCCCAGGGACAGAGTGTTCCGAATGGCTCGTCCGCGTCCCTGACTTTCTAGGGGTCGCGGACCGGAGAGCAGCTGTGTTTCCGTAGGTCGATAACATACCGCCAAGATGGGTATCGTACATGAAATATGAAAGCTGACGAAAGCCGACAACAGTCAACACATTGAGAAGTTGAAAACAGATCCCGCCCAGTTTTGGGTGTTCGGAGGTGGGGCTATCCGTATGCCGCCGGCCGAGCAGGGATGCAAGAAGCTAACATTCGGCGGTGCAGGAGCCACTCTAGCGGAGCCCGTGGACCCCGGCCGGCCCCCGCACATCACCGGCAGCGCCATGTTAATCTTTGCACCCACTCGGGAATCCGTCCTGGATCGGCTAAAGAACGACCCGTTGACCAAGGAGGGCGTTTGGGATATCAACAATGTTCAGATTTACCCTTTCTTTCGCCCCAAGAGAGTTCCCGTATGAGAATGTTGATGGGGACATCGAATGTAGAAATGTCATATAATGAGCATCGCTGTAGATGAAGAAAGCTGTACAGTGTCGATAACCATTCAAGCAATCGATAGTATGCAATATTGTATGCTAAGCCACAGCCAAGATCATCTCATGCATCCAAACGTCGCATATTATGCAGTACGCATGTCTCAAACAATCAAGAAGCCGCCTCGAAGTCCGCATGTCGGGCCCAAAGCTCTCTCCAGAACTCGCCTAGAATCCCGACACTCTTGGGGTCACCTGGAGGCAACAATTGGGTAACAAATATGGCTCCAATGCGCTGCTCGCGATTAATGAACCATCCAATGTTGGGCATGCCATTCCAAGTCAAGGTCCTTGCGGGTAAGTTAGGCACGGTCCCTTGGATAACAAGACCCCCTAGACCAAATGCGACCTGAGGACATCCCGAGCTATCCCCAGTCAATTGTTCATGCAGTGACTGGACAACATTTCCTGTCAGACTTCGAAATCTTATTGGATGTAGAAAGAAGCGTACCTTTTGCTTGAGTAAACCATCGTACATAGGTGATCCGTGCTGGAACTGAGGAGTGAACATCGTTTCCACCGTCTCTGCTTTCAGGAGTAGCGGTGAATCACGCAAGAGGTCCCTTAAAACCGATACAAAATCAGAGGTAGAGGTTATCAACCCCATACCGCCCGAATCATCTTGCGCATCAACTGGGTACGGCGAAGGGATGGGCACCAAGGTTCCTGTGCCATCGCGAAGCCACATCTGAGCGGCGTCCCTCTCAGTATCTGGTCGCTGCCGCAGGTTGAAGGTCGATCGTCTCAGGCCGAGAGGTTTGAATATTTGTTCGTCCATGTAAATGCTCAAAGCCTTGCCGCTCAATCTTTCGATCAAAATTCCAGCCCAGTCGAGGCCCGCACCGTAAACCCAGCTACTCCCGGGTTCGAATAGCAGTGGAAGAGAAAAAGCATCGCGCACTCTCCCACTCATTACCAATGGCTTTTCTCCGCGAGATTCTCGCCAAGCAACCAAAAGCGGGTGCATGGCATCGTAGGAAAGCCCGCTTGTGTGTGTTATCAGGTGGCGTAATGTGATTTTGTTTTCAGCTGGTTTCAGTAGGAAAGATCCCTCAGGGCCTTCGGAGATGATAACTGGGCTTCTCAGCTCTGGCAAAATGCTTCCGACCTCATCATCTAGGCTTATTAACCCCTTTTCGGTGAGTTGCAGCACGCAAATGGTGGTGAGCAGCTTGGTGCAAGAGAACCCAGAGAATAAGGTCTCGAGTGTTATCTCCTCGTTCCTGTCTTTCTTAGCTCGACCCAGGCATCTGCTGAAGACAATACCTGGCAAGAGGGTTTAGAGAAGATACTGGTTACATTTGGAGAAGGCTGACGTACCATTTTGGTTGAAAACGGCGAGCGCAACACCTGGGAGGCCCATGGATGAGTCCTGGGTCAAGGATACCAGTGTCTCCTCACAGGCTAACTTCATGTTCTCAAATGTAGGACGACGGTGAAAAACGTTTGTCTGGTCAATATATTTCAGGATCTTCACAATTCTTTCATACCGGGCTGCCAGATGAATTGTATGCTCATATACTGGACACACTTTGAAGCAATAACTAATGTTGACATCAAGAGGGCTATGCCTTTTTGGCGGCCATTCTCGGCCACTTCGGCCGACGGCCGACAGGGTCATACTTGCCCAGGAATTTGATCCGTTAGTCTGAGAAAGCTCCTCTATGGATCTCTGTATGTCATCGGAAGCTCTGCTTCGCCCTTACACTGCTTGTCTAGTGTCTCGTATCCATTTTGCGTGACGTTAAGGCATTTCCTCTACCTCAACTCGTTCTTGACCAGCGGGCCGGCTTGGTATTCTTCTTATGGCGAATTCAAATGCTTCGTCTTCAGAGCAGCCGTCTCATCCCGATCCCGAGCCAACAGCGCCAGCAGTACCATCAGCGCCGGCTCAGACAAGCAATGCTGGGAGAAAACGACGATCTTGCGATCTTTGCAGCCGACGAAAAGTCAAGTGCGATAAGCAAAAGCCATGCAAGAACTGC